TCCAGCACCAGAATCCAAAAGCATCCATTCTTCGGCGATCAGCCTTCTTTATGGTCCAGCTCTCACTTCCATACATCACTATTGAGAAAACCAGAGCTTTAACTATACGGACCTTTGTCGGCAAGGTGATGTCTCTGCTTTTGAAGATGCTGTCTAGGTTTGTCATCACTTTTCGGACCTTTGTCGGCAACTGAGCGTCCTTTCGGCTTTGGCCCAGCAGCTTCATCAGCTCTGAATCTACTTGTACTTGTCCTCCGCTCTTCCTCAGTAGCATGTTGGACGCCTTCCAACCTGAGGGGCTCATCTTCCAGCGTCATAACTTTTATATGCCTGTCCATGGAGTTTTCTTGGCAGGGATACTGGAGTGGCTTGCCGGTTTCTGCTCCAGGTGGATCATGTTTGGTCAAAACTCTCCACTATGACCTGTCCATCTTGGGTGGCCCTGCACGGCATAGATCATAGCTTCTCTGAGTTATTCAAGCCCCTTTGCCACGGCAAGGCAGTGATCCATGAAGGGGGGTCCCATAAATACGAGGGCCCTAAGCCACAAAGGGCTTTAAAGGTCAAGACCAGCACCTTGAACCTGACTCTGCAATGCAGAAATCTTGCCTAATGTGGGGCTCGAACCCACGACCCCAAGATTAAGGGTTCTCAAGATGCGCTTTGTCTGGGATTGAACAGCCCAGTTACTTGCAGGTTCTTGCATATTATTACTATTATTATTATTATTATTATTAATTTTTATTTATACCCTGCCCTCCCCAGCCAAGGCCGGGCTCAGGGCGGCTAACAAGCAATAATAAAAACAAGTTGAATGAATACAACTTAAAAACAAAATTAAAATACAACATTAAAATATTGAAACATTAAAATATTAAAATGTAGCCTCATCGCAGGAGGAGAAAGGAAAAGAAAAAAGAAAGGGGGGGGATCAAATTGGCTCCAAGCCAAAGGCCAGGCGGATCAACTCTGTCTTACAGGCCCTGCAGAAAGAAATCAGATCCTGCAGGGCCCTGGTCTCATGAGACAGAGTGTTCCACCAGGTGGGAGCCAGTGTTGAGAAGGCCCTGGCTCTGGTTGAGGCTAATCTGACCTTCTTAGGGCCCGGGACCTCTAGGGTGTTGCTATATATGTACCTTAAGGTCCTCCGTAGGGCAGACCGGGAGAGGCGGTCCCGTAGGTACGAGGGTCCTAGGCCGTGAAGGGCTTTAAATGTTAAAACCAGCACCTTGAACCTGACCCTGTACTCCACCGGGAGCCAGTGCAGCTGGAAAAGCACTGGGTGAATATGCTCCCATGGCAGAGACCCCATGAGGAGTCTCGCTGCAGCATTCTGCACCCGATGGAGTTTCTGGGACAGCTTCAAGGGCAGCCCCGCGGAGAGCGAATTACAGTAGTCAAGCCTGGAGGTGACCGTCGCATGGATCACTGTGGCCAGATCGGGGTGGGAAAGGTAATGATGGCACTTATTTCCTGCCCCTTCATCGCAAGGTCTCCGCGTGGTTTCACAAGGTCAAAGCACAAATGAAATAGCTAAAATGAAAACAAGAATATCCACCCAAACACATTTAAAAGGCTGTAAAGGTGATAAGGGTTGGCTTCAAGGTCACACAAGGCCCCCCCCCCCACTTCCTGCAAATTTGGATAGTTGAACATCAGGACAGGAATGGGTTCTGCAGTTACCCAAGAGACAAATGGGACCTTCTCTGTGCTAGCTAAGGGATGGGGGTGGACTCTTTTAAAAATAAATTAATTAAAATATAAATTTAAAACAATACCAAATGCACATTCGTATATAGAGATTTCTCTGAATCTCGAGACGTCCCACCATCCCTTTCCATGAGTCTTATTGTCAACATTTTCAAGGGGCTGCCCTTGAGACTGACCCAGAAACTCCAGCGGGTGCAGAATGCTGCGGCGAGACTCCTTACGGGGTCTTCGCTGCGAGATCACATTCACCCGGTGCTATACCAGCTGCACTGGCTCCCGGTGGAGTACAGGATCGGGTTTAAGGTGCTGGTTTTAACCTTTAAAGCCCTATACGGCCTAGGACCCTCGTACCTACGGGACCGCCTCTCCTGGTATGTCCCACAGAAGAACTTACGGTCTGCTAATAAAAACATCCTGAAGATCCCAGGCCACAGAGAGGTTAGGCTGGCCTCAACCAGAGCCAGGGCCTTTTCGGCCGTGGCCCCGATCTGGTGGAACGCTCTGTCCCAAGAGACTAGGGCCCTGCGGGACCTGACGTCTTTCCGCAGGGCCTGCAAGACAGAGCTGTTCCACCAGGCCTTTGGTCAGGGCGCAGCCTGACCCCCTCCTCTGGCAATCCGCACAGAATTTTGCTTAATGGTTGCCATCAATTTGATTTTAATTAATTTTATAATGAATGCTTTTAGAATGTTGGATTATTTTGATTGTTGTTAGCCACCCTGAGCCCAGCTTCGGCTGGGGAGGGCGGGATATAAATAAAATTTATTATTATTATTATATTATTTCTTAAATCTGCATTTTGTATCTGTCCGTGTCAGGGATGCAGGTGGCGCTGTGGGTTAAACCACAGAGCCTAGGACTTGCCGAACAGAAGGTTGGCAGTTCGAATCCCCGCGACGGGGTGAGCTCCTGTTGCTCGGTCCCTGCTCCTGCCAACCTAGCAGTTCAAAAGCACACCAAAGTGCAAGTAGATAGATAGATCTGGCGGGAAGGTAAACGGCGTTTCCGTGCGCTGCTCTGGTTCTCCAGAAGCGGCTTAGTCCTGCTGGCCACATGACCCGGAAGCTGTAAGCTGGCTCCCTCGGCCAATAAAGCGAGACTGGACCTAACGGTCAGGGGTCCCTTTACCTTTACTATCTGTCCGTGTTATCCAAAGTGGTTTGTTACATTACAAGTGACATTAAAACCTTGCTAATGTTTTCATCCGCTTACAGTGGTCCCCTAAATAAGTTATAATTCCCCCCCTCCATTCTTTATTGAAGTGAGGAATTTTCCATTTGTCAAAAGAAAGGTGAATATATAATCATCTGTGCTCATGAAGCCTCCACCAGCTGCAGCGTCTTCATCTTGCCTGGACTGAGGCTAGTCCAGGGGTCAGCAAAGTTTTTCAGCAGGGGGCCGGTCCACTGCCCCTCAGACCTCGTGGGGGGCCGGACTATAGTTTGAAGAAGAAAAAAGAACGAATTCCTATACCCCACAAATAACCCAGAGATGCATTAAATAAATAAAAGCACACATTCTACTCATGTAAAAATACGCTGATTCCCGGGCCGTCTGCAGCCTGGATTGAGAAGGCGATTGGGCCAAATCCGGCCTCCGGGCCTTAGTTTGCCTACCCATGGGTCTAGGTCAGCAGTTCTCAACCTGTGGGTCCCCAGATGTTGTTGGACTACAACTCCCATCATCCCTGAGCTCTGGCCTTGGTAGCTAGGGGTGATGGGAGTCCCCAACATCTGGGGACCCACAGGTTGGGAAAGGCTGGTCTAGGCTTACTGGACCTCATCCAGTCCATTGCCACACCTAAGCACTGGTTCGGAACATCCCCTGATGGAGAGGAGAGGGACACTTGAGTCCACATCTTTGGATGACCTCCCCCTGGCAAGGGTCAGGTAGATATTGAGTACCACGGGAGGTAAAATATAGTATAATCCCTTAGCATCACTGCCGAAGGGCAGGGAAGTAATCCCTTGTGGGGCACCGTTTAAGCAGAGCTTAAGAAGCCCATCTCAAAGAGGAACTGCGGTGATTCCAGTCAATCTTCGTCGCTTCACAAAACACGCTAGTTTGGTTTGTGTTTGGTTCAAGTCGTCCAAATGATTGGGATGTGGAAATACAAATTCGGAATGTGAAGGGGAACTACCTGAAAATGATTCGCAGATGTTATCCAGGCTTGCCAAGATGTATAAGACTGAATCAGACACCGTATTTTTCCATGTATAAGACTAGGTTTCCCCCCTAAAAAAATAATGTCCAAAATTAGGGGATGTCTTATACACGGATAGTGTCCCCCCCCCCCATTTTCTTAAATCTGAGTCCCCCAAAATAGGGGACGTCTTATACATGGGGGCATCTTATAGACAGAAAAATACGGTAAGTGTTGGAGATGCAAGGAGTTGGAGGGAATGTTCTTTCATGTGTGGTGGACTTGCAAAAGAAGCTTCCTGCAGCCAACCGGAAGCCGCGCTTTGGTTTCCGAACGCTTTGGAAGTCGAACGGACTTCTGGAACAAATTCCGTTTGACTTCCAAGGAACGATTGTGCTGAGCTAGTTTGACTTATTACAGGGAAGCTTCCTTACGATCCACTCTGCCTAACTCTTGCATGCTGATTTTTGTATGCTGGTGTTACGGCCTTAATGTTCGTTGCTATCTAAGGAAGTCAGACTATCCTTCCCCAGGGCCTTCTCAGTGATGGCTCCGACCTGGTGGAATGCTCTGTCCCAGGAGACCAGGGCCCTGCAGGATTTAACTTCTTTCCGCAGGGCCTGTAAGACAGAGCTATTCCACCTGGCCTTTAATTAGAATTCAGCCTGATCTTTTATTCCCCTTCCTTCCCTCCCCCTCCCCTTTTTATGAAGATTACCCTCTCTGAGACCCCACAGCTAATTCTCCTCTGTTCTCCTCGCTGGCCCAAGTGGGACTAATTTAGCCAGCTAAATGTGATCATCTAATGTTTATTGGATGGATTTCCCTCCTAAATTGATTTTTGATTTTATTGTTATTTACGCTTTATATCGTATTTTATGCTTTTTTTTTTTGTAGCATCAATTAAGTGTTTTAAATTTGTTGTTAGCCACCCTGAGTCCGGTTTCCTGAACTGGGAAGGGCGGGGTATAAATAAAAAAATATTATTATTAACAATGGTGGGTTGTGCTTACCCATTTTTTGCTGTACTAATAGGCGATAAACTAAGAAAAACTTTGCAAAACAAAGCATAACTGAGGCCTTTGGAGGGCCCTTCCTTGGCCTCTCAGCTCACACACTGCAAACAAAAATCCACAGGAAACCAGGCTTCTTAATGTAAAGTGCCATTTATTTCATCTCCCCATGGTGAAAATAGTTTCTTTAAAAAAAAAAAAAAGCACCGTCAAAACGCTCAGCACATTCTTAAACACCCCTTCCCCAAGAAACCAAAGCCGTAAAAGGAAACATAACCAAAAAAATCTTTTTGAACCGTAAAATGCACCCCCCCACACACACCCAGCAAAAGCCTCACTGTTCAGATATATATAAGCATTATGAAAAAAAAAAGTACAGTAATTAGATCACATGATCCCACTAAGTTCATTGACAACTTTTAACTCAAACACTGAATATTATACATTCAGATCCTCAGGAGTTACCCCATTTGATAAAACTAACGTTTGCACTTGGAGTGAGGGGAGGGAGAATTAAATCAGCTGTCTGACAGTGTCAAAGTGGAAGGGATCTGGCTGCGGGAATGGATTTGAAATTATAGTTGGAGGAAAAAGACTTGGGTTACAAAAGGCCTCCCCCCTCCCTGACCACCCAAGAAATGTCGCCTATAGATCTGCTAAGGGGGTCTCTTCCCATTTCCTTCGGCCCGCTTAAAGAGGATTGAAAATTTGCAAGTTTCCCCCAGCTGCTCTAGGGGGAGAAAACACACGCAGTAAATCTCCACCCCACAGGAGAATCCACCCATCTTTCTCCCTTTCTTCTTTACGAAGACGGCAACGGCATGGTCAGTCTCGCTTAGAAAGCACACCAAATAAGAGCAACTGCGAGGTTAAAAGGGGGGGGGGGTGGAACGCCTTCCAAATGTTGTGTTTCCTTTCAAATCCACGATCGAGTCACTTACACTATTTAGAAGGGGAAATAAAATGCACAATCCGTTTTTATTTTGCTTTCGTTCCATACCCAGTATATCCCGTATCCACAATCAGCAGCAAAACATGGATCAGTGGGGAAAAACACAGGGTCTCTTCCCTGGCCTGGGTTATCTTCCCAGCAGTCTTCGTCGGCTTGCGGGGGTCCTGTTCGCCTCCCCTTTTAGATCGTATCAGATGCTAGCAGTCCGGGGGGGGGGGTTTGCGGGAGAGAAGAAAAACTCAAGGCAGTGAAGAGACACAAATGGGCTCAGTTTCTCTCTCTCTCAAAGTTTTGTGCAAAGCTTGCATCTTTGCCCTGCAATCGGGTGGGAATCAATGGAAAGCACTGATACTCAAATATCCTTCACAGACAAGCCACCGAGAAACAGAAGAAAGTTTGCAGACTCTTGAAAGCAAAAATGCGTATATGAGGAGAGGATTCGGTGAGAGAAGAGTAAATTATTATTTTTTTGAGTGGGGTAGGGGATTTCTCTGAGAAGGGCTTGGGAGAGAGAAAAAGCACCTTGCCCCACTAAGTCCTGAATGCAAGAAACCAGCCCAGTTCACCAAAGTCAAGAATTGCGCCTCCGACTTGTGGCTAAATGTTGTTCTGTGTCCCTATCTCTGCAGAGTCCCAGGCATTTAAGATCGTACTGCGAATAGAGGGAGAGCCTTTTGCTCTTGGCAACCCAATAACCTTTGGAAATTTTGGGAAGGTATTCCAAAATCCCACCCCCAAGGGTAGGCACTCCACAAAGTTCCCCTACCCACATGGAGACGCTCTGGGAAACATGTTGGGAGACATCGTGGTGCAGACTCCTGGAGGGAGGCATTCGGTTGTCGAACTGGGCCTTTCTCTCCCCTGAAGCACTTGGCAACCATGCCAGCCGGTCATGCCATGCACGGATGCCAAGATACCCACCGGCTCTGCCACCTTTCGAGAGGCAAGTGCCAAAACAGGCTGGGGAAAACTTATTCATCCCTTGCGTCGGGGAGCTCAAGGCAGCCGTGTCTTTTAAAAGCAGCTTCACCTTAGATGTTGTTGTTGTTGTTTTTTGCAGGGTTCCTAGCAAGGTGAGCCAACAGGAAAGCGGTGGTACCATTGCAAGCTGCCGGCTTCCGTTGTGGCCGAGTGACTCGTCCGTCAGCCCACCTGCCGCTTGCTTTGGCCTGCACGAAGTCCCGCATCCCAAGGCGCAAACCCAAGCAAGGACGGAACATGGCCAGCGCCTTTTCAGCCCTCAGCAAGCCCCGATTTGGGGACTCCACCTGGTTCAGCCACCCAGCTGTGGCTTCCTTACCTGCTGGAATTGAAGGGGTGGGGGGTGGGCACTTTGGCCGGTCGGACGCCGGTTCCCACACTTCCCGGAATGGCAGAGGGCCCGGTATTCAAGGAGAACAAAACCTTATCGACCGCGAGGTGCTGGAGAACTTTGAAGCACCTGACCCTCCTTTTTTATTTATTTATTTATTTTTAAAGAAAGAAAATGGGCTGTAGGGCAAGTGTGTATCGGGTCTCGCTCATACACTCCCCTTCAGTTACCTGGACAGCGAAAAGCCAATAATGGTAAAGGAATTAACTGGAAATGAAAGAAGGGGGGGGAGGAGTTTGAAAGAGAGAGAAATGGAAGTTTAAAGAAGGATCTGTTAAGATTGGGGATGAGGTGCAGCAGGACTGGGGGGGCAGGAGGGGAGAGAGGCAGCCTAACCACCGCCAACAGCTTTGCTTCCAGTTCACCTGCTCCAGAGGTGAGGGCTCCTCTGAGCTATGGAGGGCAGCGGCAGCAAGAAGACACCGAGAAGCATCCAATTGCAGCGCAGAACTTTTTCACCATTAAATCACACACTCTCGAAAACAGAGACGTAGCAACGCTAGTACCAAGAAGGCAGAAACCGACGACACCTTTATCGGGAGAGCGATGCCTCCGCTACAAGGCCCGAGGAATAACACACACGGAGCGTGCGCTGGAGAGGAAGAGGCGTCCCCTCCGCCGTCAAGAATTAGCAGCTGTGATTCTTCTCCAATAAATACCCGCAGAGGACTACTGACCTCCACCCTCCACTTGACGAGTTAGTGCACATTGATTTCAGAAATAAAGCACTCTGTTAAGACTGGAAGGAGATGGCTTTAAAACCGTCACGTCTTTGGAGAAGCAGCGTGTGGACTGCTGCCCCCCCCCCCAATTCTACATGATTTATGACGACACAATTTCCACAGGTGGGGTTGCATCCAGCAAGGCCCAACCCAGAACAGACCCACTGAAACGCAGGCACACAAAATGGGCATGTCCGCAAATTTCAGCGGGTCTACGCCAAGCACGACTAGCGCCGGATACAACCCCTCGGTGCGCGTGTTGCATTTGTACGTAAAAATTACACACTCACACACACGTGAAGACGGTTCCACGTTCGCCTTGAAGCCGTGGACGTTCCCTCTCCCACAGACACAAAGAGGGCAAGTTGAACTAAAAACTTCTCTTGTAAAGAAACTGAATGCAGAAACCGTGGGGAGGGGAAGAGGAGGAGGAGGAGGAGAGCAAGGGAAGGAATTGACTGCTAGCTTCTCAGCCACCAAACACAAACTTCCTTAAAATCGCACGGTCCTCTTGCAGGCTCTAGGATGGACCCAAGCCCAGGCCGGCGAAGCTGCCACGTTGCTCCGTTGGCCAATCGGCCCGCTTCCGCCCAAGCTGCTCCACGTGTCTCCACCCAACTGCAGCACCCGTCCGGCAAGCCTGCCTGCGCCTCTCAGGCCCCCTACCCAGGAAGCAAGTGCACAAGAAGAAAGGAAAGAAGGCACAGCCTGTCCCTTTCGCCCAAAACTGGTGACACAAAACGTAAAAGGAAAAAGCAGCTCGTCGCTGCTGTACACAACCTGCCCCCCCCCCTGAACCCCTTGCCCAGAGTCAGAAGCTCTGAAGAGATCCACACTCAGCTGTGGGGAGAGGGATGGAGCCGAACAGGAAGAGGGTGAAGCAAGCCCGCTTTCTGCTCTCGCTGTCTGGATGACGACCGGGCAGCTTCCGAACTGCGGCGCCTTTGCTGTTCCGGAGCCAAAAATAAAAAATAAAAGGTCGCGGAGGAGAGGCTGGCCGAGAGGTGGGTTCTTTTCTTCTGCTGAAGGGTGGCGGACGACAGCAGACAAGCAAGATGCACGAAAGGAGGAGGAGGAGGAGTAGAGGGGAAGAAGGCGGCTTGCTTGGCGGTCACATGGCGGTGCGGGTGGGAGTGCTGGGCTGGTTCAACCGCAGCGTCTTACACAGCCAGCCGGCGAAATCCACCTCTTCCACTTCGGAGCGCTTGATAAAGGCGTGATTCTGGAACAGGAGGAAAAAAGGAGGCGGGGACATCAAAACATACACTTGGAAACCTCCCCGCAAAGCTCTGCCTACGTTGCAAGGCATAGTATGTTTTCAGATTTATTTTTTTATTATTATTCCCTCCAGGGTGGCAACATGAGAACGGGCCTTTTCAGTGGTGGCTCCCTGCTGGTGGAATGCTCTCCCTGGGGAGGCTTGTCTGGCACCATAATTACACATCAGCCTGGCAAAAGAACATTTCCTTTCTGCCAGGCCTTGGGCTCCTAGCTATCTGCGGTTTCCTTGGGTAGGTAGGTGGGTGGGATGTTTTGATCACCTCTTTTTAAAACAAACAAACCAGGATCGTCTTCTTAGATGTTTCTTTTGTTCCGGTTTCGCTGTTCATCTATTGTTAAGTTGCTTTGTGTTACCCCGTGGTTAAATAAATAAATAAATAAATAAAAGGCAACCGATGAATTTAAGTAATCCTATCGTAATGAAAGTTTATTTATTTATTTAAAATGGCACTGTTTTAACATTCTGACGTTTGCCACCCTGGGCTCCTTTGGGAGGAAAGGCCAGGGTAGAGATTTCATGAACAAATAACGGCCTAGGACCCTTGTACCTATGGGACCGCCTCTCCCGATATGCCCCACGGAGGATCTTATGGTTCATAAATAGCAACACCCTAGAGGTCCCGGGCCCTAAGGAAGTTAGATTAGCCTCAACCAGAGGCAGGGCCTTTTCAACACTGGCCCCGGCCTGGTGGAATGCTCTGTCTCATGAGACCAGGGCCCTGCGGGATCTGATTTCTTTCCGCAGGGCCTGTAAGACAGAGTTGTTCCGCCTGGCCTTTGGCTTGGAATCAGTTTGATTCCCTCCCCCTCTTTCTTTTTTCCTTTCTCCTCCTGTGAAGAGGCTGCATCTTAATGTTTCAATGTTGTATTTTAATCTTGTTTTTTAAATTGTATTTTAATCAACTTGTTTTTTATTACTGGTTGTTAGCCGCCCTGAGCCCGGTCTTGGCTGGGGAGGGCGGGGTATAAATAAAATTTATTATTACTATAGAAATGGGCAGAAGCTTCTGCATATCCAGGTCTTCGCCAAATCAGCTAGCGGAGTAGGGAAGCCTCTAGCCCTCAAGGTCTTTCTGGCGGCCCTCAGCAACATCTGACACCCTGCCCCCTTGGGCAAACAAGGTCCTGGGCTTTAGGAATGAGGCATGAGGGCTCCCAACAGGTCCTAGTTCTTCCCAAAGCCCTGCACCTTGCTTAGCCAACTATGGGAAGCCACTGGGGGTGGCAGTCAAATTTTGACCTTGCTCCCCACCCGACAAGGCATTGTGTGAACTGCAGACTCCAGTGTCAAGGTACTCTTGCAGCTCACTTGGTGTGGAAAGTTGGCACTTGGTGTGGAAAGTTGCAGTCACAGCAAGCTTGCACGGACACAGCCATCGAAACACTCCTGGTGTGGCCTGCAGAGGGAGCCAAGCAGCCAGGGACCCGACTCCGTAAGAGAGAGGAAGAACTTGCAGCTCTCAGATGCTGTTGGGACTCCCAACGCTTTCTAGCATGGCCAGTGACCAAGGATGTATAGGAACTGTTTCCCACCAATATCTGGAGGGCCACAGGTATAAGAGATACGCAGCTTGGCCCCTGTGTTCCCCGCAGGAAATTTAAGAGAATCATAGAACAGAGGTGGAAGGGACCCCTAGGGTCATCCAGACCAACCCCTTGCAATACAAAAGTCTCGGATAAAGCATCCATGATAGATGGCCCCCCAAGCTCTGCTTAAAAACCTCCAAGGAAGGAGAGTCCACCATCTTCCTGAGGGAGTCTGTTCCCCAGGTGTGTTGATGAAGCAGCACCGAGCAGAAGAAAGCTATCCACTCAACAGCTTGTGAGAAGGCCTCAATCCTGTTCTATGAAATAGCCTTAATAGGATTTAACCGCCCCCTCCCTCTCCATTTTTCTCAACTGGCAGGGACAGCCAATGCAGAACTGACCTCGTCCATATTTTTCGCTCTGTAGGACGCACTTTTTCCCCCTCCAAAAATTAAGGGGAAATGTGTGTGCGTCTTATGGAGCGAATGCAGGCTCCTTGGCTTCAGCGATAGCAACACGAAGCCTCCGAAGCACAGAGGGAGCGCTCCCCCTGCGCTCCGGAGGCTTCGCGTTGCTTTTGTTGAAGCCTGGAGAGCGAAAGGGGTCGGTGCGCACCGACCCCTCTCGCTCTCCAGGCTTCAGGGATAGCCTGGAGCCTTTGGAGCGCAGCAGGAACTCGCACTGTGCTCCAAAGGCTTTGGGTTCCTTTTGCTGAAGCCGGGAGAGCAAGACTCTTCCGGCTTCAGCAGAGAGGGAGAGCTGCGCAGCGCCCCCTCAGCGAAGCAGGAGGAGAAATGGAAGGGGCTGTTTCTCCTGCCGCTTCGCTGAAGGAGCGCTGAGCAGAGAGGGGGAGAATTTCCCCCCCCCCCGTTCTCCCCCTCCTATGGTCCGGTGCGTCCTATGGTCTGGTGCGTCCTATAGAGCGAAAAATACGGTATTATTTCTACCCCGCCCATCTGGCTGGGCTTCCCCAGCCACTCTGGGCGGCTTCCAACAAAATATTAAAATACAGTAATTCACTCTGTTCTGTAAATCTCACCGATTTGAGGATGGAGCTTGGGCAAAAGGAGGGCCGGCTGCTCTGCAGGGACGGCGTTTCTGCCCCCATATGCCAACCCATTTCTCAAACCTCGCGTTTCTCAAAACTGGGTCTTGTTGGACTACAACTCCAACCATCCCTAGCTAGCAGGACCAGTTGCCAGGGATGGTGGGAACTGTAGTCCAAAAAAGAAGCTGGAGATCCAAGTTTGCTCTAACCCAGGCATAGGCAAACTCGGCCCTCCAGATTTTTTTGGGACTACAACTCCCATCACCCCTGCCCACTGATCCTGTTAGCTAGGGATGATGGGAGTTGTAGTCCAGAAACATCTGGAGGGCCGAGTTTGCCTATGCCTGCTCTAACCCATGCCACGGTCTTCCCTGCAACCTCCCATCTCTCGAAATCCATCCCAGATCCAGGTTTTAATATGGGATTTGGGGAGGAATTATGTTCTGGGGCATTTAAACAACTACCAGACTTTTAGAAGACATCTGAAGGCAGCCCTGTTTAGGGAAGCTTTTAATGTTTAAGAGACTATTGTATTTTAATATTGTTGGAATCTGGGGAAACATAGCCAGATGGACGGGGTATAAATAATAATAATAAATAATAACAACAATTATTATTATTATTATTATTATTAGAATTCTTAAGAGCTGTGCAGAAAGCAGGTGCCTTTGGTTTGTTTTAAAAATGCCTTATTTCCAACCGGCACCTATGCTTTGAAGGTGAAAAGTAGATTCCGCCAAGATATTTTGGAGACGCTGGTGTGACCGGTCAGAGGTGGGAAAGAATCCCATCAGCAACAGATTGGTCCTACCGGCAGTTACTGATACAGAACAGTCTCGGCGAGAAATGCCTCCTGTGCTTCCAGCACTGCCTGGCCAATCTGTCAGCTTCGGAGCCGTCGCAGGGAGATTGAGATGCTGATTAATGAAATATACTTTTGTTAAGAAACCAGAAGCTTTTCTATTGGGAATATTAGGGAATGAAATTTAAAAATGTGGAAAAAGTCAGGCTGATGGTGCTGGCATGAAACCTGCTCCCCCTTTTAACTGTAGGTCAGAACTGCGATCCAACGAATGCACAGAGTCACGTTGCAGCTCTGCTGGGGATTGGAACCACCTGAGCACACTGTCCACTGTGTGGCGCAGGGCTAGGGGACAATTGGGGCCCCGGCTGCTGCTGCTGGACTCCACTTCCCATCAGCCACACCCCGAAGAACAGCTTGGGAGTGATGGGAGTTGTAGTCCAGGAAACGCCCGGAGGGCCAAAGGTTCCCCAGCCCCCCCTGCTCTAGTGCCTTTCACAGACAACTGAGGGATCTGGTACGGATTAAGGAATTCAACATCCCCGGGAAACAGCTCCCGAGGATGCCAGGGCAATGCAAAGGCGAACTTGCGGCATCGTAAGGTGTGCGTCTAAATATTGCAAGGCGCGGAGCAACCTCGGTTTCCATTTCATGCGTTGAGTTTCTAGGCCAGACGGAGTTGAAGATAAAGCTTCAAAGCTTGTGGAGCGGTGCCTGGGTGAAGTTTGAGAGCAGCGTTGGGGGGGGGGGGAGAACCTTAGGACTCGCAGATGTTGCTGAACTACAACTCGCATCATCCTCAGCCTGGCCATGCCCCCTGGGGCTGATTGGAGCAACATCTGGTGGGCCAAAGGTTCCCCACACCTGTTTCGGAGGCTGGAGGAATGGAGATTCATCTTCCATCCATCAATGCCCAGCCATTCGCCATTCTGCCCTGAACAGAAAGACCGAATTTTTCGCTCTATAAGACGCACCAGACCACAAGACGCACCTAGTTTTTGGAGGAGGAAAACAAGAAAAAAAATACTCTGAATCTCAGAAGCCAGAACAGCAAGAGGGATCGCTGCGCAGCGAAAGCAGCAATCCCTCTTGCTGTTCTGGCTTCTGGGATAGCTGCGCAGCCTGCATTCGCTCCGTAAGACACACACACATTTCCCCTTACTTTTTGGGAGGGAAAAGTGAGTCTTATAGAGCAAAAAATACGGTATATGAAAAGGGGTAATAATCACATGCAAAATGCTTAACTGATTCCAATTGAAGAACTTTGCATTTGCTGGGAGCTGGACTGAGATTCTGAATTCATTTTGACGCAACATGCGTAGCAGGACCGGCCCAAGACGTTTTGGCACCTGAGGCAGGGTGATGCAGCTGCTGGTGATGCATTCCTTGGAGGCCGGGTCTGCTGCCCCTGCGGATCCTGCCACCTGAGGCGGTTGCACCACCTTGCCTCAGGGGTGGGCCGGCCCCGATTGTGCATATATGGAATCCTTATCGACTTACCATCAGCTTCTTCAAATCTGCCCGTTCAGCAGGGTTTTTAATTAAGCTGTGTGGGACAAGGAGGGGGAAAAAAAAATCAGACTTCTTTTTTAAAAAGGCAAAGTTTGCCTTTGCAAGGCCACACTCTTTAGGTTATCAGCACTGCCATACTTTGGGTGGGTCCTTGTACAGTTCCATTGGCTGCACTAACTCACCCCCACCCTCAAAATATATATAAGCACACACGAGCGGTAGCAGCAAACAGCTCGCTCCAACGAGGGGCTGCTGAAAATGCCCTCAGCCAGCTCAGCCCAGCCCCCTTCCTCCTCTCGGCCACGCGCAGCCGCCGCTCACCCATTGGCCAGGGCCTCAAACCTTCGCAGACAATTGGCTGGCAATTTGCTGCACCAGGAGGACGGAGGAGGTTCTGCCGCGGTGAGGGAGAGGGCGGGAAATGGCGCCCTTAGGTTGCCAACCTCTGGTCTAGAGGACACCCCAGTCATGAAGGCTCTATCCTACACCCCCTCAAAAAAGTACCTGGAAATAAGCTTCTCTGAGTTAAGCAGGGCTTACTCCTGAGTTTACATGGATAGAATTGCACAGTAAAAGTTAACAAGCTGTTGCGTAAAACTGTAAAGGGGAGAAAATATCCTTGGGGGAGACTGGCTCTCGCTCCCCGGAAAGCCTGGGGAACTGCGGCATTTGTGGCCGTGTGCATTTGGAAGAGGAGATGCTTCCCCTCTCGGCCCACTGGGGTTCGAACACCCCACACCGATGAAAGCAAACACTTACCATTTATTTACAAACTCCTGGAACTCTTGAGTGAAAACCCCGTTTGGCAGCTTTGGAGGTGGCTGGAGATAAGAGAGGAGGAAAAGGAACACAGACGTTAAGACATGTCGGAACCCAGGAAAAGTAGGCGCCGCTGAGAAAAGCAGCCGGGGTGATGGGAGACAATGGATGGGGCGGGAATAAAAGATGGGCAGGGGTTGCAATAAAGAGGCTCCATGGGTCAAATCATTTTCAGGCGTGGGCTGGCATGCCAAATCCCGCCCCCGCACCGGCCATCTGAATACTGCAGGGCGTCTTGGAGAACCACTTAATTTATTTTGCCCATTTAGCGACTGTAATGTGCTGCATGCTGGATGCTAAAGCTTTCAAAAATAAATAAATGTGCAATTCCAAGTTTTAACAAGATATATATAAAGGTAAAGGGACCCCTGACCATTAGGTCTAGTCGTGGCCGACTTTGGGGTTGCGGCGCTCATCTTGCTTTATTGGCCGAGGGAGCCGGAGTACAGCTTCCGGGTCACGTGGCCAGCAAGACTAAGCCGCTTCTGGCAAACCAGAGCAGCGCACGGAAATGCCGTTTACCTTCCTGCCAGAATGGTACCTATTTATCTACTCGAACTTTTTGGCGTGCTTTCGAACTGCTAGGTTGGCAGGAGCAGGGACCGAGCAACGGAAGCCCATCCCATCGCGGGGATTCAAACTGCCGACCTTCTGATCGGCAAGTCCTAGGCTCTGTGGTTTAACCCACAGCGCCACCCGCGTCCCTGAAGCTATATATAGCAAGAAGTAAAAAGAAGCAATGAGGCTACGACTGAGAACCGAAAGGAACATTTTGATGCGATCGACTGAATTGCCTTTGCGCTGAACAAAAAGTATTATTCGGTGTCTGGCGCAGTATTCGTCACAGCTTGAGACTTAGGCCAGTGTCTGTCCTGCTTCTGTATCTGGATTTGAGGGAGAAAAATGATGAAGACCCAGCCTCAGGCAGGTGCATCATAGCTAATGGCACTGGGAAGAAAAGCTGTGGCATTTTCCCTCCGAGTCTCTCCCTCTGGCCTGTTGTGCTCACCTTTTGGGTTGGAAACCAGGTTCTAAGAATGACAGAGCGGTAGCTCCATCCACTGCTGTCGATGTAGCAATGCAGAAGAATCACAGAATTTGTTGGAAGGGACCATGAGGATCATCTAGCCAAGCCTTTCCCAACCTGTGGGTCCCCAGATATTGTTGAACTACAACTCCCATCACCCCTAGCTAGCAAGCCCAGAGCTCAGGGATGATGGGAGTTGTAGTCCAACACCACCTGGGGACCCACAGGTTGAGAACCGCTGACCTAGCCCACAGGTAGGCAAACTAAGGCCCGGGGGCCGGATCTGGCCCAATCGCCTTCTCAATCTGGCCCGCAGATGGTCTGGGAATCAGCATGTTTTTACATGAGTAGAATGTGTCCTTTTATTTAAAATGCATCTCTGGGTTATTGGTGGGGCATAGGAATTCATTCATTCCCCCCCCCCCCCCAAAAATATAGTCCGGGCCCCCACAAGGTCTAAGGCACAATGTACTGCCCCCTGCTGAAAAAGTTTGCTGACCCCTGATCTAGCCCACCCCCCTGCAATGCAGGAACCTTTCTGCTTAATGTGAGACTTGAACCCGTGATCCTGCCAAGATTAAGGGTCTTGCACTCCACTGACTGAGCTATTTAACAAAATAAACAGGACTACAATATTTTATTCCAAGAAGACCCATTTATCCTAAATAGAACCCAATAAGGTAGTGAGGTCCAGCTTCAAGGGCCTTCTGGCGGTTCCTTCCCTGCGAGAAGTGAGGTTACAGGGAATCAGGCAGAGGGCCTTCTTGGTGGTGGCGCCCGCCCTGTGGAATGCCCTCCCACCAGATGTCAGGGAAATGAACAACTATCTGACTTTTAGAAGACATCTGAAGGCAGCCCTGTTTAGGGAAGTTTTAAATGTTTGAGGTTTTATCATGTTTTTAATATTCTGTTGGGAGCAGCTCAGAGTGGCTGGGGAAACCCAGCCAGATGGGCGGGGTATAAATAATAAAATCATCATTATAATTATGATGATTATTGGACGCAGGTGGTGCTGTGGTCTAAACCACCGAGCCTCTTGGGCTTGCCGACTGGAAGATCGGCAGTTCGAATCCCTGCGACGGGGTGAGCTCCCGTTGCTTGGCCCCAGCTCCTGCCAACCTAGCAGTTCGAAACCACGCCAGAAAGCACGTCCAAGTGCAAGTAGATAAATAGGTACCACTCTGGCGGGAAGGTAAACGTTTCCGTGCGCTGCTCTGGTTTCGCCAGAAGCGGCTTAGTCATGCTGGCCACATGACCCAGAAAAACTGTCTGCAGACAAACGCCGGCTCCCTCGGCCTGTAAAGCGAGATGAGTGCCGCAACCCCAGAGTCGTCTGGACTGGACTTAACTGTCAGGGTCCTTTACCTATACCTATGATTATTAAACCCAAGAGTGGCCCAGGACTGATGCGAAAGCAGCAATCCCTGACCGGAGAACACGAACACCCCGAGAATCTTGACTTCTGCTTCAAAAAGGAAAAAGCGCCTGGTCTTCACAGATTGCAAAGACGAGTCAGAAAATGTAGGAGGCAGAGCTCAGCTCTGCAGGGACTCCGATGCCCAGTACTGTCTGTTCTGCAGACTGTCTCCGAAGTCCATCTGCTCTTTCCCTAGTCCACAAAGTCTTACATAACACCACACGTCTCTTCGAGATCCCAAATAACTCCTGCATTTCAGCAACTTATGCCCTTGTGAATTGTGGATTCTCACTGCGGTGTGCAACGTGAACCTGTAGGCTGATCCTGCTCTCTGTCCCCATGCTGCAGAGGTGAGGAGCCTTTCGGGCTCCATGGGCCAGCCTTCTCAGGCCAAACAGGGCAGGTAAAGGTAAAAGGACCCCTGACCATTAGGTCCAGTCCTGACCAACTCTGGGGTTGCATGCTCATCTCGCTCTATAGGCTGAGGGAGCCGGCGTTTGTCCGCAGACAGCTTCTGGGTCATGTGGCCAGCATGACTAAGCCGCTTCTGGCGAACCAGAGCAGCACACGGAAACGCCGTTTACCTTCCTGCTGGAGCGGTACCTATTTATCTACTTGCACATGACATGCTTTCGAACTGCTAGGTTGGCAGGAGCAGGGACCGAGCAACGGGAGCTCACACCATCACGGGGATTCGAACCGCCAACCTTCTGATCGGCAAGTCCTAGGCTCTGTGGTTTAACCCACAGCGCCACCCGCGTCCCTGGGCAGGTAGGCAGGGCTGAAAATGGGTTTGGCTTAATCCGCAGCGTTCATACCCTGGTTGTGGTACTTCTTCATTCATGACGTAAATTTTAAAGGAAAAGGAAGGAGAGGGAGGGTTAGGAAGGCATACAAGCAGGCATGGGGAACCTGTGGCTCTTCAGGCATTGATGCCTACAGCTCCCTTGATCCCTGGGGCATTGGCCGTGGTGGCTGGGTCCGATAGAAGCTGGAATCCAATGTCCCTGTGGGGGCCACAGGGTCTCCTACCCATGCACATACAGCTGGGAGCAAGCAATATTATTTAGACATACATTTTAATATTTTAATGTTCCATTATTTTAATGTTGTATTTTATTTTTGTTTTTAAGTTGTAATCATTCATCTTGTTTTTATTATTGCTTGTAAGCCGCTCTGAGCCCGGCCTTGGCTGGGGAGGGCGGGATATAAATAAAAAATTATTATTATTATTAAGAGAGCTTTGAAATATTAAGCTCTATGTGTCTGGGTACTGTTTCTGTCCCCACCCCCACCCCTAGCCCTTTTAAAACTATGCAGGGAAAGAACCCACAAAAACTAACAGAGTCTCTTCAAGCCACCAACCTCATTAACTATGTAGTCCAGCAATTCGAAGATAGCCATCGCAGGTCGACTGTCCATCCCGTGGCCTGCATGAACAAAAAGGAACCAAGAGAGTGGAGTCAGAGCAAGCACTGGACACTGGCTGTGTGACCAACTGGCCCCACCCAAGCTGCTAGGTTTTATTCAGAGCCGGCCCACTGAAAAGAACAAACATAACTTAAGTTTACGCCCATTAATTTCAACAGGTCTGCTCGGAGTAAAACTTTTTTTTTTTAAATGATATTTATTGAGAATTTAAAATTACAGAGGAAAAAAAAGAAAAGGAAAAAAGTAGACAAAAAGAGAAATTAAACAATACAAGTCAATAAAAACAAAAACAAAACAAAAACAAAACACACAATACATCAAAACCAAAAACAAAAATAAACAAAAAATTTAAAAACAAATCCAATATTCCCAAATCTTTATCTTTCGTTAGCTTGTTGCATCGACCTCCCTTTTTTGTATTCTAGTTATTAATTATCTCAGCAAATCCTTTCCATCTTTCACTATATTCTGTCATTAAATTACCTTAATTTATTTTAACCTTATCTTACCATGAAAAGCCCTAAAGCTTAAAACTTAAAACTTATTTATACATAATTCCTTTTAACATTTCTACTAAAGCCAAATAGTTTCATTCCAACATTTTTCTAATACTCATTGATTTTACAATGATTTTCTAAATGAATTTTTAAAACTTTCTTCCAATCTTCATCCATCGTCTCTTCTTCCTGGTCTCTGGTTTTATCAGTCCTTTCTATCCCTTCCATCTAGTCCATCAACCTGGTGACCTTCTATCCGAGGCTCTTAAGTCTTTTCCATGTCCCTTCTGCAGGTCTTCTTCATGTTTATACCTGCGCTTTACTTTATCTTCTGCTCGGCGTAAAACTTGGCTGGACACCACACAACGGTGGTGCGTATGTGCAACATATGGACACAAACCATACAGCCTTCTCCTGGGGACAGCGCACTTGGGAAAGCTGCGCTACTTAACAGCTCCCCGTCAACAAGCATTTGTCACGACGCACACAAGGCTTTTGCTGCCTGGCTAGATGAGGGTTTAGGAAGAGAGATGATGTGTACTGGGGGCTGTGGTGTAAGAAAATTGGGAGAACGCTAAATGGATACGCCACCACCGCCAGCCCTTCAGTGAATGAGGCAGGCGGCAAACCGAGAAGGTGGCTGGGCGTGGGTGAGGAGGAGGACTACTTGCCCCCCTCGCAGTGTGCATAGGAATCCAGTTTTTTAAAAAATACTCCAGCCCTCCACAAGGTCTGAGGGACAGTGGACCAGCCCCGTGCAGAAAAAGTTTGCTGACCCCTTTTTTAGACTAATCTACCTACCCATGAAGGGACATGGGTGGCGCTGTGGGTTAAACCACAGAGCCTAGGACTTGCCGATCAGAAGGTTGGCGGTTCCAATCCCCGTGACGGGGTGAGCTCCCGTTGCTCGGTCCCTGCTCCTGCCCACCTAGCAGTTCAAAAGCACGTCAAAGTGCAAGTAGATAAATAGGTACTGCTCTGGCGGGAAGGCAAACGGCATTTCCGCGCGCTGCTCTGGTTCGCCAGAAGCGGCTTAGTCATGCTGGCCACATGACCCGGAAGCTGTATGCCGGCTCCCATGGCCAATAAAGCGAGATGAGCACCGCAACCCCAGAGTCGGTCACAACCGGACCTAATGGTCAGGGGTCCCTTTACCTTTACCTACCCATGTGCCATCTGAAACCAAAGAGGCATATTGGTTGTCAGATATGACCCCCCCCCCAAGCTCTCCTACTCCATGACGGTGTGGAATAAGAGGGTTGCATTGAACACGGCAGTTCTGGAACAGCGGTCTTCTGCAATTGAACTTCCCCATCCTCTCCCCTGAATGGGCGGGGGGGTGTGCCACCTGGCACCCTCAATATCTTTTCTGAAGGGTGGGGAGACCCCCCAGAGTGGATCGGGGGGCTGTGCTGGGGAAAGAAGAGAAGGTGGAGTCGCACTGCAGAAGCGGAACTACAGTGGTTCCTCGGGTTAAGAACTTAATTCGTTCCGGAGGTCCGTTCTTAACCTGAGGCACCACTTTAGCTAACGGGGCCTCCCGCTGCCACCGCTGCGCGATTTCTGTTCTCGTCCTGAAGCAAAGTTCTTAACCCGAGGTACTATTTCTGGGTTAGCGGAGTCTGTAACCTGAAGCGTCTGTAACCCGAGATACCACTGTACAAGGCTTCGGCTGCAACCCAACTTGCGTTCGCTCTTTGTCTAATTGGAGGTGGTCCTAGCCTCTCTCTCACACACACCCTTTGGGAGGAAATCTTACAAACGATGCGCTGCTCAGGAGCCTTAAAATACTACCTTGACAGGGACATAAGATGCCCCCAGTGCTGGCAGGGAAAAGGCCAAGAGTAAACACGAGAGAGGTTTGTAGAAGAATGTGGCATATAAATAAGCCAATTAATAATGATTATATTGCATGGGTTTGTCTCAACTGGAAGCATACCCAAACCAAGCTCTCTCCTGGCTAATCAAGCAAAGTACATTTACACTTAAAGAGCTGCCTAACTGGCAACTTTGTTTGCACAACCATTAAGGAAAGGAAATTTTTGAAGTGACTCTAGCCAGTGGTTAAGAGCTGTACATGAAGGCCCGCAAAATTCCCTCCGGCACAGGTAACTGTGGTCGGCTTTTGAGTATTAAATCTGAATTTACTGACGCAAGCTGTACACATTATACCTTTGTGGTTGCTATAATATTTGTGTGCAACGTCCGTTTGGGGAGCGGAGCAGACTATTAAAAAGAGCCCTCAAGGCATGTTTAAATTAGACCTATTCCTTCTATTCATGGCTACTCAGAACAGATTCGCTCAGTTTTAATGGACATGGCTAATTTAGGTCCATTAATTTCAAGAGATTGACTCTGAGTAGGAGTTAGCTGGATACAACCCCCTATGCTTGAGGGCAGGGAGTTCCTATTACCAGATATTAGGGGCGACGGGGGCAAGCTACCTCTACCATTAATACATTTATATTTTGGCTTTCTTTCAAGGATCTCATTCTTCCTCCACTTTTATGTAGGTTAGGATAAAAGATAGTGATGGGCCAAATGTCACCCAGTGACCTTTATGGCTGATTGGAGGTTTACTGCCCTCCAGATGTTGCTGAACTACACCTTCCATCAGTCCTAGCAAGCATGACCAGGGTGGAAATAGCAATATAGATTGATGCAATGAATTATACATAGGGCTGCCTCTAAAGACAGTTCGGAAACTTCAGCAGAATTCAGCTGCCAGGTTGCTCACCGGAGCAAGACAGTTTGAGCATATTACACCGATCCTGGTCTGACTGCACTGGTTAGTTTCCGGGTCCAATTCAAAGTGCTGGTTTTGACCTATAAAGCCTGAAATGGCTCAGGACCACAATACCTCAAAGACCACCTCTTTCCAGATGAACCCATACGGACCCTGAGACCATCTTCCGATGCTCTCCTTCAGGTGCCTCCTCCTCGAGAGGTTCAGAGGGTAGCAACACGAGAACGGGGCCTTCTCTGCAGTGGCTCCCTGTCTGTGAAATGCTCTCCCCAGGGAAGTTCGCCTGGCGCCTTCATTATACACCTTTAGGCGCCAGGCAAAAACATTCCTTTTTAACCAGGCCCTTGGTTGATCCGATTTACATCCTATGCCCCTTTAAAATGTGTTTTTTGAGGGAGAGGGGTGCTATTGGGTTGTTGTTTTAATTTTTATTATTGTGGTTTTATACCTTGATTTTATTCTGCGAACCGCCCTGAGACCCCTGGGTATAGGGCACTACAGCAGTACCTCAGGTTAAGTACTTAATTCGTTCCGGAGGTCCGTTCTTAACCTGAAACTGTTCTTAACCTGAAGCACCACTTTAGCTAATGGGGCCTCCTGCTGCTGCCGTGCCGCCGGAGCATGATTTCTGTTCTCATCCTGAAGCAAAGTTCTTAACCTGAAGCACTATTTCTGGGTTAGCGGAGTCTGCAACCTGAAGCGTATGTAACCTGAGGTACCACTGTATATAAATCCAGTAAATAATAATAATATAGCAACACTGGGGAGGGGCAGATGCTCCCCACACCTGCTCTAACCAATACACTGAACTGCCTCAAGACCTCACAGAGGTTTTCGGGAGGCCACTGTCAGGGCTCCTTCGTCTGGTCCAAATTAACTTGGCAACGCTAACCTAGAGCGATCAGACCCGGTTTCGCTCTTGCACCCTGCAGTGGGAAACAAGTCCCAGTGACTAAAACTTGACCGTCAACAACACCTCTCCCCCCCCCCCCGTCCTCATACAATGCCTACCGCTAACAGGGCGTCCTGGGGGCCTGGGCCGTGGTGAGATGCTGTGAGATTCCCCTTCTGCCCCATCGAACACGGGGCGGCCGAATATCGCTTCCAGTTCCTTGGCATCTGGCGGAGGGATGGGATACCTTCCAATCGACAGCTCCACCAGAGAGAGGCCCATGCTCCAGATATCGGACTGGACCGAATAGTGAGTACCTTGTAAGCGCTCTGGCTGCAAGCGGTCAAAACAAGAGAGGTGGGTTAGTTCAGGCTTGAACAACAACCAACCTCAAGCCTGACTTGAAATGGTACTTTGCAGCCTGTTGCCTAGTCCGGATGAAGGAGAAATAAAGAGAATTTTGGAATTAAGGCAGCCCCAGCTTTCAGAATTGCAATGCCAGTAAAAAGGCAGAAGAGCTCACCACCCAAAGAAGAAACCCATCATCATAGCCAGTTACTGAAAAGACCTCCTTTCTTCTTTTTCCTTTGCGGAAGCAAATATTAAGAATGGGAACTGCACTACAGTTTGGGATCAGGACGTTTAATTCTACCCCCTAAGTGGTCAGTGAAGAATCTCTTACTTTGCGTCGTCCATCACTAACGTTGGAGGTACTATTTGTATTCCTCAGCAGCACGCTGTTTCTGCTTATTGCAATGTAACCGTGGCAAGTGTTCTTAAATATGACTCTCTTCTCCCCGCCAATACAGTATGCCCGCATCCTAAGCATATTTTAACTTGCGTGATTCTAACGACATGTGGGGAAGGTGAGGGTGCACCTACGGGATCCTGTGGGAAGTTGGATTATCCTGCGCGATCTCATGAGAGCACCCCCAGCAGTAACAGAGATGGCATGCCTAGCGCAGGAAGCAAAGCCAGGAGCTTAAAACCTGTTTTTGTAGTGCCAAGCAGCTCTGGGGCTGCCAAAGATTCTCTCCCTCTCCTCCCCTCCCCATTTGCCTTATAGAAGATACACTGGCTAGCCATGGGGTGGCTCCAATTATGGTAACACAATTTTGGGTTTACACGATTTCCGTGCATATATATTACCCTTGAAACCGAACCCCTGTGGGTCAACTGTCCACCCAATCCACACTTTGCTGTTGTTTCACCACCTCTGTTTTAGTACCATCGTATTCATTCCGAATGAACTTACCCGCCATTTATTAGACAGCCTTGAGCTGACAAACTTCGACCATCTTCACCTACAGCATACTATAAACACCATGGGGCTTCCACAGATCCTTCTCAATTCTCAAAAAGTCCTTATGAAAATAAAATCCATAGGCAGGGAATCCACAGCCCATTTGGATTGGGGAGAAAAGCTTAAAAACATAAATACTAGAGTTTGGGGGTTTTTTGGAGGGGGGCATTTTTTAATTTTTAAAAAACCCCATTAGTTGGACTTTACAGGCTGCAACTCCCATTATCCCTATCCATTGGGCTGGGCTGAACTAGGGCTGATGAGAGTCCAATGCCACCTGGTGGGGGCCGCCGGTTCTCCAAGCCCCCAACTGGGTGCTGCTCAAACCTATCACCTTAGGAGCCACCCACTTCTGATGCAAAACACACACACACACAAACCAAAGGTGGCACAACAAACACAGCAAAGGGACCTACAGACATATAGGAGCGAGTGCCCACGAAGGAATTCGCCATGGAGTCGATGAGCTGGCCGCTGACTCCAAAATCACAGAGCTTAATCTCTCCCGGGAATTCACCAAGATGTTAGAAGGCTTCACATCTGAAAATAGATTTTTGAGAGAAAAGACTGAAAGGAGGGGAATGTCAGAGTGTGTGCAATTCAAGCAATGGGGGGGGGCAGCCCTTAGTGAAGGTTCTACACACCCTCAGAGCATTCAGCTTTCTGTTTTTGTTTTTAATGAAAACGAATGAATGAATGAATGCAATTTCCTAGCCATCGCGGCTATTCAACAATTTTCTTCAACCTGGTGTTCTCCATATGTTGTCAGACTACTTCTGCCATCATCTCTGTCCACTGGGAAAGTTAGTTGGGGTTGATGGAAGTTGGAGTCTGAGAACACCCGGAGGGCAGCAGGACACCTAGGAAGGCTGCGTCTGATTGAATTTTGGAAGCACTGAAGTCCGGCAAAGCAACCAGGGCCTTTTCAAAGATAAACACCCAGTTTTAAAGTTATAGATAGACTAAGATTAAAGATTAGGATTAAAGAAGTTTAAGGAAATGGAAATTTGGTATTTAAGAGGTAAAATTTTAATGCTATATTATATTAAGATTAAAGATTGGGATTAAAAAAGTGGGAAAGAAATTGCTGGACAAACAATTTGAACTGGAATACAAAAGAGGGAGGTATGAGGAGGTCCAGAAAATAAGTAAATTTAAAAACGGAAATGAAAAGGTGATATTGTTTTTAATTTTTTTTGGTTTTTTTTTTGTTTTTTGTTTTCTGTGCTTTTTTCTTCTTTGGATTATGTACTGTGTATTTGTGTATTTCTTTTTTATGTTTTTCTGTTTAACTTTTTACTGAAACCTTAATAAAAATCATTAAAAAAAAACAAAAAAAAAAGATAAACACCCAGCAACTCAGAATGGAAAGTGGCAGGGGTGGGAGAGAGGCCTTTGAGAGCTGCTGCCAATCAGTATGGCCTCCTGGCAACTGTACCTCAACCCAACACTCATGGAAGTACTGGCGGTCTTCGAATCACACATACAGCTGGAGCAAAACGGCTTAGCATCCACCCTTCCCAAACTCGCTCCCAGGACTCAGTTGAGGCCCCGTTATTCCTGATGTCCAAATGAATGTGCAATTCAGATACCCTCCTGTCTGTTAATTGTAGAGAGCAAGTGGGATGTAACCAAGGAATCCTTGGCATGTTCTGGCACGACGGTGCTCGCTTGGTTGTTTCCAAGCCTGAATCAAGTCAAAATGGAGCTCCAGAAAGAGAGTGGTTTGCAAAGTCAACGCCTCGAGGCACAATAAGCGTTGAAACCAAGTCTACGTATGTCCACTGCGCTTGTGGAATCTGGGTTCCCTCGGCACAAAAGACCCTCGCAGAGCTTTCCCTGTGTTCCAGCTGCTCACTCACCTCTGTGCATGATCTGGTGCTTCTCTCGTAAGTAAGCCAATCCTCGCAGAACCTGGTGATGTGGCGGGGGCGGGAAGAGGAGAAGAGAGGAGAAGGAAAAGGTCAGGGCACCATGAGGATTTGGAAAGCTGAAGGCTTTGCAGGGTGGAAATCAGGCTCTTCTGGATCAAGGAAGACAAAGGCTGCCAAGTGTTGGCCAATGCACAGATTGCAAAGAGGAAGGGAGGCTGTACCACCTTTTCTCCCTCCATGGACTGACTGGTTCCCTCTCACCATACTGGCTGGTCCAGAAATAACCAGATCCAATTATGTTCAGGTTCCCACTCCAAAATTTTGAGTGGGGCTTGAGGGGCAGACGTATTTGATGTTTCTGCTCCTTCCCCATTCCTCCCCTCTCATTTCATTCTGTTTGGGCCAGAACCTTTCATGGGAATTTACGTTTCTCTGAGCCCCCACTCTAGATCTATGCTTGGGTCTTGCCACCTCAACAATTGCCCTGCTTTTCATCCATCATTGCCCATTTTTTGTTCTCCTTTGACTATAACCTGCATTTGGTCACCTAATCCACTTGATTGACTGACACTCACCTTGAAATTAATGGAGCCAAATTAGTCATGTCCATCAAAGGGGCCTACCCTTGAGCAGGACTGACATTTGATAAAGGCAATTCCCCCCCCCCCCCATTTGGGGAAGTTCTCTTCCATGTTAAAGGAGGGAGCCCTCAAAACCATCACAAGAGTTTCACTTTTATTGCCTGATCAGTTTCAACAGTTTAAGGTAAGGAAGAGCAGCCGACAAACTCGATGAACCTTTGTTCCTGAAAAGTGGTTATTAATTATTGTTAAAGTAATTCACGCAACGCCTTTCATTTAGAGAAGAAGTACGAAGGCAACTGGTTATTTTTAGACACCCTGTAAGCAAGGGGGGAAGAATTGTTATCCTTCTCTACTTCATCAGAACTGAGCTGCTAATACAATTGTACTTTGGTTTTGAACAGCTTAGTTCTCAAACATTTTGGCTCCCGAATGCCGCAAAGCTGAGCCTATTTTCTTTAAACAAGCTTTTTTTTTCTTTCTTAAGAGGAAGGCAACAGCATACTCACCGCTATGCTGACTTTCCCCAAGATATCCTCAGGAATTCTCTTGGCTTCTTTCAAAACCTGATCTAGGGAACCTCCATCCTAAACTCAGAGGAAAAGAGACCAGCTGACATAAAGTAAGATATTGGCCATAACCACAGTTCACACCCCGCGCAAGCCAGGCATTCCTGTATGAAGGCAGAGTGCTAACCCATCTCTTCCCCAGACACAGGCATAGTGCAAAGGTACATGCTGTACGTACTCCCCAGCCGCAGCCAGATTTTACTAATTGAAACTTTTCTTCTCAAGCATTTTTATACCTCGAATCAGTATACTTCCTCAGGAAGGGGGACCTTTTGACACCTTTTTTCCGCACAGTGACAAGGGAAAGGGCATTTTCAATTGTGACTCAACAACAGGTAAAGGCTGACCTTGCTTCCCAGGCGTCTGATGGACTGACCCGAGTTAGTTCTGCAATTAGCAGGCCCCTAAAACTTCCTGTGGTTGTTTAGGGGGGTTGTTTTTGCATCTGTGTGTGTGTGTGTGTGTGTGTGTGTGTGTGTGTTCCATGAATTGTTGATGTTCTGTATCAATCTGTTTAAAAGTAAAGGGATCCCTGACCATTAGGTCCAGTCGTGACCGACTCTGGGGTTGCGGCGCTCATCTCGCTTTATTGGCCGACGGAGCTGGTGTACAGCTTCCAGGTCATGTGGCCAGCATGACTAAGCTGCTTCTGGCGAACCAGAGCAGCGCACGGAAACGCCGTTTACCTTCCTGCTGGAGTGGTACCTATTTATCTACTTGCACTTTGACGTGCTTTCGAACTGCTAGGTTGGCAGGAGCAGGGACCGAGCAACGGGAGCTCACCCCGTGGCGGGGATTCGAACCGCCGACCTTCTGATCAGCAAGCCCTAGGCTCTGTGGTTTAACCCACAGCGCCACCCGCGTCCCTATCAATCTGTTTACTATTTAGCTAATGTTTTGCATAACTTATTAATGGTATAATGTATTTATGTTTTTATATGTGTTGTGGTTTGCTTGGAGACCTTTGGGTAACAAGCAACTGATAAGTCTAAATCAGGCATAGGCAAACTCGGCCCTCCAGATGTTTTAGGACTACAACTCCCATCATTCCTACCTACAGGACCAGTGGTCAGGGATGATGGGAATTGTAGTCTCAAAACATCTGGAGGGCCGAGTTTGCCTATGCCTGGTCTAAATGCTGTTGCTGCCATTACTACTAATACCATTACTACTAATAACAGTTGCCCGTTGTGGCTCAGGCAGCATATTATTTCTGTGTCACTTAAATTTGGCAAAATGCAGAATTCACAGCATACCAGTGACCACCGAACAAGTCACGAAGAAGAAGAAAGAAGAAGAAGAAGAAGAAGAAGAAGAAGGGAGTTTGGATTTGATATCCCGCCTTTCACTCCCCTTCAGGAGTCTCAAAGCGGCTAACAATCTCCTTTTCCTTCCTTCCCCCCCAACAAACACTCTGTGAGGTGAGTGGGGCTGAGAGACTTCAAAGAAATGTGACTAGCCCAAGGTCACCCAGCAGCTGCATGTGGAGGAGCGGAGACGCGAACCCGGTTCCCCAGATTACGTGACTACCGCTCTTAACCACTACACCACACTGGCTCTCAAATGGCAGCAGCTCCCGTAAACTATGTAAAAGGAACCAAAGCAATAGGGAGATGACCCCCCTCTCGCTGCCAGATCCTGCACTAGATCTGCACTTGCCTTACGGTTGACACAACTGGCCAACATCTCTCAATGTCTACTGCAAGAACCGGCCTATTTGTAGAGATCTGCAAGCAAGGCTCTGACCTCACCCTCAGGATAGGCAAGTTGCTCGCAGGAACAAGGGTGTTGCTTTTTCCTGCTGTGGCATTTCCGAATACAGAATACCCATCCTAAGCATATTTGCCTGGCACCCAAGTTACCTCATTACAAGCCAAATGCTTCTCTCTCCCAGTACGTTCTCTCCCAGTATGTTTCTGAGCACAATTCAAAGTGTTGGTGCTGACCTTTAAAGCCCTAAACGGCCTCGGTCCTGTATACCTGAAGGAGCGCCTCCACCCCCATCGTTCAGCCCGGACACTGAGGTCCAGCGCCGAGGGCCGTCTGGCGGTTCCCTCATTGCCAGAAGTAAGGTTACAGGGAACCAGACAGAGGGCCTTCTCGGTAGTGGCGCCTGCCCTGTGGAACGCCCTCCCAGCAGATGTCAAGGCAATAAACACCTATTTTACTTTTAAAAGACAACTGAAGGCAGCCCTCTTTAGGGAAGTTTTTAATGTCTGATGCTGTACTGTTTTTAATATTCAGTTGGAAGCCGCCCAGAGTGGCTGGGGAAACCCAGCCAGATGGGCGGGGTATAAATAATAAATTATTATTATTATATCTCTTTCTCTTAACAGAATGAAGGGACTAATTTTGACCTTTGTTTCATAGCTGATCTTAGTTCTGCCTATCATTAAAAGAAACCCACTTGTGTATGCATATATGTGTATGAGTAAGCCATCTTGGCCATTATTTTGATTGAGAGGTGGGACACGTATCTTAAGAAAATAAAATAAAGCACCGGCGTCCTTTGCCATCCACTAAATCAATGCCTCACAACACTGAAGACATGTAAGCAAGCCAGGGCGATTCTCAAACATTCTATTTTATCCACTTTGCCCACAGAATACATTACTTTATACAAATCTCTGCTGTGTTACGATTCTTAAATTAAACCAAGCTAAAAATGCACAATCTGAAAGAGAGAGAGAGAATGTAGCAGATGGCCCTGATCTTGCCTCACAAAAAAGTTGACAAGGTAAAGTTCGCTCTTGTCTGCAGAATGTATTGAGAGATCACAAATACAGCCCACAGAAGTGCATACCAAACCTCTGAAACGGCAATTTGAGAAGACACCACTTCTTGCAGAAACTGATCTGGTCTCTGAACAAGCTGGAACTTGAATTAGGGACTCCCCAGCTGACCTTAAGCATCAGGGAGGTTCATATGTGAATAGCCACTCCCACAAGGTTCCCAAGACCTTTACAAGAAGGGGAGAGATATGGCTTGATCAAATGGCGAAAGAACCTGGTTACAGGTATAAGCAAGAGTCAAGACTGGAAAACACACTGGCCCCTATTTTAGCCCCCCAAGGTTATTGCTGGTGTCTGCGAATCAGAGACATTCTCTTCATTCTGCGCAAGGCTTGCTTCTAGAAAAATAACATGGTGCTGGCAGCTAGGATTTTAATTCCCTCCCCCCACCCCCCACCCGCACTAGGAACATCTTCAGGGTTATATAATTAAGAGTGGAATTTTTTAAAAAGACATGGAGTGCCAGGCACGCAACAAGCAGCCAATGAGGAAACCCAGAGGGAAACACAAGAATTGCTACACATTCAATGAAGGATTAGCTACAGTCAGAGGTTGATGCTCTGACTGGTGCTGAACAGGGTATCTGTCTTGCTTAAGAAGGTGGGAGAGAAAAACAACACTTACCATATGCTCCATACAGATGCTTATCTCCCCATCGCTGTAGAAGGCGCCATAGAAACCCACAATGTATGGAGAGTTACACTCGTGAAGCACCTGGAGCTCGCGGATTATCTGGTTTCGGATGGCAGGCTTGATCTCCAGGTGAATCAGCTGTGGGGAGAAGAGGGAGTGGGTGGGGAATGAAGGAACAAAGGGGATAAAAGGCTGCACCAAGAACTACAGTGGTACCTCGGGTTAAGAACTTAATTCATTCCGGAGGTCCGTACTCAACCTGAAACTGTTCTTAACCTGAAGCACCACTTTAGCCAATGGGGCCTCCTGCTGCTGCCCCACCGCTGGAGCACGATTTCTGTTCTCATCCTGAAGCAAAGTTCTTAACCTGAAGCACTATTTCTGGGTTAGCGGAGTCTGTAACCTGAAGCGTATGTAACCTGAGGTACCACTGTATTTCCATATTGCCACCCAAAGGCACTTTAAAGAGAAACTCCAGCCCCTTTTTTAGACAGCTGAACAACACCAATTGCAAACCGTGGGAAGAAGAGGGGGGAAACTATAAGTTGTTTCAGGAATGGTTCACCACGGGGGGAAAGCCAACAAACTGAAGGAGGACTGATGGGGAAAAAGTGTATTGGCTGTATTGCACCAAACGTGTCATGGCAATTTTGAGAGGCAGGTAAATAAAAAATTGTCCAGTGACACCTTAAGAGACCAACTAAATTTGTTCTGGGTATGAGCTTTCGCGTGCATGTTATACCCAGAACAAACTTAGTTGGTCTCTAAGGTACTGCTGGACAATTATTATTTTTTTATTTCAACTGTGTCAGACCAACACGGCTACCTACCTGAATTTAGAGACAGGTGTGTGTGTAAAAGAAAACAGGACAAGAAGTTAAAGTGTCAGACCAGGTCTGCATTCAAGTCCCCACCCAGCTATGAAGTGAGCCACTCACTCTTATCTCAGCCAAACATATTCCATGAGATTGCAGAGAAGGCAAACTCAAGGAAGGCGAACCATTGTATGCTACCCTGACAAGCTCATTTTGGGGGATGCAATATATAGATACAGAAGGCGACCATTATAGGTGCATCCAATTGACACGCAAATGCTGGCACATGGGTCCTTTTGGACCCGGAAGTAGGCAGAACAGGGGCATAACAGGGCAGGAGGGGAGGCTTATATGTGCTTCACTGATGGGGGGCCCTGTACAACGAACAAACAAACTGATTAAAGACACTAGAAAGATACAAATTCAAATCTTTTCAAGCTAGCCCAGAAGCTTTAATACAGTGGTACCTTGGTTTACGAACTTAATCCGTTCCAGAAGTCCATTCTTAAACCAAAGTGTTCTTAAACCAAGGCGTGCTTTCCCATAGCAGCTGGAGACTCAGTTTACAAATGGAACACACTCAACGTGCTCTGCTTCCAAGGCAAAGTTCACAAACCAAAACACCTACTTCCGGGTCTGCAGCGTTCTTAATCCAAGTTGTTTATAAACGAAGCTGTTCCTAAACCAAGGTGCATTAAATGAGGTGGCTAGTGACAGCTCAGGCTACGTGCCTGCTAGATTTGGCTCGCCCCCACAGAATTCTCATCACAGATTTACTGGTTATGGCTCAACTGTTTCTTGCCACCTCTGCAGATGCCCCCAAACATTTGGTCACACAGGATGAGACATCACCCTCCTCCTCCTCCTCCTCCTCACCTTCCGTGCCATGATTAGCCCTGAGGGTTTGTGTTGTACTTTGGTGACCACTCCACCATTACCGGCTCCCAGCTCAGAAATCCTCTCGAAATCGTCATCTTTCAGCTCTCCAACTTTGGCCTTCTGGGTGAGAAAAGCCTCCAACCGTTTCTTCTGCTGTTCATCCAGTTCCAGTTCTTCCAGTTTCTTCTGGAGGTCAACAAGATGTGCTCTTCAAGGAAAGACGGGAGGAAACTGTTGAGTCTCCCAGGATTCCCAGTCTGTCCCGCTGCTTCTACCAAAGCCTGAGAAGTGAGACTATTTGCTGGCCATAGATTAATCCCCTGGGCCCTGCACATAAACTACCATAGCAAATCACTCTATGTTGTCATGACCCTGAAAACTGTGCTGCCAGAGTCTAGGGAGTCTAGGGAGATGTGAGATTGGCTTCTAACTATTCAGGGCTGACTCCTAGGAAACTGAAGCACTATCAACTTATTTGGTAGTATTCCTGAAGGGGCTTATCTAGCAAGACAACATGTAAGGAAACTCAGCGATCTCTCTCCAGCTAAGTGTGCTGAGTTGCAAACCACTTTCTAACAATGGCATGAAGGTGTAAAGGTGATCCTACGTTACGCATTGTGGTGAAGGAAAGCTGTTTTGGAGAGAGCGCCTTTTACCCCCCTTTTCTTGCCCAACTGCTGCCAGTTGAGCCTTACTCTCCAGTACACCCTCCTTGTGCGTTTTGTGCATTAAGGGTGCATTCTGAAATTCCCACAGCAGCAGCAGCTCTTCTGCACAGGTCGAATTTATTCTTCCTAAGAAGCAGCCCTCAACTCCATTGTCTGGGCTTCCTGATCAGATCTCACTTTCTACACCAACTGCCTCCCCAGAAAATCTGATTCTCTGAAGTCGGAATGCAAAGCCTACATTTGGATCCCTGGAAACGATTCTCGCTCCAAGGCAACCCTCTTCAATGTACCCAGCCCCTCTGCCAAAGCTAACCCTTCGTCACACTCATGACAATTCTCTAGACAAGCATTTCCCACATAATCCTCTCTTAGGAACCTATAAAGCTACCTTGTACTGAGTCAGACTATTGGTCTAGTTGGCTCAGTATTGTTCTGACGGGTAGCAGCAGCATAGGATTTCAGCCCGACCTGAACCCTGAACCCAGGACCTTCTCCATGCAAGTCAGAGATACTCTACCTCTGTGCTATGGCCCTTGCCTTCAACTCACTTTTTGACTTCCTCTACCCCATTCCCATTTCATCATGCAAAAGGCTGGACTGGATGAATCCCAAACTGGAATTAAGATTGCCGGAAGAAATATCAACAACCTCAGATATGCAGATGACACAACTTGGATGGCAAAAAGTGAGGAGGAATTAAAAAACCTCTTAATGAGGGTAAAAGAGGAGAGCGCAAAATATGGTCTGAAGCTCAACATCAAAAAAACTAAGCTCATGGCTACTGGTCCCATCACCTCCTGGCAAATAGAAGGGGGAGAAATGGAGGCAGTGAGAGATTTTACTTTCTTGGGCTCCATGATCACTGCAGATGGTGACAGCTGTCACGAAATTAAGACACCTGCTTCTTGGGAGAAAAGCAATGACAAACCTAGACAGCATCTTCAAAAGCAGAGACATCACCTTGCCAACAAAGGCCCGTATAGTTAAAGCTATGGTTTTCCCAGTAGTGATGTATGGAAGTGAGAGCTGGACCATAAAGAAGGCTGATCGCTGAAGAATGGGTGCTTTTGAATTACCGTATTTTGTCCATGGTCGCCCATAGGACGCACCTAGTTTTTTGGGGGGGGGAAATAAAGGGGCTTCTCCCCAGCAGCAGCCTCAAAACCAGGTCGAGGAACAGCGGGATGGTGCGCACCGACCTCTCTCGCTCTCCAAGCTTCAGCGAAAGCCTGTATTCACCCCATAGGATGCACACAGATTTTCCCTTCATTTTTGGAGGGAAAAAGTGCATCCTATAGAGCGAAAAATACGGGATGCGCTGGAGGAGACTCTTGAGAGTCCCATGGACTGCAAGAAGATCATATCCATTCTGAAGGAAATCAGCCCTGAGTGCTCACTGGAAGGACAGATCCTGAGGCTGAGGTTCCAATACTTTGGCCACCTCATGAGAAGAGGACTCCCTGGAAAAGACCCTGATGCTGGGAGAAGTTGAGGGCACAAGGAGAAGGGGACGACAGAGGACAAGATTGTTGGACAGTGTTCTCGAAGCTACCAGCATGAGTTTGACCCAACTGCGGGAGGCAGTGGAAGACAGGAGTGCCTGGCGTGCTCTGGTCCATGGGGTCATGAAGAGTCGGACATGACTAAACAACAATGAAGCCATTTCTCGGGACTGTGGCCACTGTTGCCTGCTGACAGCTTCGAGGAGCTGCAGGTAACAGCTGAGTACAGAGTGAGGATCAAAGGTGGATAAAAGACCCCAGAAGGAGCACTACCCAGAGGTACTACCCCCTCCCCTAACACCCCATACGCCCCACAGTAGGAATTATATAGACCAGGCAGTCCAAAGTTTGTTTTGGGCGCTTAATCCGGCCCTTTGGTTATCAGTTATCAGGTTAGCTGTAAGTTATCAGGGTAGCTGTAAGTTATGAAAAGCAGGGCTTTTCCTTCATTTTCATTGTGATTAAATGCCTGCCATATCACAATAAAACAAAAAATGCAAAAGTTTAACCAGGTAAAAACATACTACAAATGAGATCTTTTTCACTGCCCGAGACCTTTTAAGATACGCACAAAAGACATTATTACCAACAGAAAGTCCAAAGGTCCAAAGCCAGAAGTTAACATCATCCATATCTACCAACATACTCTCGATGTACTGTAAGGATGTTTTTTGTTAGATGTTCAATAAAGATGTACCAGATGATATAAACGGAGCCCAGCAAGTCTTGACCCCTAAGCAGTTTAAATGGAAGAGTAATGTTTACAATGCAATGTTCCATAAGGTTTGACACCATTTGTATTCAGAGAAGTCCTGAACTGTTTTCCAACGACAATTTATAGCAGATGATAAGCTAGGCCTTTTCTATTGCTGTGACCTCCTACCTAAGGTTGCTCATTCTGCCAACTTACTCCAGTAAGCTTCTAAAAAAAGGAAGAAAAAGAAACTGAAATCCTAAGAACGTATGAAGCTTTCTTACACTGAGCCAGGCCACAGGTCCATCTAGCTCAGGCATAGGCAACCTCGGCCCTCTAGACGTTTTTTGGGCCTACAACTCCCATGATCCCTAGCTAACAGGACCAGTGGTCAGGGATGATGGGAATTGTAGCCCCAAAACATCTGGAGGGCCAAGGTTGCCTATGCCTGATCTAGCTAATACAACCCCAGGGCTGGGAACCTGTGGCCCTCCAGATCTTGCTGGACTCCAACTTCCATCAACCTTAGTCAGCATGGCCAATGGTCAGGTATGATGGGAGCAGACCCTGTGATCACCATCTTTGTCACATGCCCCCTCCACAAAAGGGGGCTGCGGTGGCTCCCCATTTGTGGAATGCTCTTCCTAGGGAAGCTCACCCGGTACCTTCATTACGTATCTTTAGGCACTAGGCAAAGAGTCCTTTTCTCCCAGGCCTTTGATAAATTAAACCACCTATGGCCTTTTAACTGCCCTTTGCTCCTTGGATGAAGGGCGGCATAGAAATTTAAGAAATAATAAACAAATAAAATAAGGCTCTACAAGGTATTCTACATCAACTGGCAGCAGCTCTCCATGGTAATATTTCCTATTCCTACCCGGAAAGATCAGGTGTAGTACCCAGGATACTCAACATACAAAGCATGTGCTCTACCACTGAACCATGTCCTCAGAGCAAACCCCACTAAATACAGAGGGACCAGTGTCAGAAACTCAATATAAACTCTAATCACCAAATGGCACCTTAAACCCAGGTTACGGTCGCCATAATGGAATGTCTAGTCGCTTTTTTCCCTTTTACAATCAAGTTATTTGTTGTTGTTGTTAATTTCATTTCTATACCGCTTTATAGTTTACAGAACAAATCTTAAAGTGGTTGATGACACAGTAATACATCAAATAAAACCATCCAAAATACAACAAGCCTCAAGGAAAATCTTTCAGAGCCTTCTCTAAGGCACATGTTGCTTTCCCCAGCTGCCAACCTGGCATCCAGAGACCTCCATGTGGTCGCAGTTGGACTCATGCCAGTCACAAAACACACCTGGCGCTTGGCTAGTTTCTAACACTGTGTGAGATGCACCTCTAAGAAAGAATGTGTGAAATTACACTGTTAAGAAAGCCTTTCTGTTCCAAAAGGCAGAGCAGGGTGCAACTGTGTGTGCCTTATCTGGTTGCTCTCATCAATGCTATTCTTTTGGCTTCACTACTGCTGGCTTTTAAAACTGTAAAATAGATACAGCATTAATGCAAAACGTCTTGGTGGACTTTTAAGAGAGTAGAAAGGCAGTAAATCCATCTTAAAATTAAAATAAACTCCCTCTCCCCCTCTGCCAAAGGAAGAATGGAGGAATGAGAAAGTAGACAGTACATTTCAAGCCAGTCTCCCAGTGGATCCTAGTCATTTGCTCTTAGGTTATCTGTTCCTGTACATTTTTCATGTCCTCTTGCAACTTACATAAAAGACTTGCTGGTTTAAGCGTTACATTACCTTAATTCTCAGCACTCCCCACTGTGTTACCTTCTAACCCCATCCCTGCAAGGTACCCATCTATCCAGCTCGCTTTTAACACCACTCCCTCTTTAATCTGAGCCACCCTTCCCAGAGGGCTATACCGGGCCTCTCACACATCTCTCTACACCTCTACTAATGAACTGCATGATACCCTTTTAACCACAACCTTTCCTAAGAAACTACCTTACAACTAGGTCATACCATTGCTTGGTTTTTGACTGCAGCCACTGACAGAGGCTCTCCAGAATTTCAGACAGGGGACATTCCCAGCCTCACTTGGGGATGCTGGGGACTGAACCGTCCTACTTGGCGATGCAGCTCCTGCCCTCTCTTAGCCAACACAACCACTCCATTCTCTTCCCCACACTTTCTTCCTCGTGTGAATTTGCTCCTTCAAACGTTTAATCAGAGAACTGTAGCGTTGGACGGGACCCCCAAGGGCCTTCCAGTCCAATGCAGTGAAAGGAATCCTGTCCCTGGGTGGGCACAAACCACCAACCTTCTGGTTTAACAGCCAGATGCCCTGACCCATTGTGACCTGGGAGACCCGGATCAGAGAGGATGCTTGCCTGGAACAATAAACTCTCATAAAGAAAACCTCTTCCAGCTCCCCTCCTTCCATTCACTGCCTTCCCTTCTGCCTCAGTTCTGTTAACATGCAACCCACCCCCAAACTATTCAGGAACACATGCCATTTCAACACCAGTGGCACTAAGAATAGGTGCCCTTTAAACGCCAATCATCATTCAACCCAAATCCTGGTCTCTTCCATATACGGATTCCTCTTTAAGGCTGCGATCCTATACACACTTACTTGGGAATAAGTCCAACTGAATATAGCACAAATGTCTCTCTCCCAGATGCCCCTCCCTGGTTCATTGCCTCAGCTGCTTTCCCCCACCCTCATGTACTTTAACACTTTAAGACCCATCTCAACCTACAGTGGATGCTTGGGGGTTGCGAACGTGATCCGTGAGGGAGGCGGGTTCGCAACCCGCAGCGCTGCGTCTGCGCAGCTCGCAATTCGGCGCTTCTGCGCATGCGCAAAGCACTATTTAGCGCTTCCGCGCCAAAACCCGGAGGTAACCCATTTTGGTACTTCCAGGTTAGGCGCGGTGCGCAACCCGAAAACACACAACCTGAAGCATCTGTAACCCGAGGTATGACTGTATTTGCTAGTTTCCCTCCAACCCCCACATATATTTTCCCCTCTGTCTCTTCTAGTTACACCTGCTCATTAATCATCTCCTCTTACATTCCACAGCCATCCCAACACCACTAATAACAACAAGCCCATCTCAAGCCCCTCCAATCGTTGATGTCCCTTTCCAGACCACCTGCCCACATGGACCCCCTTCACATGTGCTATTGCCCCCACCTCCCAGCTGCTCTTCTTGCTCCATTATTCAACATCTAGCTCAGTAATAATAACACCCTTAACAGTAAAAAAAATAAAAAAATGCTTTGTATGATTCATTTTTTTTGGTAATTTTATGTGCACCACTAAGAAGAGTTAAAGATTAAGCAGTCACTTTGCAGTAAATGAAATTGCAACCTTTCAGTCAAAGCCTCCTTCATCCTTCTCCCTTCCATAAATGGAATCCCCCTTTAAAGTCACATGCTCTTAAGAGACATACTTCTCCTTTCCAGCTGCCTACCTTAATAAAGTACTTTTATTGAGTTGTATCCAGTGACAGCCCTACTCAGAGACCCATTGAAAATAATAGGCATGGCTACCTTAGGTTTATTCATTTCAACAGGTCTACCCTGAGCAGGACTTAGTTGCATGCAACCCACTGATAACACTACTACTACTTATGTGGCTCAAGGCTCCAATAGCTCTTCCCATATGAACTGACCTGGACCTTGTGATTGTTATCTTAGGAAGTCTGGAGCACAACCGAATGGGGACTTTTCATTGGTGGCTCCCCACTTGTGGAACGCTCTCCCCAGGGATGCTTGCCTGGTGCCATCATGACATAGCTTTAGGTGCAAGGTGAAAAAACATTTCTTTTTTGCCAGGCATTTGGCCTCCTTGAGTGAGCGGGATGTTTCAACCTTGCCTTTTAACAATAGAGATGGTCTTTTAGATGTTTTTGTGTTGTGCGTGTTTGTTTGCTTACATAATGTCAGTCGCTTTGAGTTACCTCAGTAAAAAAGCAACCAGTAAATAAAAAATAAAATAAAATAAATACCTAGAGTTTTGGACCCAAAGGCCTACAAGCAATTTACAACAACACATTTAAAAACATAAACACAAACACACCAGGCCATTGGTGTTTAAAGCCCTAAACTCCTCAAATACTTGAATGATCGCCTCCTTCCCTACAGACCTATTGGGCCCTAAGACTGGCAGAGGGTGCCCCCTTGACTACTCCTCTGCCCTCAGAAGCTCAAGGTGGTGGCAACAGGCAGGAGATGGCATTTTCTGTGGAAACCCCTCCCAAGTTGTGCAACTCTTGAGGGGCGTGTGGCAACTTCACTTTAGTTGTTCTTATTTTTATCTGTAAGCTGCCTTGAGTTCCCTGTCAGAGAAAAGGGTGGGGGTAATAACTATTATTGTTGTTGTTGTTGTACTTTCCCCTCTCAGTTTTAACATGATTCTCAGATACAGAAATTCAATTCAATTCAATTATTTATTAATTAATCAATCAATCTATGTGGCAGGGGACAGCAGTGGTGGTTGTCTGTTTGGTTGCAAGACACATTGGGTTGCCCTAAGCAGCCAACAAATTCAGCAAGTAATCATAACAATATAGTTTTCGGTAAATGCTGAAGCCTCACCTCTTCTGACCCAGCTTTTGGCACCTGAGGTACGTATTTATAAAGACATGCCTTCTTTCTGAGATTGCTATGTTGTTTTAAAACATTGTGCAACACTGTGCTTTTCATCTTAGTACTGTCTTTTAGTTGCTGTAACCAGCCCCAGGACCTTAAAGGGAAGGGCGGATAATAATAATAATAATTATTCCCACAAGCGCCCACCCTTCCTCCCTCAGTCTAACAACCCACACCCTTTATTCCCTTTCCGAGACCTCCTCTTCCCCACCTCTGCATCCCCACACCCTACTTTTATATGTATTTTATATGTATTTATATGTATTTCTTCCCACGATCGCAAGCCACTTAAAAAAAACACCCACACACAACACCTTGTGTAACGTTTTGTGTTTTTGTGGAAGCGTTATGCTTTTCAGTTGCTGCAACCTGCCCTGAGACCGTATGGGGGAGGATGGGCAATACAATAATAATAATAATAATTTATTTATAGCCTGCCCACTCTGGGCTGCTTCCAACTGAATATTAAAAACAATACAGCATTAGACATTAAAAACTTCCCTAAAGAGGGCTGCCTTCAGTTGTCTTTTAAAAGTAAAATAGGTGTTTATTGCCTTGACATCTGCTGGGACGGCGTTCCACAAGGCAGGCGCCACTACCGAGAAGGCCCTCTGTCTGGTTCCCTGTAACCTTACTTCTCGCAATGAGGGAACCGCCAGAAGGCCCTCGGCGCTGGATCTCAGTGTCCGGGCTGAACGATGGGAGTGGAGACGCTCCTTCAGGTATACAGGACTGAGGCCGTTTAGGGCTTTAAAGGTCAGCACCAACACTTTGAATTGTGCTCGGAAACGTACTGGGAGCCAATGCAGATCTCTCAGAACCGGTGTTATGTGGTCCCGGCGGCCGCTCCCAGTCACCAGTCTAGCTGCCGCATTCTGGATTAGTTGTAGTTTCCAGGTCACCTTCATAGGTAGCCCCACGTAGAGCGCATTCCAGTAGTCCAAGCGGGAGATAACCAGAGCATGCACCACTCTGGTGAGACAGTCTGCAGGCAGGTCGGGTCTGATCCTGCGTAGCAGATGGAGCTGGTAGACAGCTGCCCTGGACACAGAATTGACCTGCTGCCTCCATGGACAGCTGTGAGTCCAAAATGACTCCCAGGCTATGCACCTGGTCCGTCAGGGGCACAGTTACCCCCTTCAGGACCAGGGAATCCCCCACACTATACATTATTTCTATGCCTTCATCCCAGACCACGGGGCGCTTTGCAATATATACATATAACACATACCCTAGCAAATCACAAAAACAATTACACACACCCCCCCCGCAAAAAAAAAAACCCCAACCACTTTAAACAGATGATTTGATGAGCCAAAGGTTGTGGGAGAATCCAAGAATTGTAGAGTTGGAAGGGTCACCCAGCCCAACCCCCTGCAATGCAGGAATGAAGAGGAATGTTTTTGGCTGGCACCTAAATATATGCAAGGAGCCTCTCTGGGAAGAGCATCCCACAAGCTATTATTATTATTATTACCAATAATAAGTCAGTCTAATCTCCCTTCCCCCACGCCCCTGCCTTAATAATAATAATTCAGTCTAACACCCTCTCCCCCCACACCTTGCCATAATAATAATTCAGTCTAACACCCCTCCCCCTGCCTTAATAATAATAACTCAGTATAACACCCCTCACCCTGCTTTAATAATAATAATAATAATAATAGTAATTCAGTATAACATCCCTCCTCCTGCTTTAATAACAATAATAATTCAGTATAACACCCCTCCCCTGCTTTAGTAATAATAATAATTCAGTATAACACCCCCTCTCCCTGACTTAATAATAATTCAGTCTTACACCCCCTCCCCCCCTACACCGTGCCTTAATAATAATTATTCAGTCAAACATCCCCCTGCTTAATGATAACAAAAATTCAATATAACACCCCCTCCCCGGCTTAATAATAATAATAATAATTCAGTATAACACCCCTCCCCCTGCCTTAATAATAACTCAGTCTTACACCCCCTCCCCCCACACACCGTGCCTTAATAATAATAACTCAGTATAACACCCCTCCCAATGCCTTAATAATAATAATAATAATAATAATAATTCAGTATAACACCCCCTCCCCCGGCTTAATAATAATAATAATAATAATTCAGTATAACACCCCTTCCCCCAGCTCAATAATAATAATAATTCAGTATAACACCCCCTCCCCCTCCCTCAATAATAATAATTCAGTCTAACACCCCTCCACCCACACCCTGCCTTCCCTTTCCTAGACCTCCCCTCGCCCCCTCCCCCCCCCAAGCCCCACATACAAAGGCCTCCGCCCCTCGGAGACCCCTCCCGCTTCCCTCCCCGCCTCCGCCCCGCACTCACTCGGAGCCGTCGCCCTCCCCGCCTGTGGGGCTGGGCCCTTCGGCGATGGTGGGGGTGATGTTGAGGGCCGGCGGCACCAGCTTCCTCTTGGCCGGCATGGCGGCGGCGGCGGCGGCGGCGGCCTTCTTCCTCAGCGAGGGCCTCGCCTCAGTCGCGGCGTCGCCGTCGTCATCCCCCGGCTCGGCGAGCTACGCGAGGCCGAGGCTGCGCGTGAGGCCTACCTGCGCTCCCAAGCCCGGCCCTTCAGGGGAACGCGGAGCTGGGGTGGGAGGGGGAGGAGGAGGAGGGGCGTGGCCAAGAGAGAGGAGGAGGTGGACGGCCGCCCCACCAACACCACACGCCCACGCCCCATTGGGCGAGCTCCGCGAGCCTTCTCCTCCGATTGGGCGGCGCCGGGGCGCGCGCCCAGCACCCCCGGGCCCCATTGGTCGGTTCGGTTCGGCAGCGCACGCGCAGGATGGTGCCGGCAAACGGGATTGGCTGCCGCGTTTGAGGTCGCAACGCCTACCCTTTTCCTTTTTCTTTCCCCTGCCCACAGCCTGCTTTGATTGGTTAGACAGTTATACCCGAAGTCCTAGAACGCGCCCGTGCGCGCCGCTTGAGTGGTACATGGGACGTACGGCAGGGTCCCGGGGGAAGGCGGCGTAAAGGAAATCTCGCGAGAGCCTACAGGAGAAAGATTGGTTTCGAGACGGGAAAGAGCGGCGCATGCGCGTGGGGAGTGGAGTGGTGGATGGGCGGGAAAGAAAAATGGGCGGGAAAATTATTGGCCGTAGGGGAGATTGACAGAAAGAGAATTATCTCACCTCGGTAATGGCAGGGAAGCAGCCAAAGTCCAAGCACCCAAAACACTTATCAAAGGCCCTACTATGAATAAATAAGAGCACCTCTGAGGCTGTGCAGAGTGCATTTTCCCCTCACCAATGAGTTTCACTGAGGTAACTTTAAGAGGCTGCGTCTTCCCCCAAAGGATTGTGGGAACTGTAGTTTGCCCCATACAGAATGACAGCTCCCAGCAGCTTAGACAGACTACAGTTCCCAGGATTCCTTGGGGCAGGCCATGTTTTTTAAAAGTATGGAGGCAAATTTCAATAGGCTTGCTTCGATTATAACTAAGGTTATAAATATATTTTAAGCTCATGGCATCCCTCCTCCCCCAAAGTCTCCTGGGAAATGTATTTTATCTACAATTCCCAGCACCCTGAGCAAACCTTATTTCCCAAGGTTTTCTCCCAGGGGAGGTTATGTGCAAATGTAAATGGTCTACTGCTCTGTTTGTGGAGCACAGCAAAACGTGGGATTTTCGCTGCCAAAAGCTGGAAATCTTTTGCCAAAGTTTGGAGCAAATTGGGTGATGTTGGGATTCTGGGGTGACCCTATGATACCCCTGGGTTTGAGGGTTTATAGTTCCATTTGCGGGGCGTTGCAAAATGTGGAGCTTTTCCTGCAAAAAGCTGCAAAACTTTTGCCAACCTTTGGTGCCGGTTTCGAGTGAATCGGGCAACGTTGGGTTTTGGGGTTTTAGCTACGAACCGCAGTTTGATGCGTCAATGGCTCCTTTTGTGGGGCGCTGCAAAATGTGGGGCTTTTGCTGCAAAAAGCTGCAAAACTTTTGCCAACCTTTGGCGCCGGTTTCGAGTGAATCAGGCGATGTTGGGTTTTGGGGTGTTAGCTACGAACCCCAGTTTCATGCGTCAATGACTCCTTTTGTGGGGCACTGCAAAATGTGGTGCTTTTGCTGCAAAAAGCTGCAAAACTTTTGCCAACCTTTGGCGCCAGTTTCGAGTGAATCGGGCAACGTTGGGTTTGGGGGTGCTAGCTATGAACCCCAGTTTGATGCGTCAATGACTCCTTTTGTGGGGCACTGCAAAATGTGGGGCTTTTGCTGCAAAAAGCTGCAAAACTTGTCAAAGTTTGGCGCCGATTTCAGGTGATGTTGGGTTTGGGGTGTTAGCTATGAACCCCAATTTGATGCATCAATTACTCCTTTTGTGGGGCGCTGCAAAATGTTTTGCTGCAAAAAGCTGCAAAACTTTGTCAAAGTTTGGCGCCGATTTCGAGTGAATCAGGCGACATTGGGTTTTGGGGTGTTAGCTATGAACCCCCGTTTGATGCATCAATAACTCCTTTTGTGGGGCACTGCAAAATGTGGGTCTTTTGCTGCAAAGCGCTGCAAAACTTTGGGAGGAGTATGCAGTTATCTTCCACTTTACTTGGGGGCAGCAGGCTAGCAATAGGGGGCACAGGTGTAATAAACGAAAATCTGCCCTTATTCCCTTATGGTGACACAAGAGCCCTTATAGAGTCCTTTGTAGGTTCTCCATCGGTCGGAGAAAATAACAGAGGCCAACCAGAGAATATTGAGAAGCAAAGCAGCTAGTAAGCCTGATCTTTATTGAACTGTTGCAACAGGGTGACCCCTTCACACGCAGGAGGAGGAGGACCCAGAACCCAGGTGTGCCCGCCCTTATATAGACATTTTAAATTGCCCGCCCTGGAGTCCAAGACCACCCCCAGAAACATCATACATACATCACAGAAAGGGGTGGTCTACAACAGAAATCTGAGTGCTGTTTACCAGAAATCTGTTGTTTACCTCCTGTCTGGCAGGTTACTTGTTAATGGTCACTTGATTGGATACCCTGGGGAGCCTGGCCAGTCTTTTGTAATGATAAATACCGTATTTTTCACTCCATAAGACACACTTTTTTCCTCCTAGAAAGTAAGGGGAAATGTCTGTACGTCTTATGAAGCGAATGCGTGGTCCCTGGAGCCCAATTGCCCGGGGTGAAAAGCAGATTGTGCTTTTTTTTTTTTTTTTTTAGAAAGAGGGAATGGGGTGTTGAAACAAAGCCGCTTAGCAGCTGATCAGCAAGTGATCGGGAGGGGAGATAAGGGACTCTAGCGATACAGGAGGCTGCCACAGCATGAACCACAAAAATCATACATCCACTGTAGAATATTTTTTTTCTTGTTTTCCTCCTCTAAAATCTAGGTGTGTCTGATGGTCAGGTATGTCTTATGGAGCGAAAAATACGGTACTTAGTCACAGACTCACCCTATTCATACACAGACATACCCTTAAGACAGGATTTGTGAATGAAAAGACAAAGGGGAGCTTTTTCATTTTTCTTGACCTTGCAGAGAAATCATTTGGTCAGTTGGGGAGTCAAAATGGTTTCCGGGCTGTTTTCCTGTGCTGCTTCAGACATGTGGTTTATATATTTATGTACGTGTTTGCTTGGTACATTTATGAACATTTATTATACATATAAGACCTTATTTTTTTTATTTCACAGGGAAGGCCACATGTCAATCTGTTCCCTCCCCGCACCTCAGCATCTGCCGCCTGAGGTGGCTGCTTCCCTCTGCCTCATCATAGGGCCGGCTCTGGCCTCCATTCAACAGTACTAAATTACCAACAAGGCATTCTGAGGGAAATTGCAGCGTATTTGCCATCGGAAGCATCGTGCTCACTGCATTCTGTTCTTTCCTCTTGTTTTTTACCTCCTCACCCATCTGCCAAGGCATGTGCATGGATCCCGGTCCCCATGACAGCCAAAAACTTCTCAGCCACCTAAAAATAGGAAGAACAGAATGAACATTTCGCACTTGTCCCCTGCAAAATGCAATACTGGGTTTGCTAACAGATTGGCTAGCTGGTGAGCATGCACAAATGTGCCCTCGGTATAAAAGAGAGACATGTTGTTGTTGTCTAGTCGTGTCCGCCTCTTTGTGACCCCCTGGACCAGAGCACGCCAGGCACTCCTGTCTTCCACTGCCTCCCGCAGTTTGGTCAGACTCATGTTTGTAGCTTCGAGATCACTGTCCAACCATCTCGTCCTCTGTCATCCCTTTCTCCTTGTGCCCTCCGTCTTTCCCAACATCAGGGTCTTTTCTAGGGAGTCTTCTCTTCTCATGAGGTGGCCAAAGTCTTGGAGCCTCAGCTTCAGGATCTGTCCTTCCAGTGAGCACTCAGGGCTGATTTCCTTCCGAATGGATGGGTTTGATCTTCTTGCAGTTCATGGGACTCTCAAGAGTCTCCTCCAGCACCAGAATTCAAAAGCACCCATTCTTCGGCGATCAGCCTTCTTTATGGCCCTTCTCTCGCTTCCATACATCACTACTGGGAAAACCATAGCTTTAACTATACAGACCTTTGTTGGCAAGGTGATGTCTCTGCTTTTGAAGATGCTGTCCAGGTTTGTCACTGCTTTTCTCCCAAGAAGCAGGCGTCTTTTAATTTCGTGACTGCTGTCACCATCTGCAGTGATCATGGAGCCCAAGCAAGTAAAATCTCTCACTGCCTCCATTTCTCCCCCTTCTATTTGCCAGGAGGTGATGGGACCAGTGGCCATGATCTTTGGTTTTTTCTATGCTGAGCTTCAGACCATATTTTGCACTCTCCTCTTTCACCCTCATTAAAAGGTTCTTTAATTCCTCCTCACTTTCTGCCATCAAGCTTTTGTCATCTGCATATCTGAGGCTGTTGATATTTCTTCCGGCAATCTTAATTCTGGCTAGGGAGTCATCCAGCCCAACCTTTCGCATGATGAATTCTGCATATAAGTTAAATAAGCAGGGAGACAATATACAACCTTGTCATACGTGGCTGCTGTTCAAACCCAGCTCACGTCACTTGAGCAGAGCCGGCCCACCTGTTGGGCCAGGTGAAGCGGCTGCTTTGGGCGGCGGGAGTGCAAGAGGCAGCGCCTCACCCACTCCACTGCTTCCACCAAAACGCCTCCCTCTAGCCAATTTTGGAGTGCTGCAGAAGTAGGGTGGGAGGTCACAGCATAGCCAGAAAGCATCACTTTTCCTTTTTGCCTCTGGTGGAAAAACAGGATGAGACTCACCTCTGGCAATATGGGACTTACATGCACTGTGTTATGTACTGAAGTTCTCACCCTGGGCCAGCAGGGGATACTGTAGATAGAATGCAAATGAAGGATCAAAATTGACGTTCAGTGATTGGATAGTTTGTATGCAAATGAAGGATTGAAAGTGACGTTCAGTGATTGGCTAGTTACAGAAAATGGTTACTGTTGCATTCTAGTGGAGCTCTATATAAGCAGGCTGACTGAGCTCCTCAGTTCAGTTCTGTTCCAGCTTACAAATAAAGAGCTGCTTTAGAAGAATCGCTGTGTCGTCTGATATGTTTGCCCACAACTTAACACACTGAGGAAAGGATTTATAATGAATTGAAAAAAGTGTTGAAAAACACATTTATTAAAAAAACCAGAAGCCTTTTTACTTGGCATAGTGGGGGTGACATCCCCAAAAGGATGTTACCTTTTTTCTGTATGCCACAACAGCTGCAAGAATATTGCTAGCGAAGAATTGGAAGAAACAAGATTTACCAACTATCGAAGAATGGCAGATGAAGATGATGGACTATATGGAACTTGCCAAACTGACCGGGAGACTCCGAGACCAGAGAGAAGAGACGGTGGAAGAAGATTGGAAGAAGTTTAAGGAATATTTGAAAAAAATATGTTAATATTTAAATCTTTTAATAGCTCTTGAAGGGGATATAGGCGGTAGGGTTAGAAGTAGAATATATAAGTAGAAGTAGAAGTGATAAAATGTGAAGTTTTTTATGGTTAAAGTAAGTGTGTGTGGGGGAAGATGGTTAGAAATTATGATATATGTAAACTGCTAAAGATGAAGTAAAATGAAAATCAGATAGGTGGGACTTGGGGAAGCCCACTTAACAATGTTTAGAAAAATAAGGATATGACAAGAATTTTTTTGTATTGTTTGTCTTTTCTGTTTGTGCTTTTATTTGTGTTATAAAATGAATAAAAATTTTTGGAAAAAAAACATATAGAATGAGAGAACAAGAAGAACATACGTTTAAAGAAGATTGGGAAACGTTTATTGAATGTACAGGAAATAATTGTGTATAGCTGAAAACAGTGGCAGCATTAAGATAAATTCAGCAGTGTAAATAAGTATAGATGGATGCAATAATGGAATACTGAATGATATAGTTTTTGTAAAACATGCAGGGATTTACGATATGCAAAACGAACCATGGAAAGAGAAGGAGGGAAGTCACTGATATCTTAAAGATGTAGTATTTCAAATTGTAAAACAGAAAAGTTAATAAAAATTATCTAATGGCCCAGGTTGGGCCGCCTTTTGAGATGTCCCTGCCAAACTTGGTATGTGGGTTTCTTAGATGGGGATGAAGATCTTTGTTGGTGCTTGGCCACCATCTAGAATCAAGATGGCTGACCGAAATGTGACTTTGGTGCGACTCCGCCTGTCGGCTTTTTTGGCATAGATTTGGACCCCTCTTGCGTTACCGTTGCCAAACTTGGCATGAGGGTTCCCGAGGCGGAGGCAAAGGTCTTCATGTTGGCTAGGCAACAATGCTTCTGAATATGCAGGTGCTGGAAACCACAGGATGGGGAGAGATGCTCTTGTGCTCCTGTTCTGTTCCTTGGTTTCCCGTGGGCTTCTGGTTGGGTATTGTTAAGTTGTGGGCGAACATATCAGACGACACAGCGATTCTTCCAAAGCAGCTCTTTATTTGTAAACTGGAACAGAACTGAACTGAGGAGCTCAGTCAGCCTGCTTATATAGAGCTCCACTAGAATGCAACAGTAACCATTTTCTGTAACTAGCCAATCACTGAACGTCACTTTCGATCCTTCATTTGCATACAAACTATCCAATCACTGAATGTCACTTTCGATCCTTCATTTGCATAACTATCTACAGTATCCCCCTGCTGGCCCAGGGTGAGAACTTCAGTACATAACAGGTATCCACCATAAGAACAGGATGCTGGACTACAATTTGGTAAATCTCCCCTGGAAAGGCTAATGTTTGATGCAACCGGTCTGGGAAAATTAATGAGCAAACCCCTAGATTTGATTTCGTCGGAATTGAGAGAAGATGGCGTCTGGCAGCAGCGAAATGACTTTTGGATTGAATCGGCATAAACACCAGCGTGTGAGTAGATACTGCAACAACGGCGGAGAGTCATACACTAAAATCCACACACAAACACATCATTGCTTATTTCAACTCGCTTGTGGAAACAATTCAGAGGCCATGAAAGAAGGAAGGTTAACAACAGGAAGATTTAAAGGAACTATCACCTCCCGGCAAATAGAAGGGGGGGAAATGGAGGCAGTGAGAGATTTTACTTGCTTGGGCTCCATGATCACTGCAGATGGTGACAGCAGTCACGAAATTAAAAGACGCCTGCTTCTTGGGAGAAAAGCGATGACAAACCTAGACAGCATCTTAAAAAGCAGAGACATCACCTTGACAACAAAGGTCTGTATAGTTAAAGCTGTGGTTTTCCTGGTAGTGATGTATGGAAGTGAGAGCTGGGCCATAAAGAAGGCTGATCGCCGAAGAATGGATGCTTCTGAATTCTGGTGCTGGAGGAGACTCTTGAGAGTCCCGTGGAGTGCAAGAAGATCAAACCTCTCCATTCTTAAGGAAATCAGCCCTGAGTGCTCCCTGGAAGGACAGATCCTGAAGCTGAGGCTCCAAGACTTTGGCCACCTCTTGAGAAGAGAAGACTCCCTGGAAAAGACCCTGATATTGGGAAAGATGGAGGGCACAAGGAGAAGGGGACGACAGAGGACGAGATGGTTGGACAGTGTTCTCGAAGCTACCAGCATGAGTTTGACCAAACTGTGGGAGGCAGTGGAAGACAGGAGTGCCTGGCGTGCTCTGGTCCATGGGGTCACAAAGAGGAGGACACGACTAAACGACCAAACAACAACAACATTGGAAAGACTATTCAAGGCAGCAGAGATATGAGATGATCAGAGGCCCCCCCCCGAACTTGAAGCATGGGAAGTCCCAACAAAAAAATTATAATTTAGGCAGAACATTTGGACTATTTGATATGTATTTGTATACAGTGGTACCTCCGGTTACGTACGCTTCAGGTTACATACGCTTCAGGTTACAGACTCCTGTAACCCAGAAATAGTGCTTCAGGTTAAGAACTTTGCTTCAGGATGAGAACAGAAATCGTGCTCTTGCGGCGCGGCAGCAGGGGGAGGCCCCATTAGCTAAAGTGGTGCTTCAGGTTAAGAACAGTTTCAGGTTAAGAACGGACCTGCAGAACGAATTAAGTACCGTATTTTTTGCTCTATAAGACTCACTTTTTCCCTCCTAAAAAGTAAGGGGAAATGTGTGTGCGTCTTATGGAGCGAATGCAGGCTGCGCAGCTATCCCAGAAGCCAGAACAGCAAGAGGGATTGCTGCTTTCGCTGTGCTGCAATCCCTCTTGCTGTTCTGGCTTCTGAGATTCAGAATATTTTTTTTCTTGTTTTCCTCCTCCAAAAACTAGGTGCGTCTTGTGGTCTGGTGCGTCTTATAGAGCGAGAAATACGGTACTTAACCCGAGGTACCACTGTAATTTGGAACATTCAATGTGATTTGATTGGATTGTTAAAATGGGAAACTTAATAAAAATGATTTGAAAACAAAACAAAACAGGATGCTGGACTAGATGGGCCATTGAGCTAATCCAGGAGGGCTATTCTTACGTTCTTAACCACAGGCACATTTTTTTAGCCAGCGGCTGTAGTCACCCAGAAGTCGGACTTCCAAATGTTTGTTATCGCCGTGCTGTTAATATTTAAGCAATGTCAGCTTAACATGCGTAGAAACCCTTCGGGCTCGGATTGCCCTTTTTCAGATCATCAGGTTCCACAGGTGCCCCTTCTCTCCCCAGCTGTTTCCCGCCCATCTCACCTGCGGCCATGATCCAGAGCTCAAGGTCAAGTCTCCCTGTAATCTCGATTCTTCTTGGAGAACGTCTGCGTAAAGCAGCTCGTGATCAGGGTGTGACGGGCAGGAGCAAGGGTGCAAGGGGCATCCGGCGTTGTCAGCGCCTGGTTATGCAACTATAATAAAAATAAAACCCACAGACTCCAGGAAGGAGACAGGCAATCACTGGATTGGGCTTTTCCAATGAGCGCACAACACCAGAGGAGGTGTAAATAGCAGTGGATGGAGCCACTGAGCCTCTGAAGGGTTGCGGTGACAGTAAAAATAGTCTGTCAATATGGATTTTGTGGCAAGAGGGTAAAACACGGATGTTTAAGCACTTCTTTTCTTTTTTTTAAATAGACACCTGATGGGACACAGCAGGGCAGGGAGGCAAGAACAGTCTCTTTTCTATCTGTCTCTTTTATCAGGTCTGTCTTTGAGCCCACAAGTTTTCATTTCTCTCTCTCTCTCTCTCTAATTTTTATTAGGTTTTCGGTTTTACAATTTAAAGTACTAATTTTTACATCCTTAAGATATCAGTGACTTCTTCTCTTTCCAAGGTTCATTTTACATATCATAAGTGCCTTCATATTTTACAGAAACTACAGTGGTACCTCAGGTTAAGTACTTAATTTGTTCCGGAGGTCCGTTCTTAACCTGAAACTGTTCTTAACCTGAAGCACCACATTAGCTAATGGGGCCTCCTGCTGCTGCCGCGCCGCTGGAGCCCAATTTCTGTTCTCATCCTGAAGCAAAGTTCTTAACCTGAAGCACTATTTCTGGGTTAGAGGAGTCTGTAACCTGAAGCGTATGTAACCTGAGGTACCACTGTATACCATTCAGTATGGGACGCGGGTGGCGCTGCGGGTTAAACCACAGAGCCTAGGACTTGCCGATCAGAAGGTCGGCGGTTCGAATCCCTGCGACGGGGTGAGCTCCCGTTGCTCAGTCCCTGCTCCTGCCATCCTAGCAGTTCGGAAGCACGTCAAAGTGCAAGTACAGTGGTACCTCGGGTTACATACGCTTCAGGTTACATACGCTTCAGGTTACACACTCTGCTAACCCAGAAATAGTGCTTCAGGTTAAGAACTTTGCTTCAGGATAAGAACAGAAATCGTGCTCTGGCGGCACGGCGGCATCGGGAGGCCCCATTAGCTAAAGTGGTGCTTCCAGTTAAGAACAGTTTCAGGTTAAGAACAGACCTCCGGAACGAATTAAATACTTAACCTGAGGTACCACTGTAGATAAATAGGTACCACTCGGGCGGGAAGGTAAACGGCGTTTCCGTGCGCTGCTCTGGTTCGCCAGAAGCGGCTTAGTCATGCTGGCCACATGACCCGGAAGCTGTACGCCGGCTCCCTCGGCCAGTAAAGCGAGATGAGCGCCACAAACCCAGAGTCATTTGCGAATGGACTGAGCTGTCAGGGGTCCTTTACCTTTACCTTTCTACACGACATCTTTTGAATTTGTCATTGCGAAGCTATGACTGGTGTTCTGCCCTGATCCGGGGTCCCTCCAGACTGACGAGCTGAATCTGCAAAATGTTCTTGACACCTTAATGGTTTATTCTGCTTTCTTTGTGGTTCTGTGATTCCTTCATTAGTTGTTCTGTGATTTATTAGTTTTTCTGCCACTGAGCAACAGCCCTTCCCTTAAAATGTTTCCGCCCGGGAGCTAACCGGGCAACCTTTCGCGAAAGCGACAATTGCTAAAATCGTTATAGTGCAAAAGACGCGGGACAAAAACAAACCGGAACATTTGCGGCGTAAAAAGCAATGAGATTTCACCAAGACATTACAGAATCGGCACTGGATGGTAATGAAGCAGTGTGACCGCCCCAAAACCTTAGCAGCCTCAAACAGTATTAAAAGAGCGGTCCCAGGATCTCTTGGATATGTGACAGCTGTGATAGGAATTTTGAGGTCTTAGATATATGGTAATGTTCATAAGTGTACCAACCAAGCATGTACATAGATCAGCACAGGAAGACCAACCTGGAACCATTTTGATTCCTAAACTGAGCAAATGTTTTCTCTGCAAGGTCAAAGTGGGAAACCTCTCCTTGTCTCTTTCCTCACAAATCCTGTCTTAAGGGCACATTTAAGATATGAATAGGGTGACTCGGTCCAGGAACTAAGTATTTATCATTACAAAAGACTGGCAAGGCTCCCCAGGAAATCCAATCAAGTAACCTGCCAGACAGGAGATAGACAACATTCAAATTTCTGTTTTAGACCACCTTTTCTGTGACATAGGTGTGATGTATCTGCGGGGTGGTCTTAGGTTATAGCCCTTCTGTGATGTATGTATGATGTTTCTGGGCGCGGTCTTGATCTTGTTGTTGTTTAGTCGCTTAGTCCTGTCCGACTCTTCGTGACCCCCTGGACCAGAGCACACCAGGCACTCCTGTCTTCCACTGCCTCCCGCAGTTTGGTCAGACTCATGTTTGTGGCTTCGAGAACACTGTCCAACCATCTCGTCCTCTGTCGTCCCCTTCTCCTTGCGCCCTCCATCTTTCCCAACATCAGGGTCTTTTCCAGGGAGTCTTCTCTTCTCATGAGGTGAACAAAGTCTTGGAGCCTCAGCTTCAGGATCTGTCCTTCCAGTGACCACTCAGGGCTGATTTCCTTAAGAATGGATGCGTTTGATCTTCTTGCAGTCCATGGGACTCTCAAGAGTCTCCTCCAGCACCATAATTCAAAAGCATCAATTCTTCGGCAATCAGCCTTCTTTATGGTCCAGCTTTATGGTCTTGATCTACAGGGTGGCAATTTCAAAAGTCTATATAAGGCCTTGCGGGCCATTGTTCTGGGTCCCTCCTCTCTCCTGCAGGTGAGGGGAGCACCCTGTTGCAACAGATCAATAAAGATCAAGCTTACTAGCAGCTTTGCTTCTCAATATTCTCTGGCTGGCCTCTGTTATTTTCTCCTACCAATAGGGAACCTATGTAAGGACTCTATATGGGCTCTTGGATACCCCATAAGGGAAAAGGGCAATTTTTGTTTACAACATGTCTACTATCCATTTTCCTCTATTCCTTGGTGTTATTGTTTCTTTCCTTCTGTTTTTTCCAACGAAGCAGAAAACCTGGAAAGATAGATTGCATCTGACCGTCCTGATAGCAATAAAAAGGGCAGACCGGAGGGTTGACCCTAGAAGGCAATTATTGAACATGCTGTTCTTTTTCAGGGAGAGGAAGCTATTCTTGAAATCTAGGTAAAAGTTCGCCGTGCGACACAGCCCAAGAGAGGACTTTGCCCCTATGGACTCACTGCCCACCCCAGACTGGGAAGGAGCAGGTGTGGGCGGTGGTGGTCAAAAGCTATTTAGATAACGGTTACTCAATTTGACCCAGCGACGCCAATTCCTTCTTTTTGCCCATCAACGACCAGTCTTTGGTCCCATTGGTGGACTGGGCGAGGGGAGGGATTTCTAGTCCCCTGACGCTGTCTTTTTTTGTTTTGTTTAGTTGGAGTTTAAACTTTGCTACACAGTGGAAGGAGGTTTCGGGGCAGAGGGACCCAAGGGAGACAGGAGGAGAGAAAAACTCAGCCGGGACGCTGCCGTTGAGTTGTAATAAAGGCCGCTTGGCAAAAGCCACGTCGAAGGAGGCAGAAGTCACCGACACACGGCTGGGGTGAGTTGGTACGGTTTGGTTCGTGGCAGGATTTGGTGCAAAACCCCCCACCGCGTCCGCCACCGTTTGACCCAACCTGGGCCATCTTTGGAAACCTGAGCAATGCAAACAAGAGGACGAAGGTCAGGATGGAGACGGGAGGGTGGAGGGGAGATTGGACATTGAGTGGTGTATTGAGTTAAGCCTGTTAGCCGCTTGAGCAACCAAACAACAAACAGTTTGGGTTGCGTCTCGCTCAGATCCACACCCTGCAGATCCTGCTCAGAGTAGACCCATCGAAACCAACAAACCTAGGGCTTGCTTCCAAGTTTAGTTCCACTTGGAACAGACCTACGGACTGGAATTATTGGACCTAAGTTAGTCACGCTCGTGAATTTCAGCGGGTCTGCGGCGAGAACAGCTCACGCTGGGCACAGCCCTGATCCGTCACGTTCATTAACTTTGGTGGGTCTACTCTGCGTAAGGTGAGCATATGATAAGAGCTTGCTTGGATTAACAGCCCCAGCTACAGTGGCATTTGCGTTTGCTTGCAGTTATCCCTTTCAAAGCGGGGGAACATGTTCAAAATTGCTGAAGAGTCATGATTTTGTAGGTAGGCATGAATTGGGAAATTGTGCATGAATGAATTCTGCTCACAGGGCCTGAATCACCTTGTGCCTGAGCCGCAGTAGCAGAATGTGTACTTGGTGTCAAAGCTCAGGCTAAAACCTGGTGGTTTAATATTGATTATTTCACGTATTTCAAATGTTTTACATCCTTTCCTTAAATGGATTTGTTTAAAGCAGCTTTGCAAAACCACACACTGTAAAACCGAACTCAGCACTAAACATGTTTGGGGTAAAAAAACCCCAAAATGTATGTACTGCTGGATCGTAATAAAACCTCCGAACTGTTTACCAAAAAAGGAGATTTAAATAGGACATTAACATTTTCAGTCTATTAAAAAACGGTCTTGGAAACATTTGAAAGATAATTAAAATCAATGATGGGCTAAAAAGACTTGTGCTTAATCTCAAATGCTGCATGTTTGGGTAGGTAAAGGTAAAGGGACCCCTGACCATTAGGTCCAGTCGCGGCCGACTCTGGGGTTGCGGTGCTCATCTCGCTTTACTGGCCGACGGAGCCGGCGTACAGCTTCCGGGTCATGTGGCCAGCACGACTAAGCCGCTTCTGGAGAACCAGAGCAGCGCACGGAAACGCCGTTTACCTTCCCGCCGGAGTGGTACCTATTTATCTACTTGCACTTTGACGTGCTTTCAAACTGCTAGGTTGGCAGGAGCTGGGATTGAGCAACGGGAGCTCACCCGTCATTGTGGGGATTCGAACTGCCAACCTTCTGATCGGCAAGTCCTAGGCTCTGTGGTTTAATCCACAGTACCACCCGTGTCCCTGCATGTCTGGGTAGGCTTGCCTTAAAAAAAAAATTAAAAAATGTTTTAAGCAGGCACTGAAAAGAGCAAAGCAAAGACACTTGCCTGATGTCAATAGGCAGGGAGTTCCAACGTGTAGGCACTGCCACGTTAAAATGTTGGTATTTTACATGTGCAGAAAAATTATTACTGGCACCTGCGCCAGTTCCTTAGATCGAAGTAGTCGACTGGACACATCTGGAAGTCAGTAAGGTGATCTTTCACATAAACTGGCCTCAAGCGTTAAGGGGTTTTTATACTAGTACTGAGGGACGCAGGTGGCATTGTAGTCTAAACCACTGAGCCTTGGGCTTGCTGATCAGAAGGTTGGTGGTTCAAATCCCCATGACAGGGTGAGCTCCCATTGCTCGGTCCCTGCTCCTGCCAACCTAGCAGTTCGAAAGCACATCAAAGTGCAAGTAGATAAATAGGTACCACTCTGGCAGGAAGGTAAACGGCGTTTCCGTGCGCTGCTCTGGTTCACCAAAAGTGGCTTAGTCCTGCTGGCCACATGACCCGGAAAAACTGTCTGAGGACAAATGCCAGCTCTCTTGGCCAGTAAAGTGAGATGAGTGCCGCAACCCCATTAGATGAGGGCGGGTGGCGCTGTGGGTTAAACCATAGAGCCTAGGACTTGCCGATCAGAAGGTTGGTGGTTTGAATCCCCGCGACGGGGTGAGCTCCCGTTGCTCGGTCCCGGTACGTTTGGCTCCCGGTACGTTTCCGAGCACAATTCAAAGTGTTGATGCTGACATTTAAAGCCCTAAACGGCCTCAGCCCAGTAGACCTGAAGGAGCGTCTCCATCCCCATTTTTCTAGCTGGACACTGAGGTCCAGCACCGAGGGCCTTCTGGCAGTTCCCTCACTGAGAGAAGTGAGGTTACAGGGAACCAGGCAGAGGGCCTTCTCGGTGGTGGCACCCGCCCTGTGGAACGCCCTGCCACCAGATGTCAAAGAGGAAAACTACCACCAGACTTTTAGAAGACATCTGAAGGCAGCCCTGTTTAGGGAAGCTTTTAATGTTTGATGCATTACTGTATTTTAATATTTTGTTGGAAGCCGCCTGATGGGCGGGGTATAAATAATATATTGTTGTTGTTGTTACACCAGTCTTGAAAGACCTACCTTGGCTCCCAGTATATTTCTGAGCAAAATTCAAAGTGTTGGTGATGACCTTTAAAGCCCTAAACGGCCTCGGTCCAGAATACCTGAAGGAGCGTCTCCCCCCCCCCCATCGTTCAGCCCAGACACTGAGGTCCAGCTCCGAGGGCCTTCTGGTGATTCCCTCACTGCAAGAAGCGAAGTTACAGGGAACCAGGCAGAGGGCCTTCTCAGTAGTGGCGCCCTCCCATCAGATGTCAAGGAAATACAACAACTACAGTGGCATCTCAGTTTAAGAACAACACTATTTATGAACTATTTGGTTTAAGAACTCTGCAAAACCGGAAGTAGTGTCCCGGTTTGTGAACTTTACCTCGGTCTAAGAACAGAAGCAGAATAGTGGAAGGGCACCGGCAGCAGGCGGCCTCATTAGGGAAAAGGCACCTTGGTTTAATAATGGTTTCGGTTTAAGAACGGACTTCCGGAACGGATTAAGTTTGTAAACCGAGGTACCACAGTACCTGACTTTTAGAAGACACTGAAGGCAGCCCTGTTTAGGGAAGTTTTTAATGTCTGATGTCTTATTGTATTTTTAATATTTTGTTGGAAGCCGCCCAGAGTGGCTGGGGAAACCCAGCCAGATGGGTGGGGTATAAATAATAAATTATTGTTGTTGTTATTGTTATTTCTGCATGGTGATGAATGCTGTAGATGTGGCCTACAGTCCTGAGCTTCTGGCCATGCTGATTTCTCTCTCTCTCTCTCTTTCTTGCAGACATGACTGCCGCCAGCCTTGACAGCATGGAGCTGCTGGACCTCCTCTTTGACCGGCAGGATGGGGTCCTTCGCAGCGTGGAGATTGGGTCAACAGCGACAGCTTGGATGGGACTGGAAGACAGCGTGAGTTTAAGAGCTTGCAGCGACACAGAAGCAGAGAGGGAATCATGGAACAGTAGGGTTGGAAGGGATCTCCAGGGTCAGTCCAGTCCATAGCTGTCAACTTACAGATTTGAAAATAAGGGACCAGCAGCCTCGAAAATAAGGGATCAGCAGCCAAAATAAGGGATCAACAATTACTTTGATAAAATACATCTTCTGTTGCGTGCAAATGGCTTTAGATACCTATGAGGTCCATAAATTACCATATAGCATATATTCAACACAAAAAAACCAGCAACAATTTGTTGTTGACAAAGCACAGCTGGACATAGAAAGGGCCCCATTACCTTCAGTAGCTTATTTAAGGGACATCATCAATAAGGGACAGCAGCTGGACATGGCACTGGGATAAGGGACTGTCCCGCCAAATAAGGGACGCTTGACAGCTATGGTCCAGTCCAGCCCCCTGCAATGCAGGGATCACTCTTGCGGGAGGCACCCACACCACAAAAGCCCAATGTCTGGCCCCTCTCTCTGCAAAGCAGTGGCCAGAGCACATGGGGTCACAGGCACTGAAATATACTCGGAGTCGAGTGTGGATTTCATGCTCTTTATTCAGCTCATAGTGGTGAGGAGGAATGGAAGTTCCCCCGAAATGTCTGCTTTATAGACATTATTTACACAATGGGCCCCACGTGATTGGCTAATTCCGGGATTCTCCTGTAGGCCAGTCAGGTTGTGGATTCACTTCCACCTGGAGTTGGATTGGGTGGCTCCTGCGGACCAATCAGACTGCTGCCTTCTGGATCCTATTGTTCTAGGACCAATCAGACTGCTGCATTCTGGATCCTGTTGTTCTAGGACCAATCAGACTGCTGCATTCTGGATCCTGTTGTTCTAGGACCAATCAGACTGCTGCATTCTGGATCCTATTCAACTCAGTACATACAGGCACCAACATAGGGTCTCCCCTTTGGAGAGCAGAAGACACTGCAAAGACTCTTGTGCTTTTAGGGTTTATTCGCCTATTTACACCCTCAGTCTGCACGGAGGTGGTGCAGATCTTACAACGTGACCCAAAGCATTGCAGGCAGTCCTTCCTCCTTCTTCCTTCTGCCCTTCCCCAGAGCAGTTTTACCCAGGCAACCTTCTAAATCTCCAGTCCACAACTGGTGCGAAAAGTTCCATTGTCTTGTTAATGATGGCTCTCTTAACAGCCCTAGTTTGGCCAGGCTACCCAGGAATATCTTTGCAGCTTATATTCTCCCTTCCTATCACAAATAACCCCAAAATCCTAGCATTTATTGATTTAATGTTTAGGGAAACACCCGCCCCCCAGTTCTGTAACACCATGAATTTGAACAGCTGTGGCACCCCACCCAAGGAAAAAGTGGGAACTGTAGTTTTCCATTCAACACCCAGCACCCTTAAACTACAGTTCCCAAGCTCTCTCACCAACAGGGAGGTCAGCCATCCTTTTTCACCGACTCCTTACCATATTTTGCGCCCTCCTCTTTCACCCTCATTAAGAGGTTCTTCAATTCCTCCTCACTTTCTGCCATCAAGGTTGTGTCATCTGCATATCTGAGGTTGTTGATATTTCTTCCGGCGATCTTAATTCCGGCTAGGGATTCATCCAGCCCAGCCTTTCACATGATGAATTCTGCATATAAGTTAAATAAGCAGGGAGGCAATATACAGCCTTGTCGTACTCCTTTCCCAATTTTGAACCAGTCAGTTGTTCCATATCCAGTTCTAACTTCTTGTCCCACGTAGAGATTTCTCAGGAAACAGATCAGGCGCTCCCATTTCTGCCATAGTTTGCTGTGGCCGACACAGTCAAAGATGGTGGGACAGTGTTCTCGAAGCTACCAGCATGAGTTTGACCAAACTGCGGGAGGCAGTGGAAGACAGGAGGGCCTGGCGTGCTCTGGTCCAGGGGGTCCCAAAGAGTCGGACACGACTAAACGACTAAACAAACAACTTGCCTGTCTTTTTACAGCGTTTGCTGAAAGCTCAAGAGAACGAGGATTTCATCAATTCTATCTTGGGGGCCCCAGATGCCACCCTCGACTCCCCAAGCTGGTCCCCAGCGGCCAGCGACAGCGGCATCTCCGAGGACCCCAGCTCTGACCAACTGGACAGCCCCCCTCACTACGTTCCGACGGGCAGCCCGGGGGCCTACTCTGACGGAGGCTCACACAGTGACCTGGCTTACCCTGCCTACCAGGACTCCTGCCGGGCCCTCCCTGTTCTGAAAGGGCCGGGTGCTGAGCTTAGAGAAGCGGAGGTGTCTATAGACTTCAGTGAGTGACCCCTTCTCCTTTCGCTAGACCAGCTTTCCCCACAGTGCGTGTAAACAGCTTTGCGTGGACCCCCAACCCCAGAGTAGAATAATGACCAGGCAACATGCTACGGGATTAAAGTTGGCCACAACTTTATTAAGTTTCAGATGTAGGGAGGCCTTGGCTTAGGCACTGGGCGTTTATCCTTCCCAGCTGGGGATCTGGGAGACTTCAGGGTTATCCAGAATGTGTGGGGATTGGGCTGGCTCTGGAGAACATATGTTCAAGCAGAGAGTCCGCCCCCCGTGTTGCTGCCGTCGCAGGGGAGAGCAAGCACAACCTCTCGGCGTATGGCCAATGCCTTTAATGGGGAACCCTGGTATCATCGCCGCAAGGGGGCATGGGTCACTGCTTCAGGCCCCCCCCATTTAGGAAGATAGATTAAATGTTGTGACGCCAAAGTTGTGACGTTTTGCTACGGGAAAGGCGAAACCTGCCAATGCAGCAAAATTCCTTTCCGGCCCTGAACCTGATATAGCAGCGTCTGCATACCTGTGGAGAAGAGGTTAACCTGCATAAAAAGCCTTAACTGAGGGAGGGGAGGGTGGGAGAAGCTCTGGAGCCGACTGCCACTTTGCAGGTAAGATTCACCTTCTCTTGTGTGGGCAGGACGGTCCCTCTGCTTACCTGGTCAATCCCCTGGCAACGCCTCCCCAGGCGGGATTGGGCGATTAGCTGAGGTAGGCGGAGACCTCCAGGTATCCAGCCTGGGGAGGATGAAGCCAGCCCAAATTACCAGGAGTCGCACTGGGATCTGGGGGGCTGCGCGCGACCACGCAAAAGGCGCCCCCATTTGATGTGGGAAGTGGTCATTCGAATGTTGGTATCGCTGGATCAGCTGCATCAGTTTCGTTGAATTATTTGTTTCATAACAAATCGCGTGATTGTAAAAAAATTGTTGCAGATCTAACTAATCAAATGTCTTCTCCCTCCTCCTTCTCCAGACCTCGTTTATTCAATTTCCTTATGGTCCATCAAAAACCTTGCTTATTTATTTTGTCCCGATTGTTCCTTGCTCAGAGTAGGAGGTGGCGCTGTGGTCTGAACCACTGAGCCTCTTGGGCTTGCCGATCAGAAGGTCGGCAGTTCGAATCCCCACGACGGGGTGAGCTCCCGTTGCTCTGTCCCAGCTCCTGCCAACCTAGCAGTTTGGAAGCACGCCGGCGCAAGTAGATAAATAGATACCACTGTGGCGGGAAGGTAAACGGTGCTTCCGTGCGCTCTGGTTTCCGTCCTGTTGTGCCAGAAGCGGTTGAGTCCCGCTGGCCACATGACCCTGCAACTGTCTGTGGACAAACGCCGTCTCCCTCGGCCTGAAAGCGAGATGAGCGTCGCAACCCCAGAGTCGACTTTGACTGGACTCAGCCGTCCAGGAGTCCTTTACCATATACCGTATTTTTCGCTCTATAGGACGCACCTGACCATAGGACGCACCTTGTTTTAGAGGGGGAGAACAAGAAGCCCCTCCTCTCTGCTCAGCGCCCCTTCAGCGAAGCGGCAGGAGAAACAGAGCCCCTTCCATTTCTCCCCCCACTTCGCTGAGGGGGCGCTGCACAGCTCTCCCTCTCTGCTGAAGCCAGGAGAGTCTTGCTCTCCCAGCTTCAGCAAAAGGAGCGCTCCCTCTGCGCTTCGGAGGCTTCGCGTTGCTATCGCTGAAGCCAAGGAGCCTGCATTCGCTCCATAAGACGCACACACATTTCCCCTTAATTTTTGGAGGGGGGAAGTGCGTCCTATAGAGCGAAAAATACGGTATATTTTTTACCTTACCTGCATGAATCACTCCTTTCAACGGCTAGGCTTCCTCTCCCAAGTTAAGCTCAGAAAGAGGAAAACCCTGATCTTGAACATTGGGTGGTGTAGTCGTCTCCGCACAGCAACGGTTTGCAGGCGTCTGTGTTGCTGCCAGGCGATCCCCCCATACATTATTGGGGCGAGTGGTGGGTGGAAAGCAAGGCTCATGGGCTGAGCCTCCGTACGACCTGCCGGCTTGCACATTCTTTATTTGGGCAAAGCCAGAAAGCAGCTGAGCTGAGGGGTACCTTGCGAACTTGTCTTTTTTTACCTTGTTTTCGTCTTCGTGCAAAATGCACCGGAGCAAACAGATTGGAAAACAGAAGGGAAAGTGGACATTGCAGGGGCTTCCAGAGGATTTGTTTGCAGGGAGATTAGATGGCCATTTTGCGTCAGAGCAGCTGCTGCCCTGGCCCTGTCACTTTCCTTATCTCTAAAAACTCTGACCTTTCGAGGGAGAAGGTTCCTCCAAGACCTGCCAGCCAATTTTAATTGCATCACCTGAATCTTGTCAGTATGTGATTGAATCCCACACCAAATACGGGGACAGCCAGGGCAGTGCCTTCGGTCTCCAGGACCTGGTGCTAAGCGCATTGCTTAGGATCAGAGAATTGTAGGGTCGGAAGGGATCCCTGAGGGTCATCTAGTCCAACCCGCTACAAGGCAGGGATCGCAGCTAAAGAATCCCTGACAGATGGCCACCCAGTAAAGGTAAAGGTAAAGGGACCCCTGACCGTTAGGTTCAGTTGTGACCGACTCTGGGGTTGCGGCACTCATCTCGCTTTACTGGCCAAGGGAGCCGGCGTACAGCTTCCGGGTCATGTGGCCAGCATGACTAAGCCGCTTCTGGCGAACCAGAGCAGTGCACGGAAACGCCGTTTACCTTCCCGCCGGAGCGGTACCTATTTATCTACTTGCACTGGTGTGCTTTCGAACTGCTAGGTTGGCAGAAGCAGGGACCGAGCAATGGGAGCTCACCCCGTCACGGGGATTCGAACCGCTGACCTTCTGATCAGCAAGTACTAGACTCTGTGGTTTAACCCAAAGCGCCACCCGCGTCCTTGATGGCCACCCAACCTCCGTTTAAAAACCTCCCGTCAACCACTTTCCGAAGCAGCCCAGCCCACGGTCAAACAGCTCTTACTGTCAGAAAGTTCTTCCTAATGTTTAGTCCGAATCTGCTTTCTAGTATTTGAATCCATTGTTTTGAGTCCCACCCCTCTGGAGCAGCGGAAAGCATAAGAGTTATGTATGCTGAAAACGCATGGCTCACCTGTGGCCTCTCCTCCCAAAACTGGTCATTTAAAAATAATCTTAATGCACTTTAAAAAAATAAATCTGTTTTTCCTATTGATCTCCTGCCAAAGTGCTTGTTCCCTGATTATTATTATTTTTTACCATTTTCATTTTTTCTAAAAGCATTTTAACCCCCCTCCAATTACAGTGGTACCTCGGGTTAAGTACTTAATTCGTTCCGGAGGTCCGTTCTTAACCTGAAACTGTTCTTAACCTGAAGCACCACTTTAGCTAATGGGGCCTCCCGCTGCCGCCGCACCGCCGGAACACGATTTCTGTTCTCATCCTGAAGCAAAGTTCTGAACCCGAGGTACTATTTCTGGGTTAGCGGAGTCTGTAACCTGAAGCGTCTGTAACCCGAGGTACCACTGTACTCTCATAGGCCACCCGCTGTGATACCATGATGCCAAAAACTTTTTTTGGGGGGTGGGGCCTCTTCAAGCCCTTCCCCAGAGTTGTTGTATATATGATTATTAGGCTGGGGGGGGGGGAATTAATTATTATTTTTTAATTCCAAAGATCCCACATTGTGATACTCTAATGCCAAAAGCTTCTTATATGCACCCCTCCCCGTTTTTTTAAAATGCAGCAGCTCTGAGCATTTTGTTTCCTCTTTTGCAGATATGTGGGAGGCAGGATTTTACCCGGAGGAGAGGCAGGAACAAGCCGCCCCCCAGCTGAATTCGTGCACCCTGACCATAAAGGACCTTTTGCTGTCAAACAGCTGTGAGATGGTGAGACTCTCAATGGTGCTGACCTTTAAAGCCTTAAACAGCCTCGGTCCTGTATACCTGAAGGAGCATCTCCACCCCCATCGTCCAGCCCGGACACTGAGGTCCAGCGCCGAGGGCCTTCTGGTGGTCCCTCCCTGCGAGAAGTGAGGTTACAGGGAACTAGGCAGAGGGCCTTCTCAGTGGTGGCACCCGCCCTGTGGAACGCCCTCCCAGCAGACGTCAAGGCAATAAACAACTATTTTATTTTTAAAAGACAACTGAAGGCGGTCCTGTTTAGGGAAGTTTTTAATGTCTGACGTTGCATTGTTTTTAATATTCGGTTGGAAGCCGCCCTGAGGGGCCGGGGAAACCCAGCCAGGTGGGCGGGGTATAAATAAAAAATTATTATTATTATATTATTATTATAATCAGGCTAAAGCTGTCAGAAGGCTTCCGGGAAATCCTGGTTTGCTTTTACAGTACAGTCATACCTCGAGTTGAATGTGCTTCGGGTTGAGCGCAACCCTGAAGTAACGGAGCGCGTTACTTCCAGGTTTCGCCACTCGCGCATGCACAGACGCTCAGAATGACGTCACGCGCATGTGCGGAAGCGGCGAAACGCAACCCGTGCACGCCCCAACGCGTCTTGCGTTCCTGAAATATACTCAGAGTCAAGAGTGGATTTCATGCTCTTTATTCAGCTCATAGTGGTGAGGAGGAATGAATGTTCCCTCAAAGTATCTGCTTTATATACATTATTTACACAATGGGCTGCACGCGATTGGCTAATTCCAGAATTCTCCTGTAGGCCAATCAGGTTGTGGATTCACTTCCATCTGTAGCTGGATTGGGTGGCTCCTGCAGACCAATCATACTGCTGCATTGTTCTAGGACCAATCAGACTGCTGCCTTTTGGATCCTATTGTTCTAGGACCAATCAGACTGCTGCATTCTGGATCCTATTGTTCTAGGACCAATCAGACTGCTGCATTCTAAATCCTATTGTTCTAGGACCAATCAGACTGCTGCATTCTGGATCCTATTGTTCTAGGACCAATCAGACTGCTGCATTCTGAATCCTATTGTTCTAGGACCAATCAGACTGCTGCATTCTGGATCCTATTGTTCTAGGACCAATCAGAGTGCTGCATTCTGGATCCTATTGTTCTAGGACCAATCAGACTGCTGCATTCTGGATCCAGAACGGATCCCGTTCGCATCCCAAAGTGCCACTGTACATGTATTGTCTTCTGTTGAAGAACCTAGTAAGCGGCCGTCTTCGGCTTTGATTAACGTGCCCCTTTCTCATGTCGCAGCACCAACAAGGCATGAACCCATCGCTGTTGAGACAAACCCCCGGGACCTGCCAGGAACTGGTCCTGACCGAGGATGAGAAGAAGCTATTGGCCAAGGAAGGAGTGACTCTACCCACCCAGCTGCCTCTTACCAAGGTGAATGCTTCACCAGGCCAAAGGGTGGACCATCTGGTCCATCATCATCCTCTTCTAGCACTGGCCAACCAGATGCCTCAATGAGAACGCCCCAAATTCTGGAAACTGCAGGAGGAGAGAGTGTTATCGTGCTTGCAGGATTCCCACAGGCGTCTGGGCAGCCACTGTGAGGACAGGATGGTGGCTTAGATGGGCCATTGGCCCAGGGGCGTAGTGGGGGAGGGGTGTCACGGTCCAGTTCACGGGCGATCGAAGTCCCGGCAGGGGACGTCAGGACCGGGGGCAAGATGGCGGGGAGGGAGCAGGAATGGGGGTCCAGGAGTCAGGAAGCCTGGAGTCACAAAGTCAGGGGTCCGAGGGTTAGGAAGCAAGGAGTCACGAAGCCAGGGGTCCGAGGGTCAGGAAGCAAGGAGTCACGAAATCAAGGGTCCAAGGGGCGAGAAGCAAGGAGTCACGAAGTCAGGGGTCCGAGGGTCAGGAAGCCAGGAGTCACGAAGTCAGGGGTCCGAGGGTCAGGAAGCCAGGAGTCAAGAGGCCAAGGGTCTGAGGGTCAGGAAGCAAGGAGTCACAAAGTCAGGGGTCCGAGGGTCAGGAAGCCAGGAGTCACAAAGTCAGGGGTCCAAGGGTTAGGAAGCAAGGAGTCACGAAGCCAGGGGTCCGAGGGTCAGGAAGCAAGGAGTCACGAAGTCAGGGGTCCAAGAAGCAAGGAGTCATAAAGTCAAGGGTCCGAGGGACGGGAAGCAAGGAGTCACGAGGTCAGGGGTCCGAGGATCAAGAAGCAAGGAGTCACAAAATCAAGGGTCCGAGGGGCGAGAAGCAAGGAGTCAAGAAGTCAGGGGTCCAAGAAGCAAGGAGCCAAACGCAGCAAGGCAGGGAACGTGTTGCTGTGGCAAAGAGCTGAAGGGAAATGCTGACCTTATATCCCTTCCCGGCTCTTGCCACCAGGTGCTATGAGTAACCAGTCGACCTCACCTGTGTGGCCGCACCTTGCCTCTCCAGAACAAACTTAGGAAGGCCCCATTACCTTCCCACCGGAGTGGTACCTATTTATCTACTTGCACTTTGACGTGCTTTCGAACTGCTAGGTGGGCAGGAGCAGGGACCGAGCAATGGGAGCTCACCCCGTCATTGCGGGGATTCGAACTGCCGACCTTCTGATTGGCAAGTCCTAGGCTCTGTGGTTTAACCCACAGCGCCACCCGCATCCCCGCAAGTTGCAAATAAACGTACACAAAACTGCCAGAGACTCATTAATTTATTATCGGAGCTTGCTTGCCTGCCTGAGATCATTACAGCCAAGCTGAAACTGGGAGAGGAAGGGCCTTTGCATCCCTCTCCCACCGTTTGTGAATTTCCATGAGTTAATTCACAAACCCATATAGAAATGCAGTACAGAAAAAGTGGGGGAAACGAGAAATTGAAATGGACATATTTTCCCATGCCTACCTTAAGCCGGCTGCAGAAAAAATAAAATAAAAATCTAGTTAGTAGCCCCATGACTAGAATCCAGCTGTTAAGCTGTTTCCTTTGCACCTTGCAGTATGAGGAGAGAGTCCTCAAGAAGATTCGCCGAAAGATCCGGAATAAGCAGTCGGCGCAGGAAAGTCGGAAGAAGAAGAAAGAGTATATTGACGGACTGGAGAGCCGGTATGTCATCTTTCCGCGCCCTCTTCCTGCAGAATTTATTCGTAGTCTGATAAAGAAGTGGGAAGATAGATCTGAAAGTTGAAATTTTTGAGTTTAGTGTTCAGTTCAGTTTTATTTATACTTTTCAAATTTATACATTTCGTTAGTTTTACAATCAATCTGACACCCTAAAATTTGACTTCCTTCCTCCTCTTTCTGTGGTTTCCTAAATTTCTTTCTTTCTTTCCCCCCATAATATGCTTTTTATTAGTTTTCTTACTTAACAAACACACACAAGAAATTAACAAAAATGATAAAATGATAACAAAAAACCCCCCATACATACATAAATTCATACGTTCTTACAAAATAACTTTTGCCACCATATTCTTAATTCCCAATTCCTTATCTTCCCCAATAGACTTCCATCTTCCTCAAAGTGTGTCTGTCTTATCTGTTTAATAAACTGCTTCTTTAATCATTTCGCCATTTCTTCTGTTATCTGAATACCATACTTATAATCCATATTGTGGTTTGCGAAAATTAATCAAAGAATGTCCAGGTTTTAACTTGAGGGCACGGTTGTTGTTGTTTTAAATATTCTTTATAAATTTCCCACTCCTTTTTGAACTTTTGGTTTGGTTGTCTCCTAATTGTCTCTGTCATTTTTGCCAGTTCAAGATATTCAAATAATTTATCCTGCCATTCTTCTTTTGTTGGTACTAATTTTTCTTTCCAATTTCTGGCAATTAATATTCTTACTGCTGTTGTAGCATATAAGAATATTCTTTTTTTCATTTGGAATATCTGAATCTAAAATGCCTAAGAGGAAGGTATCTGGTTTCTTTATGAAAGTTTGATTAAATATTTTAAAATTCGTCATAGATAATATCCCAAAAATTCTTAATTTTTTTGCAACCCCACCACATATGATATAGTGTTCTGCCTGTTTACACCTCCACCATGTATTAGATCTCGTTTTATACATTTTGGATAGTTTGCTGGGAGTTATAAACCACCTGTAAAACGTCTTCAAAAGATTTTACTTTTGTGTCTAACAGGCCGTAAATTTCCATTCTTTATTCCATAATCTTTCTCATGCCAATAGTTGGATATTTTTACCAAAATCTTTCGCCCACTTAATTATTCCTTCTTTCACCTCTTCATCTTTCACCTCCCATTCTAGAAGCCTATACATTCTAGATATGTACCGTATTTTTCGCTCTATAGGACGCACTTTTCCCCCTCCAAAAATGAAGGGGAAATGTGTGTGCGTCCTATGGAGCGAATGCAGGCTTTCGCTGAAGCCTGGAGAGCAAGAGGGGTCAGTGTACACCGGCCCCTCTCGCTCTCCAGGCTTCAGGAAGCTATCCGCAAGCCTGCGGAGCCTGGCAGGAACTCCCGCCGGGCTCCGAAGGCTTGTGGATAGCAGCCTGCAGCCCGAAGACCGGGGAGCGCAGCGCTGCGGACCCTGGGCTTAGGACAGCTATCCGCAAGCCTGCGGACCGCTCCCCCAGCCCGTAAGCTCCGGGAGTGGTGGCAAGGCTGTGCAACTGTGCCTCGGCTCCCGGACCTGTTCTGGGGGCTGGGGTCGGGGGAAGCTCGGGCTTCCCCCGCCCCTGCCCCGCGGCTAAGAAGGAAGCCGCGTGCAGCCTCTTCCGGCTGGAGAGGTTGTACGTGGCTAAAGAGGAAGCCAAGACAGCCAACAGGATGGATCCCACTGGCTATCTTGGCTTCTTTGCTCTTTGGGGCTGGGGGGAAATAAAATTATTTCCCCCCAAAAAACTAGGTGCGCCCTATGGAGCGAAAAATACGGTACATTCTAGAATCTCCCTGCTCCTCCTCATCAGAGAGGAGCTGATCTGCCTGAGAAAGCATTCCCCAATCCTCTGATTCAGACAGAGACCCAGACGGACCAATCTGCCACTCCCTAGCTGCAGTTCTGACGAAAACCCCTCCTGTGAAGTTGCTGCTTGCATTGGAAAGGGAATTTGCCGCTGGCACCAATGAAAGCTTTACGCTCCGTTCTCTCTGCTCCTCGTGCATAGATCTTGCCACCTCGTTTTCTCAGCCGACAGGACGTTTTAAGTTTTAAGGAACTTTTAAGGGGTGACCGGGCTTCTTGCTATCCTTTCCTACTCACCCTCTTTGCCGTCCTCCAGGATGTCCGCTTGCACGGCTCAGAACCAGGAGCTACAAAGGAAAGTCGTTCACTTGGAGAAGCAGAACTTGTAAGTCATTTCCTGCTTCCATAGTGGTGTTTTTTCCCTTTTGTTTTTTAACCGGGAAGCAATTACTCGCGGGGGGGGAGGTGGATGAAGAGACATCTATACCTGCGCAGATGTAGGACGTGTGGAGGAATAGAAGATAGAAATGCGAGGACGCCAAAATGGACAGAAACGCACCCATCCCTGGTTATCCACCTGAAATATACTCGGAGTAGAGTGTGGATTTCATGCTCTTTACTCACCTCATAGTACAGTGGTGCCTCGCAAGGCGAAAAGAATCCGTTCCGCGAGTCTCTTCGTCTTGCGGTTTTTTTGTCTTGCGAAGCAAGCCCATTAGCGGTTTAGCGGATTAGCGCTATTAGCGGCTTAGCGGGCTTAGCGGATCAGCTGATAAGCGGCTTAGCGGATCAGCTGATAAGCGGCTTAGTGGCTTAGCGGATCAGCTGATAAGCGGCTTAGTGGCTTAACGGATCAGCTGTTAAGCGGCTTAGCGGATCAGCTGATAAGCGGCTTAGCGGCTTGGGGAAAAGGGGAGGGGAAGGAAAAAAACCCCGCAGGAACTCGCAAGACATTTTCGTCTTGCGAAGCAAGCCCATAGGAAATTCGTTTTGCGAAGCACCTCCAAAACGGAAAACCCTTTCGTCTAGCGGGTTTTCCGTCTTGCGAGGCATTCGTCTTGCGGGGCACCACTGTAGTGAGGAATGGAAGTTCCCCCGAAATGTCTGCTTTATATACATTATTTACACAATGGGCCCCACGTGATTGGCTAGTTCCAGGATTCTCCTGTAGGCCAATCAGGTTGTGGATTCACTTCCACCTGGAGTTGTGGGATGTAAAACACAGGAGCAGTCAATTACAACATTCCTAGAGTGTACATGTTGAGACATGGGGAGGGATGTTTGTCCAGCCAGCAGGTAAACTTCCTGGGACACACTTCCTCCGCATGTGACCAGAGGTGGGTGTGGCCTCACCTGTGCAAGTAATGATAAAAGCACAGGGCAGGGGCAGCCATCTCTCTCTTACTCTCTTGCTCTCTTGCCTCTTATCTTCCTTCGAAGAAGCAACATCTGCTAAAGATGCTCTTTTGGCTCCCAGCCTAGAGAGGACAAAGGGACTATCTTCTTATAAGATAAGTCTCCTTCTTTGGAGGTGGAGTCTCCTTCTTTGGAGGTCTTTAAGCAGAGGCTTGACAACCATATGTCAGGAGTGCTCTGATGGTGTTTCCTGCTTGGCAGGGGGTTGGACTCGATGGCCCTTGTGGTCTCTTCCAACTCTATTATTCTATGATTCTATGATTCTAGAATCTAAATGTATATTACCTTATTAAGCCGTCTGCCTTCTGGGATCCAATTATGAACAGAATGTGAGTAAACTCTTTTTTTATATACTTTTATAAAAGACTGTGTTCTGTCTTGTATTTTAAGAGGGAACAAAGGGGAAATTACCAGAGTAATTATTATAGAGGTTCTAGTGAACCTGAGTACACGTTACCGTTGTGAACTTAAAAGGGGAATGTCTTACTCTGCTGATATTTTGGGAACTTGTTAGCACAAGTTGGATAAGGATATAATCAGTCAATATATCCTCTCCTGAATCCCTGAACATTCCCACAGGAGTCAGATTGGGTGGCTCCTGCGGACCAATCAGACTGCTGCCTTCTGGATCCTATTGTTCTAGGACCAATCAGACTGCTGCAATTTGGATCATAGAATCATAGAATCATAGAGTTGGAAGAGACCACAAGGGCCATCGAGTCCAACCCCCTGCCAAGCAGGAAACACCACCAGAGCACTCCTGACATATGGTTGTCAAGCCTCTGCTTAAAGACCTCCAAAGAAGGAGACTCCACCACACTCCTTGGCAGCAAATTCCACTGTCGAACAGCTCTTACTGTCAGGAAGTTCTTCCTAATGTTTAGGTGGAATCTTCTTTCTTGTAGTTTGGATCCATTCCTCCGTGTCCGCTTCTCTGGAGCAGCAGAAAACAACCTTTCTCCCTCCTCTATGTGACATCCTTTTCAACTCAGTACATAACACCACCTAATTTCTTCCCAGGTCCCTCCTGCAGCAACTGAAGAAACTCCAGGGACTGGTGATGCAGTCAAGCGGCAAGGCAGCCCAAACAGGCACTTGTGTTGCGGTACGTGGTAGTGTGTGTGTGGGGGTGTCATGTGGGTGTGGAAGAAGCTGGTCTATTTCCCCTCCCCGCTGCCTCTTTTCAAGACAGGTTTTGGGATGAGTTTAGGCTTGAATGAGCCTGTGCAGCCCGGGCCAATGATGGAGAGAGACCGCGTGGCCCTTCAGAGGTTGCTGGGCTCCAAGTCCTACTCAAGAGTGGGCCTGTGGAAGTTAACGGGCACAACTAAGACTAAGACTAAACCACTGGGCCTCTTGGGCTTGCCCATCAGAAGGTCGGCGGTTTGAATCCCCACGTCGGGGTGAGCTCCCGTTGCTCGGTCCCAGCTCCTGCCAACCTAGCAGTTTGAAAGCACATCAAAGTGCAAGTAGATAAATAGGTACCGCTCTGGTGGGAAGGTAAATGGTGTTTATGTGCGCTCTGGTTTCCGTCCCGGTGTTCTGTTGCGGTAGAAGCAGTTTAGTACTCCTGGCCACATGACCCGGAAAGCTGTCTGCAGACAAACGCCGTCTCCCTTGGCCTGAAAGTGAGATGAGCTCTGCAACCCCAGAGTCGTCTGCGACTGGACTTAACCGTCCAGGGGTCCTTTACCTTTTAAGACAGACACCTGACTCTACTTTCTGCCCCCACCCACCCCTTTCAGGTCCTGCTGCTTTCCTTTGCCCTGATCGTCTTCCCCTCCATCAGACCTTTCACTCGCAACAAAGCCGAGTTGGAAGGAGACTTCATACCTGTGAGAGGTGAGCGATGGGTTGGGTGAAAATGAGTGGCTGACAAGCACACACATACACACAGTAAATTGCCAGAGGTACTGAATATTTGATGCACGGAACATCTTGTTTTGTGTTCAGTAGCTAGGTATTGGGGAGGGAATGATTCAGTACATATTTAATGGCAAACATACCTAATTTGGGGCTTCCAAACATACAGCGGTGCCCCGCAAGACGAATGCCTCGCAAGACGGAAAACCCGCTAGACGAAAGGGTTTTCCGTTTTGGAGGTGCTTCGCAGAACGAATTTCCTATGGGCTTGCTTCGCAAGACGAAAATGTCTTGCGAGTTCCTGCGGGGTTTTTTTCCTTTCCCCCCCCTTTTTCCCAAGCCGCTAAACCGCTTATCAGCTAATCGGCTAAGCCGCTTAACAGCTGATCGCTAAGCCGCTTATCAGCTGATCAGCTAAGCCGCTTAACAGCTGATCGCTAAGCCGCTTATCAGCTGATCGTTAAGCCGCTTATCAGCTGATCCTTAAGCCGCTTAACAGCTGATCGATAAGCCGCTTATCAGCTGATCCGCTAAGCCCGCTAAGCCGCTAATACTGTAGTGCTAATCCGCTAAACTGCTAATGGGCTTGCTTCGCAAGACGAAAAAACCCGCAAGACGAAGAGACTCGTGGAACGGATTCTTTTTGTCTTGCGAGGCACCACTGTACCTAATTTGGAGGTTTTTCAGCAGAGTATGGGTGGGAAACTCAGCCAGATGGGCAAGGTGGTATTATTATTATTATTATTATTTTTATTATTATTTCAAGTTCCAAGATGGTCAAGGGCCTTATGCCAACTATTTCTTTTTAAAAAAATCATTTTTATTGATTTTCCAATAAAAAACATCCAATTAATATATCCAATCCTAATACTCCAATTAAAACACAAAAAATAAAAAAGACCAAATTATAATTATTAATTTTTTTGAGCTCCCCACGGTCTGGATCTCTGAAGCATATCTCCACATCTCAGTCCTGCCTCTCCTCGTTGCTTCCCTATTTTCCACATCTCGATTTTGACGCTTTGTAATTCTCCGCCCCTGAGTCCACGATTCTCAGTCATGTCAAACATCGTGTACTTTCATCCGTCGAATACGGCTTCGTTAGTATATATTTTTCCAACTGTCTTTTTATCAGCGCAGCTTCCTCCGACTCCATTCCAATGCCAATTATTTCTTTAGACATTTTACAAACGATTACAGATTAGTTCAATGTACCGTATATTTCGCTCTATAAGACACACCTTTTCCCTCCTTAAAAAGTAAGGGGAAATGTGTGTGCGTCTTATGGAGTGACTGCAGGCTGCGCAGCTATCCCAGAAGCCAGAACAGCCAGAGGGATTGCTGCGCAGTGCTCCCTCTCGCTGTTCTAGCTTCTGGCTTAGCCACGTGAAGCCTCTTCAGGGCAGCGGGGAGCCTTCATCCTGCTGCCCTGAAGAGGCTGCGCAGCTATCCCAGAAGCCAGAACAGCTGCGCAGCGCTCCCTCTCGCAGTTCTAGCTTCAGGGATAGCCACGCAAAGCCTCTTGAGCATAGTGGGAGCGCTCCTGCCTCTTTGCTCAAGAGGCTTTGCATTGCTTTCTTGTTTCTTGTTTTCCTCCTCTAAAAACTAGGTGTGTCTGATGGTTGGGTGCGTCTTATAGAGCGAAAAATACGGTAATACAGGGATTGGAAACCAAGCCTTATGAGGCAAGGTTGAGGGAGTCAGGTATGTTTAGCCTGGGAAACAGAAGACGTGAGAGGCGACAGGACCTTCCTGATGGGAAGAGCTGTTTGGCAGGGCGATGGACTCCCTTGGAAGGTGGTGGACTCTCCTTCTTTGGAGGTTTTAAAGCTGAGGTTGGGTGGCCATCTGCCAGGGATGCTTTCGTTGAGATTCCTACATTGCAGTGGCTTGGAGTTGTAGGAGTGCAAATATCCAGAGTGTGGGGATCAGATGGGATTACTATGAGGAATTATAAAATATGCATCAAGCCATTGTGTCCGTTATGAAAACATGGCGTTGACTGGGTTCGATTCATTGACAGTAATTTCTGATCAAATCCCACAAGCCTCTGCATTTCTGGCAATTTCTCTACTGTTCATTTTGTACGCCTGACAGGCACGTATCAGCATTCTAAACACAGGCCAGTTGCTTCATCAGGCGTCCTGAGCCATAAAAGATAGTAGGTAGCTTCTTTGATGTAGTTTGTTAATCTTTAGATAGATCTTAAGGGCCACAGAGCCTAGGACTTGCCGATCAGAAGGTCGGCGGTTCGAATCCCCGTGACGACGGGGTGAGCTCCCGTTGCTCGGTCCCTGCTCCTGCCCACCTAGCAGTTCGAAAGCACGCCAAAGTCCAAGTAGATAAATAGGTACCACTCTGGCAGGAAGGTAAACGGCGTTTCCATGCGCTGCTCTGGTTCACCAGAAGTGGCTTAGTGATGCTGGCCACATGACCCGGAAGCTGTACGCCGGCTCCCTCGGCCAATAAAGCGAGATGAGCGCTGCAACCCCAGAGTCGGCCACGACTGGACCTAATGGTCAGGGTTCCCTTTACCTTTAATCCTTCCTTTGCTTTGGAACGCCACAGGAGTAGATCATACGATTCTATGCTTCTCTGAAAGGCAGACCCCTCAATCTCTGAGCCCTGCTGAATATTCGAGCCCATGTGCCCCTCATGGCACTCATGCCTTGCCTTTCTCCCCCTCTTCCCAGTTTTTTCCAGGTCCCTCAACAACGATGCTTCATCCAGGGTTGCCTACCCCATGGCAAAGGAAGCCGACCAGAGTTCCAAAGAGCCCGAGAAACCCCTCTGGACCCAATACGCCCACAAAGGCCACACGGAGCAGGATGAAACCCTCAAAAACCTGGTTGTAAGGCACCACGTCTTGTCAAGGCACCACGACGCAGGAGAGGCCGTGGTGAGCAACAGCACCGCGCCCTTGCACGAGGTCGCCTACTCGCACTTGGAGGGACTTGAAGGCCCCAGGGAACACGTCGGGCACAGCTTGGCAGCCACGGCCTGGGCAGACTCTGGCCAGCCTAGCAAGGGGGTCCTGGAGCAGGCCGACGAGTTGTGACCCTCTCTCCCCGCTGCTTTCCTCTGTATGGCATTTGGGGACTTAATAGGGGGTGGTGATGGGGGACAGGGCTGGATGTGTGTAGACCAAACTGCTTCTTTCCCACTGAGCAGGGACGGGGGGAAGGCATGGAGGTGCTGTTTGCAAGAGAGCAAGCGAAAAGTGTAAAGAGGGTGGCTTGCTTTCTTCTTGCCCTCTCTGTGGTAAGCTTCAGAAAAGCCCAACTCCCTCCCCCCAGCATCTGCGGTCAGCAGCCGGCCTTAGTCAAAGGTTTGTTGAGTCCATCCTTACTCTGCCTGCTGGACATCTCTCAGCAATTCCTCCTCTGCTTTAATAATAATAATAATTTTTTATTTATACCCAGCCCTTCCTGGTTCAGAAAACCGGGCTCAGGGCGGCGAACAACAAATTTAAAACACTTAATTGATGCAACGAAAAACAGCATAAAATACAGTATAAAACGTGAATAACAATAAATTCAGAATTCAAAAATCAATTTAGGGGGGAAATCCACCCAATAAACATTAGATGATCACCAGGGCTAGCTGGCTAAATTAGTCCTATTTGGGCCAGCGAGGAGACCAGGTGAGAATTAGCTGTGGGATCCCAGAGCGGGTAATCTTCATAAAAAGGGGAGGGAAGGAAGGGGAATAAAAGATCAGGCTAAGTTCAAATTGAATGGGCGTAATAGCTCTGTCTTACAGGCTCGACGGAAGGAAGTTGAATCCTGCAGGGCCCTGGTCTCATGGGACAGGGCATTCCACCAGGTCGGAGCCATCACTGAAAAGGCCCTGGCCCTGGTGGAGGATAGTCTGACTTCTTTAGGGCCCGGGACCTCTAAACTATGGTTGTTCGTGGACCTTAAGGTCCTCTGCGGGCCACACCAGGAGAGGCGGTCCCGTAAGTACAAGGGCCCTAAGCCACAAAGGGCTTTAAAGGTCAAAACCAGCACCTTAAATCTGACCCTGTACTCCACCGGGAGCCAGTGCAGCTGGAAAAGCACTGGGTGAATATGCTCCCATGGCAGAGACCCTGTGAGGAGCCTCGCTGCAGCATTCTGCACCCGCTGGAGTTTCTGGGACAGTTTCAAGGGTAGAGCGAATTACAGTAGTCAAGCCTGGAGGTGACCATCGCATGGATCACTGTGGCCAGGTCGGGGCGGGAAAGGTAAGGGACCAACTGCTTAATGTGGTGAAGGTGGAAAAAATTAGAGATTTTGTCCGACATTGCCCACGTTTTCGAGTATATTTCTTTGCAGTCACGAGGGCTAGAAACTCCCAAATGAAAGCTCGGCTGGGCAGGGAAAGGCAGTGATTTTTGTCCTGTCCTGGGTTCGTCTCAAACAGTGCTGTTCCTGTTCTGCTACAGTTCGGCTTCTGGAAAAAACACACCTTCTTTCGCTGTTTGCTGTAGCCTGGAAGTAATGTAATGAATTGTGTAATTAATCTCAACGGAAGGGAAGCATCAGAAGATAATTATTTATGTAATGTTTGTGGACTAAAAAAAAAAAAAAAATCATTGCAAATACCACTTGTATGGGAAAAAATTTATAATGAATTGGAAAAAAATGTTTAAAAGTACATTTCCCCCCCCAAAAAAAACCAGAGTCCTTTTTGTTGGGGATAATTCAGATGGAAATTCTCAGGTGTCAAAAAAGACTATGTAAGCCACTACTGCGGCCCGTGTTTTGTTAGCCCAAAAATGGAAAACGAGCAAGGTCCCAACTAAAGAATGGCAACTTAAGCTGACATAATATGTGCAGATTGCAGACTTAACATATAGAATAAGAGAACAAGAAGAACATACGTTTAGAGAAGATTGGAAAAAGTTTATTGAATATATGGGGGGAAATTGTGTACGCTTGAAAATGCTGACAGCATTAAGATAAATTCAACAGTGTAAATAAGTTTTAATGGATATAATAATGGAATACTGAATGGTATGGTTTCTGTAAAAATGCAGGGATTTATGATATGTAAAATGAACCATGGAAAGAGAAGAAGGGAAGTCACTGACATTTTAAGGTTGTTTAATGAATATTTTAAATTGTAAAATAGAAAACTTAATAAAAATTATTTAAAAAGAGCAAAATACCACTTCTATTAGCTTGTGTGATTTTCTGTTCCTGACCTCCGAAGAACACGCAAATTGCGGAAATGTCCGTTTCCGCTTCTGGCAGAATTCTGTGACCTTCCCAGTGAACCCTGAGGTTCTTAGGGAGCTGAATTCTGTGGCTGCATTCTCCAGCTTTTGTGTGCACCTTTGCAGAATCGCAGCAAGGTCACACATCCCTGGTTACACTCTTTTCTACTGTAGAATTAGAGCTGAGAAACTTCTACAATCCAACTCTTGAGCCAGTTTTCAATAAACAAATATATTTTCTTACCTCACATTTCATTTTATCCGGGGCTTCTTCTGAAGGAGGTGAGGACAGGTGACCCCACCTAGGCCTGAAGTCACCCCCCCCCCAAAGCAGGCTCAAAGCTTCTCAAAGCTTTTCAAAATCATTTTCTCAGCAGCTAAGCATCTGCTCATTTGCTCTGCTGTTGCAAGGCAAAACCGTTACTTTTATCAGCACGAGAAGGCTTCAAAAAGCTAATGAATAGACTCTGTCAGAGCAGGCCTGAGAACTGACTTTTATCTCATTCTAGTTGCAACATCTTGGACATGTTCTCATTCCCCTTTCCTGGGAAGAGTCCCAAGACAGGAGCTTTCTGTTCATGCTCAGGGGAACTCGAGGCAGGACTCCTGAGGGAGGAGAAAGGGGAGGGAACTGGAAGGGGAATATATGCTCTGTGCACATGACTGTGAACTCGTGCATGTTTTTGTGAGTTATCACACTTGCTCCTTCTACCAGTTCATGGATGGTAGAAATAAAGCTTTTCCTCTGAAACTATTCCTTGAGTGTCTGTTGACTCCCACTTCCCTTTCCCGGGCACAATATTTTTCCCACCCGAGGACAAAGCCTCATAAAGCTACATTTCTTGGTGCGTTGGCCGGGAAAAACAGCATTCCCCGAGGATAAGGAATGTGGGTCCAAGGCGTAACTGTGGTGAACAGCTCGAGTTCGGCGTCAAGTGCACATCCTGCCAAGTTCGTGGGAGGAATTGCCACCCGTTCCTGAGTGGAGACACTGCAAGGACCGGAGAAAAAGCAACGGCTGAAAGAAGGTACCTCGAGGAAAAAAGTAAGGCTCCACAGGGATAGGTGGGAGCAAAGAGAGTTTGATCAGCTCCACCAGTAGGGTAGAAAAAGTGCCACTGGTTTTGGTTTCGCCCAGGAGCAGTAAAAGGTGCTGCTGGGTCCCGGTCGAAGTCGTGAAGCGCTGCCGGTTGGTTTTGGTAAAAGGGGGATTGGGGGAGGTGCATGGGTTTCTGAATGTGTGTGTGGGGACACTCCAGTGAATGTTTTGAGTGTGTGAGACGTTGGAAGCAACGTGTGGTCTTTGCAGTGTGTTCAAGCCACTAATAAGACGTGAAGAAAGGTAGTTCGACACCAGTTTTGTTTCAGGCACTCCTGAACTATTTGGCCCCTCCTCTTAAAACAAAACAAAAACCCCCAAAACATACCTCCTGTGTTTGCATACTCAGACCCCACAGCGCCGTACCGTTAAAAAGCACATCCTACCACTCTGAGCAGTCATGGCTTCCTGCAAGGAATCCTGGGAAACGTTGTTTGTTAAGGGCGCTAAGAGTTCTTCGGAGACCCCCTTATTCTTCTCGCAGAGCTACGATTCTCAGATTTCCTGTCTAAAAAGTCGCCCGTCTGAAAGCCAGGGCCTCATCAAGAATAAAGGGCTACTTGTGAAGAGGTGCTTCCTCGCGAGGAGACACAGCTCAGATAGCTCTGGTGGCCAATCAGCTGTACCTATGGATAAAAACATTTAGTCCTGGGGAAAGCTGCCGGAACAATTTCCATACGCCTTGCTGGGAACCCGATTTCCATATTTGCATGTCCTTGGCCTGTGACTGGGCTTCATTGACCCAAACCAACATGACCTGACCTGGCTTTCTGGAGCATCCTGTAAGTGGACTCTTGACTCCTGGCATCCTTATCCCCCTCTGAAGCAGGGCGCTCTGCCCCCCTCTCCGCAAACATATCGCAATAAAAATCATCCAGCCTTTCGGGTTCTTCTGGGAAACTCTGGCCCTTGTTGGCCAAGCAAAGGAGAATCCTTAGAGCCAAGTGAGAAACCTCAGCTCAACAGGGAGAAGACGTTTTATCTCTCTAGAAGAAAAAAGATCCATAAAAACAACGACTACATTTGAAAAAAACATTTTATTTTGTTTCAAAAGCTTCTTTGTACAATTCCCCTCTCCCTTTGCATGGCCCGCATGCAGGTTTTTAATGTACATTTTTGTCCCGAAGCAGCAAAAGCCCAGCTTTTTCACTCTTCCTTTTATCTCCTTACACAGGTGGAGGCGGGGGCCACACAACTGGCTCATTCCATAGACTCACTAAGTATTAGACGTTTTTGCCAACGAACTGCTCTGGATTACTCCCTGTGTCCCAAAGGGGCCCTCAGTTTTGCTCAGATCTAACTTCTTAAAAATTAAAAGTTCCAAGGAAAAAGAAAACATGAACACGGGGAATAGACAAGGCCCTGAGAGCTTCCTGAGCCTCTTACATTATATAATAGCAGCCGCAACCTTTTAATGTCAATGTGACTTCCAAACCTCCTTAGCTAGATAAGCACTTGGTCTCTTTTATCCTACAGAAATTATAACCTAGTAAAAGGTAAAGGACCCCTGGACGGTTAAGTCCAGTCAAAGGCGACTATGGGGTTGCGGCGCTCATCTCGCTTTCACGCTGAGGGAGCCGGTGTTTGTCTGCAGACAGCTTTCTGGGTTATGCGGCCAGCAGGACTAAACCACTTCTGGCGCAACAGGACACCGTGACGGAAACCAGAGCGCACGGAAACGCCGTTTACCTTCGCGCGGGAGCAGTACCTATTTATCTACTTGCACTTTGATGTGCTTTTGAACTGCTAGGCTGGCAGGAACTGGGACGGAGCAATGGGAGTTCACCGTGTTGTGGGGATTCGAACCGCCGACCTTCTGATCGGCAAGCCGAAGAGGCTCAGTGGTTTAGACCACAGTGCCTAGTTAGAGATGCTAGCAAGATGTGACTTGGGGAAATTCCATCCTGCTGTCTGTCTGTTTGTGTCTGGGCAGAGCTGAAAGCAGTTGTCAACAGGCTTCCTTACACCCTTTATCCTTTAAAGGGTGCATTGTTAAACTATGAAACCTGCTGTCATAGGAGGCAGCGATGGCCAAAAACCTCTGTGGCTTTAAAAGAGGATTTCGAGAAATTCATGGAGGAGAGGGCTATCTAAGGCTACTGCTGCCACACTTGGAAACGGCTATGCTTTTGAATGAGCGTTGCTGGGAAACACAGGAGGGGAAGGTTGCTCTCATGCTTGAATCCCACTTGCGGATTTCCCCGCGGGTGTCTGGTTGGCCGCTGTGAAAAAAGGATGCTGCAATAGATGGACCACCGCCGCTGTGAAAAAAGGATGCTGCAATAGATGGATGGCTCCTTTTACGTCTTCTTCATGGAAGGCCCATGTCCCAGGCCAAATGCTTGAGGTGGGGTGGGGCAAGCAGTCTTACTGCGCTTCTTTCCTGCTGACGGACTTCTAAGTTGGGCATCTGCAGGGGAAGGTCCGTTGCTGAGCGGCAGAGCGTCTTGCTTCGCATGCACAAAGGTCTCGGGTTCAACCCTGACTTCTCCTAATAGGCTGGGAAATAGGAAATCCTGTTTGCTGGCTTCCCACAGGAATCTGGCTGGCTGCTGTGAGACTAGACGGGCCGCTAGCCTGGCCCAGCAGGCTTTTCTCATGCTCTTATCCGTGCAAGAGGAGGTCTTCACGCCGTGGCACTTTTGTGTCGTTCCGTGCTTCTTCTTCACAGTGCATCTATCTCTGCTGTGTTTGTGCGCGATGAGGCCCTTGTCCGGTGGGACACTCAGAGGGTCAAGCCGCTGCAACAGGCACCTTCTTCGCACTGACCTGCCTTCCCTTCCCAGGAGCAGGTGGGCTGCAGGTATCACACCTGACAGATGTTGTAGTTTTTTTGCTCCGCTAAAACCTCTCCGATCACTTCCATCACGTGGTCGTTGGAGGCAGATGTCCCCCTCAAGGCTGGTTTTTCTTCGTTGCTCTCGGGATCCTGCAGGGAAGTGGGAAGCAAAATGCAGGTGCTGAGATGAACCAGCTCTGAATTCAATTCAGTCCACATTTTTAAAGCGTACAAGCCAAATCTTTATCTTTCGAAACAATGTGCAAACCGAAATGCAGACGTCCTTTAAAATTCTGCACTCCTTCAGCCAAGTAATCGGTACAGAAATGTACAAACAAAGGCAACGCGTGCATATAAATGCACATCTTTGTGAAAATATCATACAAAACTGGGGGAAATCATTCTGCAAAAACTTTTATTAGTCAAAACCCTGTTTTTTAAAAGTATGTTTTGCGCTAAGAAGCTGACGAACGGCCATGAGGACTTTTTAAGCAAATCGCAAATTATTGTGGAAATGTGGAGAACTGAGTTTAAGATTGGAAAAAATGAGAATTTTTGAAAAACAAACCTGATCGATTTGTCCTTCCTTACCCCTCCCTCTCACCTGACTCCTTAACTGACTTTCTGATATGTTTGGATGTACAGTGGTACCTCTAGTTACGAACTTAAGTCGTTCTGGAGGTACGTTCTTAACCTGAAACCATTCTTAACCTGAGGTATCTATTTAGCTAATGGGGCCTCCCGCTGCCGCCAGCACGCAATTTCTGTTCTCATCCTGGGGCAAAGTTCTTAACCCGAGGTACTATACTTCCGGGTTAGCGGAGTTTGTAACCTGAAATGTTCGTAACCCGATGTACCACTGTAACCGCTTCTCAAGTGACACCCACACATACTTTGCCTGGTTTCGGAGCAAAATCTTTCCGACAGACGTGGGCTATGATTCCTGCTGCCAGCGCATCTCCCAAGACGTTGGTCATTGTGCGTAACCGGTCCCTAGATGATGTGGGGGACAAACAGAACGGGGTTGGAAACCAGTTCAAAGAAGAGGTTCAGATGGTCAGTCAGGTTGCCCTTCCCATTTCTCCGCAGCTTTATGTTCAAAGACAGGGGTCAGCAGGGGGCAGGTCCACTGTCCCTCAGACCTTGTGGGGGGCCGGACTATATTTTGAAGGGGGGATGAATGAATTCCTATGCCCCACAAATAACCCAGAGATGCATTTTAAATAAAAGCACACATTCTACTCATGTAAAAAACACCAGGCAGGCCCCACAAATAACCCAGAAATGCATTTTAAATAAAAGGACACATTCTATTCATGTAAAAACACGCTGATTCCCGGACCGTCCGCAGGCCGGATTGAGAAGGCAATTGGGCCGCATCCGGCCCCTGGGCCTTAGGTTGCCTACCCCTCTTCAAAGAGGACCACCTGCAATTTTCCATCTGAAGCTGTTTTCCAAATGGGTGAGCGATCATAGAATCGCAGAATTGTGGAGTTGGAAGGGACCCTGCAGATCATTAAGTCCAACTCCCTGCAATGTAGGGATATGCAGTTGTCCCATATGGGGATCAAACTTGCAACTGCCCTTAGCTCTGAAAAACTCAGCCCTTCCTGGGACTGTGTGTTCTATTCACAGAGCAGACACATTGCAAGCAATGGCCTGCAGTCCATCATGCTCATTAAAACCAGTGGGTCTCCTCTCCGTAGGACTAACACTGGGTACAATCCCATCTCTCTTTTGCTCTTTTTCCTTGGTTGAGTTGTGATTACTGTGCTTATTCTGATTTATTACCTGGCCTTCACCTTGAGGCCCCAGGTTGCGCCACAACAATTTGAAATGCAATATTGAAAACAGTTTAAAGCAAGCTGCAATCACAGTAAGGGGGTGGAGCCTAAAAATGTATATCTCAAGTGTCAACAGTCAGAGTAAAGGTGCATGTCTTCAGCATGCAACAGGAATGACAAGAGAATGCAACTCCATCCCAGCTTTTTAGGGTTCAGTTTTTATACGGTAGGACACAGCCTTTCTCAAGCTTGAGCCCCAAGATGTTGTTGGACTACAACTCCCATCATCCCAGAGCACTGGTCCTGTTAGCTGGGGATGATGGGAGTTGTAGTCAAACATCTGGGGACCCAAGTTTGGAAAGGCTGCAGCAGGACATTAAATGAAGCCAGCTCATTCACCCTGCCAACTCTAGGGTTTTTTGTAAACTTGTGGGCATGTGGCTTTGCCAATTTCCCCTATTAGCAATACAGTGGATTTGTGCGGGATGCATGTTCGCAACCCGCAGCGTTCGCAACCTGCGTCTGCACATGTGCGGGTTGCGATTCGGCGCTTCTGCGCAATTTAGTGCTTCTGCGCATGCGCGACCACCGAAACCTGGAAGTAACCCGTTCCGGTACTTTCGGGCTTCGGCGATCCGTAACCCGAAAAACACAACCTGAAGCGTCTGTAACCCGAGGTATGACTGTACAATCTCAGATATAGCCTTAAGACTACAGCGGTACCTCGGGTTAAGTACCTAATTCGTTCTGGTGGTCTGTTCTTAAGCTGAAGCACCACTTTAGCTAATGGGGCCTCCCACTGCGCCGCCGGAGCACAATTTCTGTTCTCATCCTGAAGCAAAGTTCTTAACCCAAGGTACTATTTCTGGGTTAGCGGAGTCTGTAATCTGAAGCATCTGTAACCTGAAGCGTCTGTAACCCAAGGCTTTGGCTGCAACCCAAATTGCGTTCACTCTTTGTCTAATTGAAGGTGGCCCTAGCCTCTCTCTCTCTCTCTCTCACACACACACACACACACACACACCCTTCGGGAGGAAATCTTACAAACGATGCGCTGCTCAGGAGCCTTAAAATACTACCTTGACAGGGACATAAGATGCCCCCCCCCCGCAGTGCTGCCAGGGAAAAGGCCAAGAGGAAACACAAGAGAGTTTTGTTAAAAATTTGGCATATAAATAAGCCAATTATTAACGATTATGATGAGTAAGAGCCTGTGGGATGAGGCCAATGGCCTATCTAGTCCAGCATCCTTTTCTCACAGCGGCCAACCAGATGTCTGAGGGAAACCCGCAAGTAGAACGTGAGCACAGGAGCACTTTCCCCTCCTGTCGTTTCCAGCAACTGGTACTGTCAGAGCTGGCTCCAGGTCCCAGCTCACAGAGGACCAACGCTAGCCGGCAGTAATGTACAAAAGTCTTTATTGAAGTACAGTTTCCATTTTCAAGCCGGAGCGCCCCAGCTCTACGTCTAGGGGTTAGATCGGCGAAGCTCCATCTGAGTCTCCGCCCCTGTACACCAGTTTAAGATTCTAGCCTTACTCCACCTCTTACGTCTCTCCTTTCTCCTCTGGGTCCTGCTACCCCCGGGTCCCTTCCTTCCTGGATTCTTCTGACGCTGACCCCCTGACTCCTCCCCTCTTTTCGGCAGGCTTTGGGACCTGGCTCCCTATCCGGGCTGCCCACTGCGCCGCCCTCCTGTACATTTGAACTTGGCGCGCGCGCCCAGCCTTCAATCTTCCTCTCGACCGTTTCCTCGCTCCCCGATGGAGGCGTGGCCAATCCTGACTCATGTCCTCCCACTGGCAGTGCGCCGCCTGATCCCGATGCCTGGGACTCCTCCCCCCTACTGCACTCTGGTGTGGACGCTGGTCCTGATTTCCAACTGCTGCTCTCTGAGTCCCCTCTGGCCCCTTCTTCCTGGGGTGTCCCCTCGGCACCCCCTTGCTCTGACCAAGGGAGCCCCTTTCTGTGAATCTTCCGATTCGCTGGAAAGACTCAGAGACCTCGGACCGCTGTCATCGCTAACATTTCCTTCGGACTCCCCCCCCTCGCTCTCTATTTCCTCCCTTTCCTGTGCCTCTGCTCCTGAACCCCTGACATCCATCCCCCTCGAAGCCCCCCTTCCCCCTCCCCTCCTTCAGGTGTGGGTACTGGGTGCTCCGTCGTTGTGGGGGTGAGTGCCGGATACAGTTCGTCCCCGTGGCGTGCATCCAGCCGGATAAGTCCGGCTCGTCCTCCGTGCTCTCGCCGACCTCAATTTCCTCTGCTTCCATCTCTTTGCCGCCGTGCTCGAACCCAAGGTCCTCCCCCAACACGTCCATGTCCGTCTCTCCCCCGGTCTCCTCCGGGGACGTTGCCTGCCAAGGACCCCCCAACCACTTCCTGCGCCACTGCTCCTCTGGTTGAGTGTCCCACCAATAGGAACGGTCTGAGGCAGACCCCGAGGGTGATCCCTCCGGGGAACGTGCTTCTAGTGCCGGTTCCTCGTCCGAGGTGAACCCCTGGAATGTGCTAGCTGAAAATGTGGGTGTGAAAAGCCAGTCGTCGAAATACTCGGCTGGCATGGGCCTGTGTGGGAAAAGTGCATGGAACTCGTCCTTGAGCCAAGATTCCTCCAGAGCATAATCTGGCACCCAACTGTTGGCGCTAGCCGGGGTACCTTCCTTGGCGAGGAGGTATTCCACTCCCTCCTCCCCCATCTCGAGTCTAAAATCTCTGTGACTTCGTTGACGGGTTCCCGCCTTGGCGACCCCCCCCCTTGTGGGCGTTTCCCTGAACGGGTCTGGTGCCGTTCCTGGCTCCTGAAATCTATGAGGTGCTTTGTAGGGCGTGAGCACTGATCTATGGAAAACTGGGTGCATTCTGGATCCCTCCGGCAGTGTCAACCGGAAGGCCACTGGATTGACCTGTGCCTCGACTTGGTAGGGTCCTAGCTGCTTATGCCCTAGCTTCTTCTTCGCTAACGATCTGGCCGGCACTGCCTGGGCTGCTAACCAAACCCAGTCTCCCACCTGTATGTCTTCCCCAACCCTCCTGTGCTTGTCAGCCTGCAGTTTGTATGCGTGCTTTGCTAGTTCTAACTGCCTCCGAAGCTGTTCGTGAACCTCCTGCAACTCTGATGCTAAGGCTTCCGCTGCCTGTGGCTCCCCTCCCCCGCTCTCGCTAATCCCGGGAAGGTTCTGGGATGCCTCCCGTTGTTGGCGAAGAACGGTGTCACCCCCGTGGACACGTGCTTCGTGTTGTTGTAGGCGAACTCAGCGAGCGGCAGGTAGTCCACCCATGTTGCCGGCTGCTGATTTGCGTAGCATCGCAGGTACTGCTGCATGATGGCGTTGACTCGCTCCGCTTGTCCGTTCGTCTGCGGGTGTCTCGCCGACGCTAGGTTGATCTTGACGTTCAGGAAACCCATCAGCTTCTGCCAGAAGTTCGAGATAAACTGTCGGCCCCGGTCGGACAGGATAGACCGTGGCAGACCGTGAACTCTGAACACGTGGTCTATGAACAGTTTGGCGGTCTGTTCCGCCGTGGCCACCTTCGCGCACGGAATGAAGTGGGCCATTTTGGTGAACATGTCCACCACCACTAGCACCGCCGTCTTGCCCCTCGAGCTGGGTAGATCCGTGACAAAGTCCAGGGCCACCCTCTCCCACGGTTCGAGCGGTGTCTGCAGGGGTTCGAGCAGTCCCGCCGGCGGTTTGTGCACTGACTTGGCCCTTTGGCAGGTGTCGCACCTCGAGACGTAATCCGCGACTTCCCCCCGCATCTTGGGCCACCAAAAAATCTCTGGCTACTAATTCTACCGTCTTCTCTTTGCCAAAGTGCCCGGCGGTGGGTGCGTCGTGCAACTGCTGCAGTACTTTCGCGCGGAGGTCGTCTCCCGGTACGTAGAGGGCCCCTCTGCGGATGAGCAATCCGTCGCGTATCTGGAACTCGTCGTCCTCCGCCGTGCCCCTTTGCACCTCTGCCATCTTTGCTTGCGCGAAGGGGTCCTCCTGCAGTGCTCGACGTACAGCATCCAGGTCCACGGTTGCTGAAGCGCACGCCCACGCTTTCGGTGCGAAAATGTGCTTGGCCGCTGCTGGTGCCGCCTCCTCGAGGTATTGCGGCTTTCTGGACAGTGCATCCGCCATGATGTTGTTGTCGCCTGGGATGTACTCTATCCTGAAGTCGAAATCCGCAAAGAACTCCGCCCATCGTATGTGCCTCTGGTTCAGGAACCTTGCCGTGCGCCAGTACTCCAGGTTTTTATGGTCCGTGCGGACCTGCACTGTGTGTTTGGCTCCAATGAGGAAGTGCCGCCACGCCTTGAATGCTGCATGAATGGCCAGCAACTCCCTGTCCCAGATGGTGTAGTTCTGCTCTGACTTGCTGAGCTTCCTGGAGTAGAAGGCACACGGTCTCCAGTCCCCATGCGGGTCTTGCTGCAACAGTACTGCTCCCACGGCTCTGTCTGAGGCGTCCGTTTCAACCCTCATCGGTCTGCTGGGATTCACATGCAGTAGCTGCTCTTCGGACGAGAAGAGACGCTTGAGTTTCTGAAAGGACTGCTCCGCTTGCTCCGTCCAGATGAACTTCTTCTTCTTGGAGCTGAGCGTGTCGGTAATGGCCGCCGTCTGCATCGCGAACCCCTTGATGAACTTGCGGTAAAAGTTGGCGAAACCGACAAACCGCTGGACCTCCTTCCGATTGCGCGGGCTCTTCCAGTCCAACACTGAGCGAACCTTGGCGCTGTCCATGGCGAGCCCCTTGTCCGACAACTTGTAGCCCAGGAAATCTACCTCCTTCATGTCGAACTGGCACTTCTCCAGCTTGGCGTACAGCCTGTGCTCCTGCAGTCTCTGCAGAACTTCCTTGACGTCTCCCTCGTGGGTCTCCTCTGATTCTGAAAATATCAGGATGTCGTCCAGGAAGCAGACGCATTTCTTGTAGAGGAGACCCGCCAATACGTGATGCATGAAGGCTTGAAAACAGTGGGAGCCATTTTGTAATCCAAAGGGCATAACTCTGTATTCATAGGTGCCCAGGGGCGTGAACATGGCAGTCTTCCATTCGTCGCCCTCCCGTATGCGAATCAGGTTGTACGCCCTCGCAGATCCAACTTTGTGAAAACGCGTCCTTTCCTCACCGTTGCGAGCAGGTCATCTATCTTGGGCATGGGAAAGGCTGTGGGCTTGGTTTTCGAGTTCAAAATTCTATAGTCCACCACAAGCCTTTTTGGGGCGTGTCCTTCTTCTTCACAAAGAATACAGGACTGCCCCCCACTGCCTTCGACTCCCGGATGAAACCGCGCTTCAAGTTGAGGTCTATGAACTCCCTGAGTTCCTGCAGCTCGTCTTCAGACATGGAATACAGTTTCCCGGTTGGCAGCGTCGCCCCTGGCAGGAGGTCAATCTTGCAGTCATAAGACCTGTGGGGAGGTAGCTTGTCCGCTTCCTTCTCGCAGAAAACCTCCAAAAACGCTGCGTACTTGAGTGGCACTGCTTGCAGCGTGCCTAATTGTAGCTGCGGATCATCCTCTTCCCCTTCCGGGCTAGGCAGAATGCAATGTTCCGCACAGTATGAGGAGCCGAAGGTCAGTTGTCGCTGGTACCACGCCAATGCTGGGCTGTGCCTGTGCAGCCAACTCATGCCTAATACTATAGGCGTGTCCGACAGTTGGGTGACATTGAAGCTGATGACTTCTCGGTGATTCCCAATTTGCATCACCATCGGAGGCGTTTGCTGCACCACCTGCCCCCCCAGCAATTCCCTGCCATCCACCGTGACAACCTTCAGAGGCAGCGTGGCTGGCAGGAGTGCTATGTTGTGCTCTTGAAGGAAATCCAGTCCTATGAAGTCTGCGTTACTACCAGAGTCAATGGTAATCGGCACTTCCATAGTGAGTCCATTGGGTAGTTGGAGCGATGCTGTGAGCTGCACCACTGGTTTGGGCGGGAGGGGGTCTGTGGGCTGCAAAATCTCTGGGGACGGCTTCAGTGACTTGTCTGGTTGGGCCCCAGTGCCTCTTCCTCCAACCAGACTCTGTCGTTTCCCTGCTGTGGTTCTCTCTGCTGAGTTGCTTCTGTTACTGTTGCTGAGGCTGCAGTGTGCTTGTGGAGCCTCTGGGGACACTCTTTCGCCATGTGCTGAGCACTGTCGCAGATGTAGCACTTCCTGTTCCCTCTAGGAGGCTTCGCTTTGACTGCTCCCGGTGGTAAGGCTCTGGTTGCTGACTGAGCCCTGGCGCCTCCAATCTCCATCGGTTGCTCTCCCCCTCCTTGCGGAGGTGGGGATTGCACACGCGCTGTATCCTTGGGAAAGAGGGGAGGTGCTCTCACTGGCGTACGTCCCCAACGTCCTTCTTCTCTGTTCCATGGACGTTCTTCCAGACGCACCCCAATTTGCAGCGCCCTCCGGACAACCTCCTGAGTGCTCTTTGGTCTCTCCCCCCTTGCAATCTCATCTTTCACATTTGCATTCAAGCCTTCCCAAAAAAAGGTCTCTGGCTGGGGCAGAATCCTTCTCCCATCCCAGCGCATGGACTAATGCAAAAAGCGGGAATGGTACTGCCTTACACTGGCTCTGCCTTGTTTGAGCCCATGTATGTCTTTTCTGGCGATATCAATGTCTATATTTGATAAAAACACGAATCCATCGCTTTAATGAATGCATCCGCATTTTGGAGCGCCGGATCCTTATCTCTCCACAGATTGCGCAGCCACGCTTTAGCTTCCCCATGCAAATGGGACAAGATAAACCCCACCTTCTCTTGCTCATCTCTAAAGTCTTTATCCAGCAGTTCCAGCGCAAACAGCACGTCTGCTCGGAAGTTAGGGTACTGCTGCAAATTCCCATCGAAATGAGATACCAGGCTGCCTCCTCTTTTCCCCAGCCCAATCCCCTCTGATTTGGGTCCCGGTTGCCCCTGCTTAGCAAGCACTTCCAACCTGGCTTGGAGATCCCTGCAGGCGGCAGCCGCTTCCTCTTCCCTTTTCCTGGATGCGAGTACCTCCGCGTTGAGTTGTGTCACTGCATTTTGCAGGGCTGCTAGTTGCTGTTCTGTAGTCATCTTGCCTGACTTTTGTGAGCTCGCGAAGCACCAATCTTCTTCCTCGCTGCGTCCACTCACGTTACGAGGTTTTTGGTGCAAAATTTTTGAGATGGAGCTTACTGTCAGAGCTGGCTCCAGGTCCCAGCTCACAGAGGACCAACGCTAGCCGGCAGTAATGTACAAAAGTCTTTATTGAAGTACAGTTTCCATTTTCAAGCCGGAGCGCCCCAGCTCTACGTCTAGGGGTTAGATCGGCGAAGCTCCATCTGAGTCTCCGCCCCTGTACACCAGTTTAAGATTCTAGCCTTACTCCACCTCTTACGTCTCTCCTTTCTCCTCTGGGTCCTGCTACCCCCCGGGGTCCCTTCCTTCCTGGATTCTTCTGACGCTGACCCCCCCTGACTCCTCCCCCTCTTTTCGGCGGGCTTTGGGACCTGGCTCCCTATCCGGGCTGCCAACTGCGCCGCCCTCCTGTACATTTGAACTTGCGCGCGCGCCCAGCCTTCAATCTTCCTCTCGACCGTTTCCTCGCTCCCCGATGGAGGCGTGGCCAATCCTGACTCATGTCCTCCCACTGGCAGTGCGCCGCCTGATCCCGATGCCTGGGACTCCTCCCCCCTACTGCACTCTGGTGTGGACGCTGGTCCTGATTTCCAACTGCTGCTCTCTGAGTCCCCTCTGGCCCCTTCTTCCTGGGGTGTCCCCCTCGGCACCCCCTTGCTCTGACCAAGGGAGCCCCTTTCTGTGAATCTTCCGATTCGCTGGAAAGACTCAGAGACCTCGGACCGCTGTCATCGCTAACATTTCCTTCGGACTCCTCCCCCTCGCTCTCTATTTCCTCCCTTTCCTGTGCCTCTGCTCCTGAACCCCTGACAGGTACTATATTTTTCACTCTATAAGACGCACCAGACCACAAGATGCACCTAGTTTTTGGAGGAGGAAAACCAGAAAAAAAATATTCTGAATCTCAGAAGCCAGAACAGCAAGAGGGATCGCTGCGCAGTGAAAGCAGCAATCCCTCTTGCTGTTCTGGCTTCTGGGATAGCTGCGCAGCCTGCATTCGCTCCATAAGGCGCAGACACATTTCCCCTTACTTTTTAGGAGGGAAAAAGTGAGTCTTATAGAGCAAAAAATACAGTATTTGGAAGCGTTGCTGCCTCCCAGCCGTAAAGGCCGAGCGTAGCCTTTGTGGCTAGTAGCCATCGACAGCCCTCTCCCCCATGGATTTGTCTAATCAATCTGTATCCAAACATGACACACCAATGGAGTAAAGAGCAACTCACAAGGCCCAGTCAACAGCGATGATCAGGGTGATGTCTTCCGTGGGGAGGCCGACAGAGGTCAACACGATGACCATCGTAACAAGGCCCGACTGGGGGATCCCGGCTGCCCCGATGCTTGCTGCTGTGGCTGTGATGCTGCAAAAAGAGGAGACGCAGAGTGCTGTTGCTTTGGGGACAGGGCGGCTTTCCCAACCATTGCAGATGCCATATAGACTGGTGATGGCCAAACTTGGCCCTCTAGGTGTTTTGGGACTACAACTCCCATCATCCCTAGCTAACAGGACCAGTGGTCAGGGATGGTGGGAATTGTAGTCCCAAAAATAGCTGGAGGGCCGAGTTTGGCCATCACTGATATAGACGAATGGTCAGAAACTTTCAGTAGCCCCCGGTGATTTCCACTTAGTGCTTTCTGCATCATCTCAGCAATCCTTACAGCTAAACTGTCCAAGTAGTATTGCCCCCATTTTACAGGTGGCATTGGGGGGAAGTTAAGTCTGAAAGGCAGCAGCTGGCCTAAGCAGGGCCGGCCCACCCAAGAGGCAAGCTGAGACTGCCTCAGGCGGCAGAATCCTCAGGGGCAGCAGATCTCAATGTAGATTGTTATTCAGGGCCGGCCCACCTAAGAGACAAGGCGAGTTGACTGCCTCAGGCGGCAGGATCTGCTGGGGCAGGAGTTCCCGGTGTTAATCTTTCTTTCCCTTACTTGTTCCTGATGTAGATCTTCCCTCACCCCTTTTTCCCTGGCAGGGTGGCAGGGGAGGGGATGCCATTTTGGGGTCTGACTTAGGTGCCAAAATTTTCTTGGGCTGGCCCTGGGCCTAAGCCACTAGAAAGGTCCATAAAAACCGGTCTGCTGCCTCAGGGCAAAGGCCCATTAGTTCTCACGGTAGCCACCCGGCTTGTAAGGCCCAAGAACAATGTCTCCCATCTGCAAACTCCAGGAATGGGCATTCAGAGGCCTGCAGTCTCTAATACTGGTGGGCAATACAGCCATCAACAAACACTAGCTGCCTGGACCCTGGTTTTAACTGGCTACAGGTTCATCAGTTTCAACATTTATCGACACATCAAATTTTGCCAAGCAAACTAAAGGTGAATTAAGTTCATCTTCTGGCAGAACTTCACATGATTTCTAGTTGAAGTTGAAGTTCAGAACAAGATTGTAAGTGTTGTGGGGAATCAGCAATTCATATTCTATTGTGTGTGCATTTTGAGGTTTTCATAGTCCTCTTACACGTTTTTTCTGCTTTAGATTCTTTGGGCCTTTAAGCTTAAAGATTGCGAAAATAAACGAAGCCATTCACATTTCATGTTTTCTCAGTCTACCTAGCTATATTTTATACCGCACACTGGAACATTATTATTTTATACTACACATTGGAACATTTTTTGGGGGAGAAGGGGGCAAGGATGGATTTTTTTCTAACCTGAGAAAGTTCATTTGGATTAACTTGAACTAAACTATCTTGCTTTGTAAAAGGACGAACTGTTAACAGGAACAACGTAGTTCATTTTTTGAAAGGATGAACTTGAGTTAGGTCTTTTTTTCTTTTTTTAAAAAAGAACTTTCTAAGCACTGGGTCATCACCATATAAAATAAAGAAGACTGGCAAAACATAACAAATACAGTGGTACCTCGCAAGACGAAAAACGCGCAAGACGAAAGAGTTTTTCATTTTTTGAGTTGCTTCGCAAGACGAATTTCCCTATGGGCTTGCTTCGCAAGACGAAAAACGAAAAAAACGAAAACGTCTTGCAAGTTTGTTTCCTTTTTCTTAAAACCGTTAATACCCAGGGTGACTTCGAGGAGCAACTCATAGCACGCGGTGTGGTAGCCTTTTTTGAGGTTTCTGAAGACTTTGGTGATTTTGAAGACTTTGGGAAACCGTGGTTCGCAAGACGAAAAAAATCGCAAGACGAAAAAACTCGCAAAACGAATTAATTTCGTCTTGTGAGGCACCACTGTATGGCAAGAAAGCCACACTCTTGCCTTTTCTCGACACTTGTCATGAAAAGTGCATGGTCTCAGTCACAATGTCTAAACTTTCTTTCTTTCTTTCTTTCTTTCTTTCTTTCTTTCTTTCTTTCTTTCTTTCTAGCATCTGCTTCAGTTACAAAGGCCAGAGGGGGGATATGAAAGAAGGAAGTGGATTTACCTGATGGTTATGATCTGCCCAAAGTCCAGGTCGTATTCGTTGACCTGCGCGATAAATATGGCTGCCACTGCCTCATAAAGCGCAGTCCCGTCCATGTTGATGGTTGCCCCGACCGGGAGGACAAACCTGGCTATCCGCCTGTCAATCCCGTTGTTTTCTAAAAGACACTTCAGGGTGATGGGCAGCGTGGCTGAGCTGTGAGGGAAAAGCCATGCTAGTTAGCAAGACACAGGTGTTTCCGTAGGGAGGCCCTGTAACCTCCCTGTTCCCTAAGGTGCAACTAACTAGACAACACTAGGCATATTGGTTTGGGATCAAATAAGGCCACAAAGTTATTGGTTACGGCTGTGAAGGTTTGGCCATAGGCGTTGTGGCAAGCAACTGCGTATGTCACTCCTGATCGTCTGCTGGAGGTGTTATTAAGGGTGAAGCCAGTGGGAGGACGGACGCCCGATGACCTACATCAAATCGGGGCGTCCCCTAGGTGGTCCCCATTGGGGGAGCGGTATAGCCCTAGCCCCCGCCTGGGCATCGGACAGGAGCCACTCCTTCTGGATCCTTTTAACAGGATATCCTTACCCATGGAGGGGCAGGAGGAGGCTACAAACCCCTCGCTCCAACCAAGACTAGGCTTACCCAACGCCTATCCGCCTTTCAGTGAGAGAGAGGCCGAAAGGCCCCGCAAGCTGGGAATTTTTCCTTGCACTGGGCGTGGGGCCAAGCGCTACTACTGGTCAGTTGGCTCTGCGCCCACCCTCTGATCCCTACTGCCGTTGGCAAATCTGTTGGCAGGAGGACGATCTGGCTTGCAATAGGCTGGTTCCCAGAGGAGACCCAGGGCCCATCCGCAAAGCCGCCCACCCAAGAAGGGGCAAACAGTATTTTAAAACCAGCTGTGCGTACACCATACACACATGGCGTGTGTGTGTCCCGTCCCCCCCGGAATCCTGGGAATTGTAGTTTTTAAAGGGTGCTGGGAATGATAGCTTTGCAAGGGGTAAACTGAAGTTCCAAGGATTATTTCAGGGTCAGCAAGAAGAACCCAGGGAATCTGCTCCTCCTGCAGCAACCGGCTCCCTCCCTCTCTGGTCTCCCAGAACATGCAGAGAAATGAAAAGAGCAGAACAGAGGTTAGTTGTGTGCAGACACTGTTTGAGACTGCATGGGGAAAACCCTCGAGAGGAGAAGCCTTAGAGAGAGGGGTGGGAAGGCGGGGACCTTCAGTCCACGCAACAGCTTCATTGGGGCAAGAGCTCCTGGGAAGAGTTGCTGAGACCACTAGGCCTGAGCTCTGTGGTTGGCTTCCTTGAATAAAGATTTAACTTCACTGGCCTCGGGTGATTTGCCATTTGTGTTGTTGACCTGTTGACCAGCCCTGACACCACATTACTCCTTAAGAGTCTCCTGCACTTCTTACCTGGATGACGTTGCCAGAGCAATGAGCAGGGCTTGGAGGATCCCCCGGATGAAGGAGAAAGGGTTCTTCTTGGTGATGAGCACAAACAGCAGAGGCAGGAAGCAGAGGCCATGGATGGCCAAGCCAGTCACGACAGTCATGGCATAGAGGCCGAGCTTCTTCCCAATCGTGGAGGGGTCTTCCATCTCCAAGATCTTCCCGGCTATCAAGAAGACGATGCCGAACGGGAAGTACCTGAAACAGCACAAAACGGGCAAGCTCAGGACCGGTGGAGCCTGTGGCGAGGGCATCAAAGCACACACACAGAGGAATGTGAACTGCTTCGTTTATTTCCCCCAACAATTTAAATTTAAAGGCCCAGAGAGCCTACAGCGTAAACAAAGCAAAATGTAAGGGAATGAGCTTGAATGTGAGCTAGAAATCATTCTACTGTACTCCGAAACAAATTTAGTTCATGTTCTACAGTGGTACCTCGGATTAAGAACTTAATTTGTTCCGGAGGTCCGTTCTTATCCTGAAACTGTTCTTAACCTGAAGCACCACTTTAGCTAATGGGGCCTCCCGCTACTGCTGTGCTGCCGGAGCACAATTTCTGTTCTCATCCTGAAGCAAAGTTCTTAACCCGAGGTACTATTTCTGGGTTAGTGGAGTCTGTAACCTGAAGCGTATGTAACCCGAGGTACCACTGTATTCGCTCAGCAACTGGAACGACTTCGGAAGTTTTGAAACTTACGCAGTGAACTTCATCATCAACATCATCATTGTTTTTGGTACCCTGCCCATCTGACTGGGTTGCCCCCAGCCACTCTGGGTGGCTTCCAACAAATATACAAAGATACAACAAACCATAACGCATTAAAAACTTCCTGATACTGGTCTGCCTTCAGATGCCTACAGAAGATTGTATAGTTATTTATCTCTGACATCTGATAGGAGGGGATTCCATAGGGTGAGCACAACTACCAAGAAGGCCTTCTGCCTGGTTCCCTGTGACTTCATTTCTTGCAGGAAGGGAACCGCCAGAAGGCCCTTGGAAGTGGACCTCAGTGTCCAGGCTGAGCGATGAGGATGGAGAAGTTCCTTTAGGTATACAGGAACGAAGCCATTTAAGGCTTTAAAGGTCAGCACCAACACTTTGAATTGTGCTTGGAAACATACTGGGAGCCAATGAAGGTCTTTTAGGACCGTTAAACCAAACTATAAATATTATAATCTCGCTTTTCAGACAATTATTGGCTCCCAAAGTGTCTCACATCAGTAAAAGAAAGAGGCAGGCCTTGCCACCAGGTTTTAGAAACTAAAAAGGCAAGACACACATGTAGCTGTCAAATTTGAGCCTGGAAAAGGACCTGGCCCATGAAGCCAAAAAGCTTCCCCATCTCTGCCTGAATTGCTGGCCCACCAGGGTGGCATTTGACTTACCAGACTGCCATGGCCACAATCTTCATTACTGCCTCATTCAGGCACTGGCAGACGTTCACCAGAGGAGCCCCTCGCTCGCCCATCTTCCCCAAAAGGAGGCCTGCCGACAAACAGTTGCTGGTGTATAAATGAAGGTCCCACTTGCATAGTAATAACAATGTGCAATGCAGTGTCCAACTTTACTCGCAGTTGCAGTGGGTTGTAAGCAATGCCAGCCCTACTCAGGGCAGACACAATGAAATGAATGAAGCCAACTTAGCCATGCCCAGTTAACTTCAATGGGACTACTCTGAGTAGGCCTGGCATTGGACAGAGTCCTTTACCAACTGGTGTGAGCCAGCGTGGTGTAGTGGTCTGCATGTTGGACTAGGACCTGGGAGAGCAGGGTTCAAATCTCCCCCCCCCCCCAGACATGAAACTCGTGTGTGACTCTCAGGCCGGCCAGTCTCCCAGCCTAACCTGCCCCACAGGGCTGTTGTGAGGATAATATAAGGAGAGAGTGCACTACCTTGAGCTCTTTGAAGGGAAGGTGGGATGCTAATGTAATCAATAAAAGTAAACAATAAGAAGCACGATCTCATCTTCAAGGGGTGTAAGGCAAGATGTTCCTTTCTTGTTTAAGTTCCAGCTAGGACAATTCAGCCAATTATTATGTGCCTTTTCTCTTTGCAGATCTAGCTGCAGGCAGCAGAGTCTGCAAAATTCTTAGCAACCGCCACAATCATGCCCCATGTTTTAAATTGTATGGGTTTTTTAAAATTCTAATTGCGCTTGAAATTTTATCTGCTTAGTAGCATGTGCAGTGGTAACTTGGTTTTCAAACTTAATCCGTTCCGGAAGTCTGTTCCAAAACCAAAGCGTTCCAAAACCAAGGCACACTTTATTATTTATTATTATTATTTCCCACAGAAAGTGATGCAAAATGGATTAATCCGTTGCAGACTTTTAAAAACAACCCCTAAAACAGCAATTTAACATGAATTTTACTATCTAACGAGACCATTGATCCATAAAATGAAAGCAATAAACAATGTTCTGCAGTCACACAATCAATCAATCAATCAATCAATCAATCAATAGCTGAACTGGATTCCACACAGTCACAAAAACCAAAGAGCAGCAAAAATGCAAAATAAGTAGGAAAAACAGACAGATCTCAGCGTAGCACTCAAAATGGAAGTGTGGCACTCAAATCGGAAGCGTAACACTCAAAACGGAGCACGTTCGACTTCTGAAAAACGTTCGCAAAGCAGAACACTCACTTACGGGTTTGCAGTGTTTGGGTTCCAAGTTGTTTGAGTACCCAAGGCGTTTGAGAACCAAGGTACCACTGTACGTATGTTTATATTTTGTGCACCAATCGTAGCAGGACAACTTGCGAATGTTAAATTCAGTTTGCTAATTCCATAGTCATAGAACTTTAGAGTTGGAAGGGACCTCAAGGATTATCTAGTCCAACCCCCTGCAATGCAGGAATCACAGCTAAAGAATCCCTGGCAGACAGCCATCCAGCCAGTGTGGTGTAGTGGTTAAGAGCGGTGGACTCGTAATCTGGGGAACCGGGTTCACTTCCCCGCTCCTCCACCTGCAGCTGCTGGGTGACCTTGGGCTAGTCACACTTCTCTGAAGTCTCTCAGTCCCACTCAGCTCACAGAGTGTTTCTTGTGGGGGAGGAAGGGAAAGGAGAATGTTAGCCGCTTTGAGACTCCTTTGGGTAGTGATAAAGCGGGATATCACATCCAAACTCTTCTTCTATGCTTAAAAACCTCCAGTGAAGGAGAGTCCTCCACCTTCCAAAGTTGTCCATTCCACTGTTGAATGCCTCTTACTGGAATAGGAATTACCATGATGAAAATCTATGCTAACATGCGCTATCAATCTTGTGATGTTCTTTCTTCCCCTTTTTTACATTATTAATGAATGAGAGCATGTATAAAATTGTTGACTTTGGGGCAGGGGGAAATGTGCATTAACAAAACCTTCTTAAAATCAAGTTACAGGTAGGTAGCCGTGTTGGTCGGCTGTAGTCGAAACAAAATTAAAAAATTCCTTCCAGTAGCACCTTAGAGACCAACTAAGTTTGTTATTGGTATGAGCTTTCGTGTATCTGAAGAAGTGTGCATGCACATGTAAGCTCATACCAATAACAAACTTAGTTGGTCTCTAAGGTGCTACTGGAAGGAATTTTTTAATTTTGTTTCTTAAAATCAAGACATCTTAGAAATACAAAGGGCTTTTGTTCTAGTAGATAAGTGAGTTCTCATGCTGTGCACAAGAGGAATCTCGTACAGCAGTTGCACTAGTGGAAATTCACTGGGCGACAGATTGTGCAACCTATTGTGCAACCAAGTTACCAGCATCCTTCTTATGCATTCTCTTGCATGACAACGTTCCTCTGGCACAAAGTGTTTTGCCAGCAGAGCAAGTGTACTTTAAAGGTAAAGGTAATGGGACCCCTGACCATTAGGTCCAGTCGTGACTGACTCTGGGGTTGCGGCGCTCATCTCGCTTTATTGGCCGAGGGAGCCGGCGTACAGCTTCCGGGTCATGTGGTCAGCATGACAAAACCACTTCTGGCGAACCAGAACAGCACACGGAAACGCCGTTTACCTTCCCGCTGGAGTGGTACCTATTTATCTACTTGCACTTGACGTGCTTTCGAACTGCTAGGTTGGCAGGAGCAGGGACCGAGCAACGGGAGCTCACCCCGTCATGGGGATTCAAACCGCTGACCTTCTGATCGGCAAGTCCTAGGCTCTGTGGTTTAACCCACAGCGCCACCCGTGTCCCTTGTACTTTAGCTCACTTTAACTTAGTGCTATACTGCACGCAACCCCAAAACCTGAGCCACCCAAAGAATTCCTTTTTGTGCAGAGAGAAAATGATGTCTCCAAATCCTGACTTCACCAAATCCATCTGTTTGCACACATTGGGGGGAACGCCCGCCCCCACGTTGGGATTTGATATGCATACCGATTGTGGCTGAGAAGATAACTATTCCTAGCACGTTCATCTCGTTATTGCTGCCAGGGAGGGTCCGGTAGGTCATTTCTGGCGCTGGCGTGATCTCAAGGAGCACCGGCCTCTGGATCTCTGAGTTCTCAGCATCCGGCACAAAGTAGATGAAACTTAGTGACTTTGTGGATTTCTTTGGGATCCCAGATGACTTCACCACGGGCAGAAGAACTGTTCGGTACTAGAAGCAAAATGTCAGATGGCAGTGAAAGATGGGTGGATCCTGGAGAAATGGTTTTTTACACAATTTGGGTTGGGCTGCTTTGTTTTAAATCTTAGAAAAGGAGGGCTCATAGCTTTCTCTGCTGGGGGTTCCTGAATATACAACTAAGAATATGGACGATTACTGCAATATCTGATCACAGCCACAAGACCGTTATATGCACAAAGATGGAAGGACTTATTATTACCTACTATGGACAACAGTTATTAAAATGATAGATTTAGCTGAGATGGCAAAGTTGACGTGTTTAATTTGAGAAAAATCACTGTTGATATTTATTAACAACTGAAAACTCCCCACACAACAAGGAAAATGAACTTGTGTTGTCAGGGTTTGAAGACTGAAAAAAGAAAGGTTGGTTTATGGAAAGTGGAGAACTGAATGCTATTATGAAGTAAGAATTTTCCGTAAGTTTTTAAAGCTGGTAGACAGAGAACCAGAAGTTTTTGTCTTTTTCTTTCCTCTTTATCTATTTTCTTCTAATCTTTATGTTAAAAAGTGCTTGATGTCAGATGTTTTATTTCTGCACACTGTCTTTTCTTTATTTTTTCAAGCTTAAAAATAAATAGAAAAGGAGGGTTCATGTAAGCCATATACTGTATTGGCCCTCATATAAGCCACCCTTTCCCCCCAAATTCCGACAGTGAAAAGTTAAAGTGTGGCTTATATTCACGACCTTACGCCACCAGCATAGCTGTGCAGCTCCCCCCCAGGAAGTAGCCCGGGTATTGTCTTTTTTCTCCCCCCCTCCCAATTTTAAAGGTGCAGTTTATTTGTGGGGGTGGCTTATATTCAGGCCAATAAGGTAGGCTATATCCACACCACATATTTAAAGTTCGTGGCTTCCCCCCAAAGTATCCTGGGAACGGTCATTTGCCCCTCATCAAACTACCATTCCCAGCACCCTTAACAACCTACAGTTCCCAGGGTGGTTTTGGGTAAGCCATGTGCTTTAAATGTACGAGGTGGTATTCAACGAAGTTTCATTCAGAGGAGATTGTTGAAATCACCCCAGTGTGGATGTGACTGAGGCTTCATAAAACTTCAGAGTCATCTAGTCCAGGGCTGTCCAACAGGTCGATCGCCATCTACCGGTCGATCGTGGGGACCAGATCGCAGTCTCTTGGAAGTTGGACGTCCCTGATCCAGTCCAACCCCCTGCAATGCAGGAATCACAGCTAAAGAATCCCTGACTGGAGGCCATCCAAGCTCTGATGGTCTCAGTCCACCTCCACCTTTCACTGGCGCTATCCATGGTGCTGAGACCATGGAGTCTTTTCAGCTCATAGTACCTGGTATGGATGGGTGAGAACACAACCCTCCTGGCTCGCTAAGGGAAATAAAGAGCTTAAGAGGGTCCCCCCCCCCCCTTTGCTGGTGCATTCTGCAAGAGGCAAATTGTGCATTAGCGGTCAGTTATGGATTGTGGACTGACCACACATCCTTTTGCTTTATTAGTTGTTCTGTGATGCATCGTTATTGCGATCTGGAGGGAAGCTCTCGTGGGACAGCTCAACAAAAGCAGAACAACCTCCCTCTCCACCAAAGGATTTGCTCCCTCGCCATCGAAGCATTCGCGGTATTGAAAGCTATAGGGCTTTAAAAGGAAACTACAGGACTTGCATCAGTTACAGAGGAAGCAGTCAGACTGCCCTGGGACTTTTGCAGGGGAAATGGCAGTGCAAGTGGGATTGTCAATACCACCATGAGCAGAAATCATCATGAAAGCGCAATAAAACAGATATCTGGAGGGGCCCTGTGTGTTTTTTGCTGGGGGGAGGAGAGAAATCCGATTAATCAGCCAAATTCACACTTTCTGAAATGATATGCAAACCGAAACAACAGCCATCCTACAAATTCACACTTCTCTGAATTTTGCAATACAGTTCTCCAGTCAATTACAAACATGAATATACTAAAGTGCATATATTAGTGGAAATAACATGCAAGAATGCCAGGGGGGATGGCTTGTCAAAAATATGCGTGTTAGGGGAACACCTTTGCATCTCACAAACACAGGGCCAGCCCACCTATGAGGCAAGGTGAGGCAAGTGCCTCAAGGTGGCAGGCTCCAGTGCCGAGGGCCTTCTGGCGGTTCCCTCGCTGCGAGAAGCCAAGTTACAGGGAACCAGGCAGAGGGCCTACTCAGTAGTGGCACCTGCCCTGTGGAACCCCCTCCCACCAGATATCAAGGAAATAAACAACTATCTGACTTTTAGAAGACATCTGAAGGCAGCCCTGCTTAGGGAAGCTTTTAATATTTGATGAATCACTGTGTTTAATACTTTGTTGGAAGCCGCCCAGAGTGGCTGGGGAAACCCAGCCAGATGGGCAGGGTATGTATGTATGTATCTATGTATGTATGTATGTATGTATGTATAAATAAATATTATCCACAGGGGCAGCAGATTCCAATATACAGTGGTGCCTCGCAAGACGAAATTAATTCGTTCCGCGAGTTTTGTCGTCTTGCGATTTTTTTCGTCTTGCGAAGCACGGTGTCGGGAAAGTTTTGGAAAAGCTTCAAAAATCACCAAAGTCTTTAAAAACCTCAAAAAAGGCTACCACACTGCGTTCTATGAGTTGCTCCTCGAAGTCAAGTCGCAACTGTATTAACAGTGTTAAGAAAAAGGAAACAAACGTGCAAGACGTTTCCATCTTGCGAAGCAAGCCCATAGGGAAAATCTTCTTGCAAAGCAGCTCAAAAAACAAAAAACCCTTTCGTCTAGCGAGTTTTTTGTCTTGCGAGGCATTCGTCTTGCGAGGTACCACTGTAGATATTTCTTTCCCCCTTGCTCCTGATGTAGATATTCCCTCACCCCTTCTCCTTCCCTGGCATTGGGAGGAACTATTTTGGAAACCGCCTCGGGTGCCAAAATGTCTTGGGCCAGCAGGTTGGGGTCAGCGTATCCTGAGGTCTCAAGAGCTTCTGAATGTGCCTATGAGTAGGATCTGAGAGCAGAGAGAGGCTGTCCCTGGGCTGGCTGGACGGCTTGATCTGCATGCAAGGGCTGGGAAGAGAACTATATCAAGGGCTCACCTGCTGGAATGAAGCCTCGATGAGGTTGGAAGGAAACATATTTCTGCAGGAGACAGAACAAAACGGTATTGAGAAGGCCACTTTAGACCTCAGCCACCTGAATGGAGGTTTACTCATTTATTTTGGGTCACACCCACACCATACATTTAAAGCACATTTGTAGCATATTAACAGTCATGGCTCCCTTCCCACCCTCAAAGACTCATGGGAACTGTAGTTTATCCACAGCCCAGGTTGGGTGGGACGCTTCACAGACTAGTGATGGTACCTGTCCCTGGCATATCAAGAGGGTGGGGGCAGAACTGCCAGTGTACCATATCAAAAAGTTTGAGCAACAATGTTCTATGAGATGCTGTGGCATCTGTGCCAGAGGCTCACAATTTCTCCACCTGCTGCTCTCGAGTCGTGGGTGGCCGAGGGAGGCAGCCCCCCCAACGATCTTTAAGAAAGAGAGTGGGATTCATATTGGAGATGTGGGATGTGAGGGTCCAAATTACAAATGCAAATTGGAAAAAAAATCCCTGCAAGTCACAGTATGGATTATTCACTAAAGTAAATAATCTCCGGAGAGTTTCTGCATTTGCATATTAAAACCACCCTTGCTGGCCTATAGAAAGAACATATATGGGCAGTTGCTCCTGAATGGGGTAATCGTGCCCCTGAAGGACCAGGTGCGCAGCCTGGGAGTCATTTTGGACTCACAGCTTTCCATGGAGGCGCAGGTCAATTCTGTGTCCAGGGCAGCTGTTTACCAGCTCCATCTGGTACGCAGGCTGAGACCCTCCCTGCTTACAGACTGTCACCCCAGAGTGGTGCATGCTCTGGTTATCTCTCGCTTGGACTACTGCCATGCGCTCTACGTGGGGCTACCTTTGAAGGTGACCCAGAAACAACAACTAATCCAGAATGTGGCAGCTAGACTGGTGACTGGGAGTGGCCGCTGAGACCATATAACACCGGTCATGAAAGACCTTCATTGGCTCCCAGTATGTTTCCAAGCACAATTCAAAGTGTTGGTGTTGACCTTTACAGCCCTAAACGGCCTCAGTCCAGTATACCTGAAGGAGCATCTCCACCCCATCATTCTGCCCAGACACTGAGGTCCAGCACCGAGGGCCTTCTGGTAGTTCCCTCACTGTGAGAAGTGAGGTTGCAGGGAACCAGGCAGAGGGCCTTCTTGGTAGTGGTGCCATCCCTTTGGAACGCCCTGTCGCCAGATGTCAAGGAAATAAACAGCTATCTGACTTTTAGAAGACATCTGAAGGCAGCCCTGTTTAGGGAAGTTTTTAATGTTTGATGTTTTATTGCTTTTTTATTAATCTTCTGTTGGGAGCCACCCAGAGTGGCTGGGGAAACTCAGCCAGATGGGAGGGGTATGTATGTATGTATGTATGTATGTATGTATAAATAAATAAATAAATAAATAAGTATTATCCTGGGAAAGATTGCACTTGTCAGAGGGTGACTCTTCAGGGCATTCGATCTATGGCCTTTATAACAACTACAGGTCTTTCTGAGATGTATACTAATAAAATAATAATAACAATAATTTATTTATTTATACTCGACCCATTTGGCTGGGTTTCCCCAGCCAATCTGGGCGGCTCCCAACAGATTAAAAACAGAATAAAACATCAAACATTAAAAACTTCCCTGAACAGGGTGCCTTAATTTGTTCCAGTGAGAGTTGTCTGTATTATAAAACCATTTGACAAATATAGTTCAAAGTGCTGGCAGACAAAGCCCTCCAGACATGGCTGGACTCCAGCTCCCATCATCCCTGGCCATTGGCCATGCTTGCTGGGCTGGTGGGAGTTGGTAGTCCAGCAACACCCACAGGGCCAAAGGTTCCCCACGACTGCTATCCAATTTAGGACTAAGAAACCTGAAATACTGTCTCACCCCTTATATACCTGACTGATCACTGCACGCTGCAGGAGAGGGCCTCCTACAGATACCATCTTCAGCAAGTCCATTCCACAAACTGTCAGGATCAGGTCTTTAGCGTGGCAGTCCCCACTTTATGAAACTCCCTCTCAATATATTTATCAGGCAGGCACCACCCTCTATCATCTTTTTGGTGCCTGTTGAAGGCTTTCTTATTTCAAAATGTCTCCTAAGCAGAGATCTGTTTTACTCCAATCAGGATTGGGTTTGAAATTGTTTCCACCAGGGGCGGATCGACTATGAAATTACTGAAGCTTAAGCTCCAAGGCCCCTAATCCTGAAGGGGCCCCAGAAGCAAACTGTGTTCACATTGCTTTACAAAAATTGGGCTGAGTAGATGCAGGTGGCACTGTGGGTGAAATCACAGAGCCTAGGGCTTGCCAATCAGAAGGTCACAGTTCGAATCCCCATGACAGGGTGAGCTCCCATTGCTCAATCCCAGCTCCTGCCAACCTAGCAGCTCGAAACATCAAAGTGCAAGTAGATAAATAGGTACCGCTCCAGCGGGAAGGTAAACGGCGTTTCCGTGCGCTGCTCTGGTTTGCCAGAAGCGGCTTAGTCATGCTGGCCACATGACCCGGAAGCTGTACGCCAGCTCCCTAGGCCAATAAAGCGAGATGAGCGCCGCAACCCCAGAGTCGTTCGCGAATGGACCTAATGTTCAGGGGTCCCTTTACCTTTAGATGCGGATTTGAGTCGCACGACTCAAATTGATTAGTTTTTAAAACCAAACTCTTGGTAAAAAGAAAAAAAGGCGGGAGATGAACGATGAGACTAAAAATAAATTACAAGATGTGTCAGGTCTGAAGATTGAAAAGAAGGTTAAGTATTTAGGTGTATGGTTAACAGCAAATAGTACAGATCTGTATAAAGATAATTATTTAAAAACCTGGGAAGATATTAAAAGAAATTTGCAAATTTGGGGCAGAATGAAACTTTCGCTGTTAGGTAGAGTGTGGGCTATAATGTGGCTTCCATGGGCCGGATGAAGATAGCTGGAAGGCCACATCTGGCCCGCCAAGGCTGAGGTCCCCCACCCCTCCTTTTAAACGATTCAAACGCACCGCGAGCTTTTGAGAAACATGCAGAGAAGCAGACAGTACCTGATGAGGTCCAGCAAAGCATCCGCGGAACTGAGCACCACTTTGCCGACGGTGTACTCCTCCTTTTGGGCAGCGGCCCCTGGGTGGATGCTGATGACTAAGATGATCCCGGTGGTAACTGCCAGGAAGGTGGTCCAGAGGTAATAGGTGATGGTGATGATCCCCATCCTTCCACAGGCTTTGGAGTCCATGGTGGCCAAGCCAGACATCAAGCTGAAGGGAGAGAAGGAGGATAGTGGCGATCTGGTTAACTGTGTACATCATTACAAAGACTTAGCTGCGATTCCTGCATTGCAGGGGGTTAGACTGGGTGACACACACACCCCGGATGCTTCCAACATTACATTTCTGCGATTCTAAGAAGCAGACAGCTAAATAAGAGCAGGGGTCAGCAAACATTTTCAGCAGGGGGCCCTCAGACCTTGTGGGGGGCCAGACTATATTTTGAGAAAAAATGAATGAATGAATTCCTTTGCCCCACAAATAACCCAGAGATGCCTTTTAAATAAAAACACACACTCTACTCATGTAAAAACACCAGGCAGGCCCCGCAAATAACCCAGAGATGCATTTTAAATAAAAGCGCACATTCTACTCATGTAAAAACACCAGGCAGGCCCCGCAAATAACCCAGAGATGCATTTTAAATAAAAGCACACATTCTACTCATGTAAAAACACCAGGCAGGCCCCGCAAATAACCCAGAGATGCATTTTCAATAAAAGCACACATTCTACTCATGTAAAAACACCAGGCAGGCCCCGCAAATAACCCAGAGATGCATTTTCAATAAAAGCACACATTCTACTCATGTAAAAACACCAGGCAGGCCCCACAAATAACCCAGAGATGCATTTTCAATAAAAGCACACATTCTACTCATGTAAAAACACCAGGCAGGCCCCGCAAATAACCCAGAGATGCATTTTAAATAAAAGCGCACATTCTACTCATGTAAAAACACCAGGCAGGCCCCGCAAATAACCCAGAGATGCATTTTAAATCAAAGGGCACATTCTACTCATGTAAAAACACGCCGATTCCTGGACTGTCTGCGGGCCGGATTTAGAAGGTGATTGGGCCAGATCCGGCCCCCCAGGCCTTAGTTTGCCTACCCATGAATAAGAGGATGCAGAAGAGGTTCCACCTGTAAACAGATGCAGGGGTGTGAAGGGAGAGGGAGTCACAGGTGGCAGGTAGGTGGATGGACGGACTGCATCGTAAGACCCTAAGAGGAGCCATGTTGGATCATCAGGGTCACTCCAGTCCAGCTTCCTGTTCCCCACAGCAGTCAACAGGCATATGTTACAGGTGTGGCTCTAATCTATACAATAAAATGCTCCTTTTCCCCCATATTGCGAACAATTGTTCAACCAGTGAGTCGGGCTTTTTCTCATCTTAGAATCATAGAATTGTGGAGTTGGAAGGGACCGCTAGGATCAACCAGCCCAACCCCCCGCAATGCAGGAATCTTTTTCCCAACGTGGGGCTTGAACCCATGACCTAGAGATTAAGAGTCTCATGCTTACCAACTGAGCTATCCCAGCTAGGCAAAGTCCTCAAATATGAGCATTGCTGTAGTAAGCATAAGGTAAAGGTAACGGGACCCCTGACCATTAGGTCCAGTCATGGCCAACTCTGGGGTTGCGGCACTCATCTCGCTTTATTGGCCGAGGGAGCTGGTGTACAGCTTCTGGGTCATGTGGCTAGCATGACTAAGCTGCCTCTGGTGAACCAGAGCAGCGCATGGAAACACCGTTTACCTTCCCGCCGGAGCGGTACCTATTTATCTACTTGCACTTGGATGTGCTTTCGAACTGCTAGGTTGGCAGGAGCAGGGGCCGAGCAATGGGAGCTCACTCCGTCGTGGGGATTCGAACCACCGACCATCTGATTGGCAAGCCCTAGGCTCCGTGGTTTAACCCACAGTGCCACCCGTGTCCCATACACAGTATGAATTTGGACTCCCCTGTAATGTTTCCTGAGTGTTTAAATCATTTGACTGAGATAGCATTTGGTAAACGGTGGAGGTTTCAACAAGATTCCAGATCTGCTTTCCGATAGCAGGACCTTGCCCTGCCATCCCATCAGCAGAGCAACATCTCAGATCTCCGCAGCAGCAGATTCCCTTCGGAGCTCATCTCTCTTTGGAGACTGGCCAGCTCCTAAAATGCATGCATTTACACTGTTTTAAGTAGCTCATTTTCAATTAGCACCTATAATTTTGGGTGCTGGCTTTGGAAGCTGTTGTTTTTAAAATTATAACTTCACCAAACGGCTGCAAGGGCTCTAAATGCTGAGCTGGCGGGAGTGAAACACAAACACGGATTTGCAGATATCTGGCATGGGTGCTAGCTAATACAGCCCTTTCTGTGCCACTCAGGCTTGCAAGGTGCCCCTTTTAAAACCCAGCGCTTCCTGCCGCGATCTTCAGAACGATCCGAAAGCTCGCTCTCGAGTTGCTAAAATGGTGTGGCGGCAGCCAGACTGGACGGGCAGCTTTGGGAGCTAAGACAGGCGACATGTGAGATCCCTGCCATGTCAGGTAATCTGCAGCAATTTAGCCTAAGCTCCCAGCTGCACGTTTCTGGGCCATGTGATGGATCCCATTAAGGGGAAATGGACAGGGCGGCTGATTAAAGGAAGCAGGAAGAGATGCAGAGGTGGGGGTTGGAAAACAAGAAACGCAACCCTCCACATGAATGGATACCTGGCACATTTGACTCACCTGCATCTAGCAATGGAGGGAGAAACTGGATTCAGTCTGCATTTAAAGGCAAACCTACCAAATCTGCAATTTCCCCAAACAATGCACAAACCAAAACACACAGCCATCCTGGAAAATTTGCACTTCAAATTTGGCAGTGCAGCTCTTCCCACCAAGCTGTGTGTACCAAAAAAACAACATATAACTAGGGTAAAGTTAATGCATTAAACTCCACCCCCATCGTCCAGCCCGGGCACTGAGGTCCAGCTCCAAGGGCCTTCTGGAGGTTCCCTCCCTGCGAGAAGTGAGGTTACAGGGAACCAGGCAGAGGGCCTTCTCGGTGGTGGCGCCTGCCCTGTGGAACGCTCTCCCATCAGATGTCAAGGGAATAAACAACTATCTGACTTTTAGAAGACATCTGAAGGCAGCCCTGTTTAGGGAAGTTTTTAATGTCTGATGTCTTATCATGTTTTTAATATTCTATTTTGAGCTGCCCAGAGTGACAGGGGAAACCCAGCCAGATGGGTGGGGCACAAATAAATTATTATTATTATTATTATTATTATTAATAATAATAATATTTAAACTGCTCTGAGATCTAAGGATGAAGGGTGGTATGCAAATTTAATAAATGATAATAATAAAGTTTGCATCAGAAGACATAAGTTAGCAAAAATAACATACTGGGTAAATTGCTTTGCAGAAATGTTTATATTAGAACAGGAACGTCCAACTTCCAAGAGACTGCGATCTACTCACACTATTAAAAAAAACTGGCAGTGATCTACCCATTGGATTGACTAGAGTTGTTTAGCTTTTTTTAAGAAAGCTTCATCAAAGTTTTGTTAGGCTGAAGTTCTTGAGGGTTTTTGTTTTGTTTTGGGGGGAGGGCATCAAGATCCTGCGATCAACCAGGATAGACCAGGGACATCCCAGCTGTATTAGAAGAAATTAGCACTAAAATGCTTAACATTAGGATGAACTTTCTGGTGGTAGAAGCTGCTTTATATATATTGATTTATATATATATATATATATATATATATATATATATATATATATTCAAATTCAGAGGCAATATGACCCTAAATACAATTTGCTGTGGAGCAACCATGGATGAGGGGAGAGGATGCAGGGACATGCTTGCGTTCTGCTTTGAGCTTTCTGGAGGAATCTTGGTTGACCACTGTGGGGGACAGGATGCTGAGCTGCAGGGACCCCGAGGTCCTGATCCAGCAGTCCATCTACCTACAACCTGTGACTCTCTCTTCCTCCCTTCACACCCCCTGCCTCCATCTACAGGTGCAGGGTGCAGAACAGACAATTCTTCCACATCTATTAATCTGTCTATTTGTCACATCTGCTTTTCAAGCATGTGTCCAGAACAGCTTGAAACAAAAGAGAGAAAGAAATAGAAGTGTGAGGATGGAGACTTTGAAGGACTTGGCTGTGACGTTGCTTCACTGAAACCCAATCTAAGCATTCCAGGGGCTGGTGAAAATGACAAGAGACCAGAAGCACAACCAAGCCAGGTGCTATATAAATGTGGGAGAGTCAACTAAGAAGAAGGCAGTGGAGAGACAAAGCTAGGAACGTGTGTTGCAAATGGATGAATCCATTCTGCTTTTCTCAGTTTCTCATTTTATTAGCCTTGCATTCGGTTTTCCACACTGAACTGAAATTTTTGCATTTAACAAAAATATTCAAGAAAATTCGTCAGCATCTTAGTGCAGGTTATTCCCAATAAATGCGGTTTTGCATGCAGTTTCAACCAATATAAGGCATTTTTGCACGTTACTTTCACTGGAAAGTGCCTTCCTATGTACACCATCCTCTGATGTGTATTGCTGCACAAACTGGCTCTAGAACCGGCACTGTGAAACTTGGAGAAGCGCAAAGGTCAAAGGTGTTTCTGTGTTTGCATATTGGTTTGAATTAGGTGGGAATTAGGTAGTTTCTCATTAAAATGCAAAACAAAACAAAACAAAGTTCATTCACTGTTCCTAGTTGCAAGGACTGATGAATGACCAAGGGAGAGTGGGATGTCGTGGAGCCAGATTTACTGAAGCAGAGAGTGGGGATAGCAAAAGCTCTGACCTTTGTAATGAGTCAACGCTCCCTAAGCCAGGGTCAAGCCTGGGAGATATTTAGCTCCCAAGGGGATTGCAGAGGCACTTAATGGGCTCTGAGAGGTTTTCTCAGAAAGGGAGCTATTCACACTACCATAATATATAAGATCAATATAACAGAATAGAACTACCCAAGAAATGTTATCAGCCAGTTAAGAAAGCGTCTGGCGAAAAAGGAGAGGTTTTGACCCTTCTAGAATGCAAACAGGGAGAATTCCCCCATTCCAGGGGGCCTCAGGTGCAGGGCCAGCCCACCCATGAGGCAAACAGTGGGAGTCCATGGGGTGGCACTCCCATGGACCCCACCCCACAGGCAGCAGAGGAGTGGCACTGGCACTGGCACCAGTATCTAGCAAGATGCTGCCAAAAGCCAGTGCTGTTGTCAACGCTTTGCGGGCGCCACCTTTCAACGCACGTACAGGCGGCTTCAGTGGTGGGGAGTCATGTGCCAATTTCGCCTTAAGTGGCAAAGCAGGACACGCCACCCCTGTCCAGCTGCCATAGCTGCAAAGGCCCTAAGCCTAGCGGCCGATGTTAGTATTGCGCATATGGAAAGCAGAGAAGGGCATGATCCGACACCAGGATTGTTAAAAAGGCAGCGGTTTCTGTTCTGACCTCTCGTTTGTCGGAATCAGCAAGGCTTCCATTCTGCTGCAGTTCAGTTTCTATCAAATTCTATGTTGTTCGTCTCACTGGATGGCCAACTACCAGGGATTTTTTAGCTGTGGTTCCTGCATTGTGTCGTGGACTGGCTGGATGCAAGGAGTGGTGGGAGGCACCAGCTGGGGAACCGCCAGGGGAAGATGGCTCAGAGCCCGCGGAGTGGTGGTGGGACAACGGTGAGCGGTCAGAGGGAGAAGACTGGGAGGAGGAGGTATCGGAAGCCAAAGAGGTGGCAGCGTTTAGTGAGCAGGAAAAGGCTATGGCAGAGAGCAGTCCAGGCTCAGAGGCAGGAGAGGACGGGACCAGGAGACAGAGATGAGGCAGGATGCTGAAGAAGCCAGGGGGGTCCCCCCCTCCTGCTGCAACCAGCTCCTCTCCCCCTGGCGTCCCAGAACCCAAAGAAGTACAGTATGAAGAGGGTGGAGCAAAGAGAGATGTCAGAGCCTTAGGCTGCTGGGGAAGGAACAGGGGAGGAGCCTTAGAGTAGGCATAGCATACTCAGCCCTCCAGGTGTTTTGGGACTACATCTCCCATCATCCCTAGCTAACAGGACCAGTGGTGAGGGACGATGGGAGTTGTAGTCCCAAAACATCTGGAGGGCCGAGTTTGCCTATGCCTGTCTTAGAGTGTGGTTGGAAGGTGGGGGCATTCAGTCCTCACAACTGCCTCATTGGGGCAAGACCAACTGGGAAGAGTTGCTGTGATCACTAGGTCTGCGCTGCTTTGGTTTCTTTGAGTAAACACCAGCTGTTTTATTGCTGACCTACTCCTTTCTCCAGGGATGCGGGTGGCGCTGTGGGTTAAACCATAGCCTAGGGCTTGCTGATCAGAAGGCCAGCGGTTCGAATCCCCATGACAGGGTGAGCTCCCGTTGCTCAGTCCCTGCTCCTGCCAACCTAGCAGTTCGAAAGCACGTCAAAGTGCAAGTAGATAAATAGGTACCGCTCCGACGGGAAGGTAAACAGCGTTTCTGTACGCTGCTCTGATTTTGGTGGTCCGCTGCGCTAGAAGTGGCTGTCATGCTGGCCACATGACCCGGAAGCTGTACGCCGGCTCCCTTGACCAATAAAGCGGGATGAGCGCCGCAACCCCAGAGTCGTCTGCGACTGGACCTAATGGTCAGGGGTCATAGAATCATAGAATCCTAGAGTTGGAAGAGACCACAAGGGCCATCGCGTCCAACCCCCTGCCAAGCAGGAAACACCATCAGAGCACTCCTGACATATGGTTGTCAAGCCTCTGCTTAAAGACCTCAAAAGAAGGAGACTCCACCACACTCCTTGGCAGCAAATTCCACTGTCGAACAGCTCTTACTGTCAGGAAGTTCTCCCTTTACCCCTTTACCTTTTACTCCTTTCTCCAGCTCCTGACACATTGCAGGGGGTTGGACGAAGTGACACTTGGGGTCCTTTCCAGCTCCACAAGTCCATGATTCTGCTGTCCATTGTTTAATGTAAGTTACATAACTTGTATAACATACTTAAATTCATTTCAACATAAAAGAAACATAAAACCCCCCATGATTAATTAAGTTTTGTTTATGGACTTATAAAATAACACGGCAGCAATGTGAGCAAACACCAATCATATTCGCTTGGTGGACTGCTGGCCACAAACACACATTGTTATATGGGGGGAGGGGTCTCTAATGTATATGGCTCTCAGGCAGGTTCAAGCCAGCACACAGAACTGGGCCTGAAATCCCTGGTGATGCACTTGAGGGTGCTATAACACCATCCTGCCAGTAGTAGAAAAATGAAAGGAAGTGTGATGCAGCAGCAAAGAAAACAAATGCTATCCTAGTCTGCATCAACAGAAGTTTGGTGTCCAGATCAAGGGAAGCAACAGGACCGCTCTATTCTGCCCTGGCAGTGTTCGAAACTCCCATTGTTGTTCTAGGTGCATTTTGCGACAGGGAATTTGAATAGTGCGAGCAGTTTCTGAGTTCTGGGTGCAGTACTACGCCTAAGATTTCAGATTAAAACTGCAGAGTGGAAGGAAAGGAGGACCTTTTTCTGCCTCCCCACTTTCAGCTACTCTCTCAAAACAGGAGAAGAGACCGTCTTAAGAATATTGGGGGGGGGGCAGGGGAAGGACTAGACCATGTGAAAAATGAACATAATATTTTAGCTGCAGTGCATTCATTTTCAGCTTTGTATTCTTGTTGTTAAAAAGAAAAAAAAGCATGCCTAGACATTCTGTTGTTGCGCCCATAACCTAGGTTAAAGGTGCCATTTAGCTCCTCGCTTTCATATCTCAGTTTCTAACACTGTGCCTTGGTCAGACCACACCTGGAGTACTTGTGCCCAGTTCTGGGCATGCAGTATAAGGATATTGGCAAGCTGGAAGGTGTGCAGAGGCGGGTGATTACCTTCCAAGGTCACCCATTCCACTGTTGAATAGCTCTTCCCGTCAAAAAGTTATTCCTAAATATTTAGTCAGACTCTCCTTTTGCTGTCATTTGACTCCATTGGTTCAGGTCCCACCCTCTGGAACAGGAGAATACAAGCTTGGGCAAAATCCTGAGGCATTTAAAAAAGGGGTCCACTGCACCCCTCGAGTTGCCCTTCCTGTTTGATGAGTGCTCTTTTTCAGTATGTGTCTTTGTCAATGCCCTCAAACTGATGCTCTGCTCTCTGCCAATCGATCCCCACAACCTTTAGACTCCTTTATTATTCAGCTGGAGACGGTGGGTTTTAATTCCTTGTGGGGAAGAGGATGCAGGGAAGTGGTGTCCAAACTGGGCTGCATCCTGGCCAGCTCCTCAACCCTTTGCCCAGGGAATGCCTTCCCTATCGTCTGCCTTGCCTTTGCTACCAACCTCCGAGTTGTGTGACTGGCTTGAGGCCTGCATCTCAGCCTCTCAAGACAGCCTCTGCCAGCCCCAGTTCTTTCCTCTGCCTGAAGTCTGCTTTTCCTTGACCCTGCTGCCATCGTTTTCTGCTTCACCTAAGGTGGCAAAATGTCTTGGGCTGGCCCCAATTCCTGATTTGCATGCATTTGGGTGAGTTGACCCTTGGGACCCCTCGCGACTCTACGATTCCATGCGTAAATAAATGCAGAGGCCCATGAGATTCGAATGTTTTCTTCCCTGGGGTTGAGGGAGGTTTGAGTGGCTCAAAAACAAAGCTTACTATTTCTTTTGTTGGAAGAACTAATTGCACCTCTCCTGGCACATTGCCCATGGCAACTCTGGAGGGAGGTCTGAACTGCACCCCCAGGAAAGCAAACTCTTCTCTTCCAGGCGCAAAGGAGCCGTTCTAAACAATATTGCGACTCCCTCTCCACCTGCCGCTTCCTGGCCTTCTTGCTCTCACCTGGAGGTGATCAGTGGTAATATCAGCATCTTCAACATCCTCATCAGGAGTTCTCCAGGGAATGAGAAATACTGCTTCTCCTGTAGGGGAGGGGGAAAGGCAAAAGCGTTAGGCCACAGAGGAGAACTTGGGAGGAGCAGAGAAACACAGAACTTGCAGCAAAAAGAGAAAGTCATCGCACACACAGCTGGAACCTAGGTTGAAAACAATCTCACATTCACGCCATACATTTAAAGTGTGTGGCTTCTCCCAAAGAACTCTGGGAACTGTAGTTAGTTAAGGGGGCTGGGAACTGAAGCTTTGCGAAGGGTAAAATACAGTTCCCAGGATTCTTTGAGGGAAGCTATGTGCTGGTGTGGATGCGACCAAGTAGCAGCCATCATTCAATAGCAAGGAATTAATGGTGTTCTTTTTAAGCACATTTTCCCTCCTATAAATTTACATGTGGGTATGATGATGGTGATGATGATGTCCTTTTTTTTGCCACAGGAACTCAAAGCGACTTAAAATATTTTAAGCATTAAAGACAGCAAAACAAACCAAAAAACCGCACACCTAAAAATCTACATTAAAACATCCCACTCTCACAAAAAGGCCAAAGTTAATTAAAAGCTAAAGGCCTGATGGATGTTTTCAACTGGCAGCTAAGGATATGTAACGATGGTACCAGGCTAGCCTCCCCAAGAGAGCTAATAATAATAATAATAATAATAATAATAATAATAAGTATTTATACCTCGCCCACCCGGCCACCACTGAAAAGGCCCATTCTCGTGTTGCCACCCTCCACACCTCCCGTTGGTGACAAGATTGTGCAGACCTAGCCCTCACATCCAGAATCACGAATGGAGACGTTTCCATTGGGCAAAGGTGGCCAGCTTTCCAAGGGCTGCTTTGTGGTGGTGGGTGCAGTTACCCCACCCTCTCACATAGAGAAGGACAGTAGCTTGGTAGTAGAGCATCTGCTTTGTATGCTGGATACCAGAGTGGTCCATGCTCAAGTTATCTCCCGCTTGGACTACTGCAATGCGCTCTACGTGGGGCTACCTTTGAAGGTGACCCGGAAACTACAATTAATCCAGAATGCGGCAGCTAGACTAGTGACTGGGAGCGGCCGCTGAGACCATATAACACCGGTCCTGAAAGACCTACATTGGCTCACAGTACAAATCGGAGCGCAATTCTGAGTGTTGGTGCTGACTTTTAAAGCGCTAAACAGCCTCGGCTCAGTATACCTGAAGGAGAATCGCCACCCCCATCATTCAGCCTGGACGCTGAGGTCCAGCGCTGAGGGCCTTCTGGCAGTTCCCTCCCTGCGAGAAGTGAGGTTACAGGGAACCGGGCAGAGGGCCTTCTCGGTCGTGGTGCCCTCCCTGTGGAACACCCTCCTATCAGATGTCAAGGAAATAAACTATCTGACTTTTAGAAGACACCTGAAGGCAGCCCTGTTTAGGGAAGTTTTTAATGTTTGATTTTTTATTGTGTTTTTAATATTCTGTTGGGAGCATCCCAGAGTGGCTGGGGAAACCCAGCCAGATGGGTGGGATATAAATAATAAATTCTTATTCTTATTTTTGATATCCCTGGTTCAGATCCCAGCATCTCCTGGTAGGGATGTGAATGCCCTTTACCTGAAACCCTGGAGAGAAACCCTGCAAAGTCAGAATAGACAACCATGTGCCAGATGGACTTATGGTCTGATCCAGTATAAGGCAGCTTCCTGTGTTCCTATGTTATTGCCAGGATTCTTTGGGGGAAGGCGTGTGCTTTAAATGCGTGGTGTGCATGTGGCCAGGGGAAGCAACTATTGGGAAGGCCCCATTCTGAGTGCCAAAAAGGAGAGGAAACAAGAGTTGATCTTTTGCTACCAAGCTTGAAAATGGAGAGGAGTATTTCACGGCCCAAATGTATGCTCACTTTCTGAGGAGGGTGTCCCACAGAGCTCAACAGAACAGTAGGAAGCCTACGTAAAGATTGCAGGCTTATTCTTCGAACGGCTCCCTAGGAGAGTTTATAGAATTAGGAAGAAGGGGTTGACTCGAGCTCTACTCTGCTCAGAGTAGACCTATGAAAACTACTGGACCTGTTTAGTCTTGTTCATCTTTTTCAGTGGGTCCACTGGCTGCAACCCTGGGCAGGTAGGCTTAAGAACGGGCTGAGGAACGTTTGGCCCTCCAGACATTGTTGGACTCTCCTCAGCACCAACAGCCAGCATGGCCTATGGTCAGGGACGGGGTTCTAGTCCAACACCTGGAGGATCACTGGTTTACCACCCCTGGCTTAAGAGGTGAAGGTATCAGTGCCAGACATACATTTTTGGACCCTGAAGCTTGAACTGTTGGGGCGGGGCATTGCAACCAGCAACGAGGTCTGGGTAACCACTGTTATCTTCCCCAATGGGGTTGTTCCATGACAGATCACCATATTTTTTATTTAAGCTAAGATTTGGCTTAAAATTGCTGTACTGTGACACTCCACCTTTACAACATTTGTGCTGCTGACGCTCAACACTTTGGGATTGTTGAAACATAAACAAAAAAATAATCAATTTTGAGTCGTGTGACTCAAATTGGGTCTACTAGACCCAAATTTTTAAATCAATGTAGACTGTTACTTCTGGGGCCCCTCTGAGATTAGGGGCCCTGAAGGTTAAACTTCATTAGTTTCATAGCAGATCTGTCCCTGGCACCAATACTTTTCCAATGTCAATTTATTCAATTCAGCACTGCGTTCAGTGGGAATCGTAGCCACAACAACGGGGAAGGAGAGAAGAGTCTTGCTGCAGTTAAGTAACCAGCTTAGCTCGGCACTTTGAGCTATGACACCAAGCACCCGTAACTGAAATGGCTTCTCTAAACCCTGTCAGAGATGGCACAAGGACATGTCGAAAGAGAAGCTGGCCAAGGCGGGTGGGGAAGGAGTAGCAGCTTATTCTCTGGTGATTCCTTCTGAGTTTTCAGGTAGCCACAACCTCTGAAATAAGGAACCCCCGTCCTTGGGGATGAAGGATGAGTTTGATTTGAATCACATTTAAAGGCGAACATAGCTAATTCAAGCTTTCTGAAACAATATGCGATCTGAAAGACAGCTGTCCTGCGAAATTCACACTTCTGAGTTTTCCAGCCAAGTAAGGTACCAACATTTTGGTACAGATTTCTCTTAATAAGCACATTTTGGGAAGCAATTCACTCTAATATAATGCCTTTTTGTATGTTACCCTCATCAAAACATGTATTTTTGTATACATTACTTGACTGGAACACTGCACTGCAAAAGTCAGAGAGGTGTGAGTTTCGAAGGACAGCTGTGTTTCTGTATTAGTTCAAGAAGTGGATAACAGTTTCTCATTAAACTGCAAATAGAATAGAATTGCTCCTCCACCTTTAATCCATGGATCAACATGGCAGCAAAAAGCTTCACCTGCAGAAACTCTGCCTCTCTAGATACCAATCCTTCTGCCAGAAAAGAAGTGAAGAATCCCAAACTCAATCGCCTCACTAAACAAAGCAACAACCAAAACACACACTCTCCATTCTTCCAGGGCCACTCAGATTTGAAACTGGCTGCTTGTGGGGTAACAAAATCCCACTGCTCAGTTCCTTTCTCCAGAAAGAAGCTTCCTGCAGTATCTGCGTGGGATGTTAAGCGCGCCTGAGCATATGCACTATACTGGAGTAAACACAGCTGACCCCCACCAAGTTGGGGTCATGCCGGAGTATGCTATTTCCAAGCTAGCTATGGCCTCTGTCGCAGAAATCCAGTCTCTGCCTATTGCATGTCTTGTTTCAGAAAGGCCTCCCCTGTTGCTGTTCCATAAAAACCAGTCACTTACCAAATCAGACAATTCCAGTGTCCTCAGCAGAAACCCCACAAGGCATCCAGTCATCACAGAAAGCATGGAAAGCGTCAAGAGGCCATTTTTGCTCCAGAAGGCCCGGATCCACTTCCGGAGCCCCACAAGGCTGATGGAGAACGGGCAAAAGAGTGCTTTCTTCAACTGCTCCCACATGGTGCCTTAGCTTTCAGAGCTTCACCAGGATCCGTCATGAACCAGAGAGCGCCGCGTCAAGGGCAGGATCCTGGAGCCCATGGGGCATCATTGAGGCACCTTTTGTCCTGGAGGAATCATATCTCCCTGCTGATTAGAACCTGTCCGGAGAGGTAGAAGGAATGCAAGGAAAAGACTCTCTCTTTCGCTCCCTGATAATCTCCACGGAGGATCACACCAGAGCACGGTTGTTATCTGATCCCCTTTTAGCTTAATAGAAAGTGACATGTCCTGTGACGTATTAATCCAAGTCTAGATTTGGAATAAGCAAGAATAGAGCTACGTCTGCTTGCAGAAGAAACAAAGGAGGGCCCTTCCCAGCATCTGTTCCACTGCACATTCACAATGATTTGTGCTCAAGGTAGTCACACGACACACAGCCAACCCCACTTTCAGTACTGTTTGTGCGCTTGCAGAAGTTTTGAGGTGGCCACATTGCTTTATTCCTAATGTGCATACATTCCCGTGAAATCCTCTAACTGCACAAATGTTCTTTTTGTCCCGTTTTTGTTGCCCTCTGGACAGGACAGCATTGGAGAAGCATCACAGAACTAATAAAGCAGAATAAATCCACCACTGTTACTGTGTCAAGAGCATGTTGGTAGGATACACACACAATAACACACCAGTGTGGAGGAGCCCAGGGTCATATTGTACTACTTCAAAGGCTCAGATTTACCAAGCAAGCTCTCAGTGTAGACCTCCCTTATGCACTCAGAAGCAGATCTTGTGCACAATTTCTGGTCTTGCCCACATATTCAAAAAACTGGAAAGGAAACCTTGACTGTAGTTCCAACAAATCACAGGATACCAGTTGTCAGCAAGTCCCCACAACCCACATATGTACTTCATTAAAGTTAAATACTAAAATACTAACTTAAAGCATTATGCCATGTCTTATCACTGTTCTGTTTAGCTGCCATGCTTACGTTGACTCACCACAGTCCTCCTATGTTTTAAGCCCTTTATTTATTTGGGTTCTATAAGTTCCTATTTAATTCAGCCCGTTATTCAGGATCCATTAATTTTTATGGAAAGTTCCAGAGTTCAATGGGAGACTTTTGCAAGCCCAAGGTCCTTGATTCAATTCCCGGCATCTCCAGATAGGAACAGTCTTTAAAGTTACTGCCAGTTGGCATAGTTGATATTGAGCTAGATGGACCAGCGATTTGACTTGATACTGGTTACCCTTCTCCCTTCTATCAGCTTCTGCAGCGGTATATTTTTTAAATACCAGTGTAAATCAAATAAGGTCTGGGTAATATGCAGTGGGGTAAGCCGTAACTGTCAGAAAGCCATGCAAAAGGTTCCAGTTTTGAGTCCTGCTACCTTCTAAGATGCCACCGGAAACTCTGGAGAGGCATTGCCATAATGTGAGCTGGACCAGTGAAGCGCCCGACTTGGAATTTGGCAGCTTCCTATGTACTTCTAAATATTAAACATGATCAAGTAAAAGGAGATAATCTCTACCTCAATTTGTTCTAAACCGGTATACACACACACACACACATATATATGCGCACCATGGAATGTTGGGTAAATGGTGGTGATTACAAGAAGTAAGGATTTATGTACCGTTTATTAGCAGCGCCCTAGCTTACAAGGGATGCGGGTGGCGCTGTGGGTTAAACCAAAGAGCCTAGGCCTTGCCGATCAGAAGGTCGGCGGTTCGAATCCCTGCAACGGGGTGAGCGCCCATTGCTCAGTCCCTGCTCCTGCCCACCTAGCAGTTCGAAAGCACGTCAAAGTGCAAGTAGATAAATAGGTACCGCTCCGGCAGGAAGGTAAACGGTGTTTCCGTGCGCTGCTCTGGTTTGCCAGAAGCGGCTTAGTCATGATGGCCCCATGACCCGGAACCTGTCTGCGGACAAACGCCGGCTTCCTCGGCCAATAAAGTGAGATGAGCGCCGCAACCCCAGAGTCGGCCACGACTGGACCTAATGGTCAGGGGTCCCTTTACCTTACATGGTTTTTTGTAAAGATTACAACAAAATGTTCAGAAAGCCATTTGAATGCTCAAAGTTCTATACTTGTTATTTTTTAAAAATGTAGGGGAGCATCATATATCAAATAATATTTAGTTGGTTATCTGTCTTTATACAACACACTTCTTTCCTGGATATTCTGGAAAGGAACTGTTGTCCTCAATAATGTGTATGGTTGGCTATTTTCTTGCTTCTCATTACATAAATACGGGGCAACCAAAACTCTGTATTTCAAAATAAATATTTTTCCCCTCCCCACCCTTCTTTGGTTACCTATGGGACCACCTATCCTGGTATGCCCCATGGAGGACCTTAAGGTCCATAAATAGCAACACCCTAGAGGTCCTGGGCCCTAAGGAAGTCAGATTAGCCTCAACCAGAGCCAGGGCCTTTTCAACACTGGCTCCGTGAGACCAGGGCCCTACGGGATCTGACTTCTTTCCGCAGGGCCTGTAAGACAGTTTTGTTCCGCCTGGCCTTTGGCTTAGAATCAGTTTGATTCCCTCCCCCTTTCTTTTTCCTTTCTCCTCCTGTGAAGAGGCTGCATCCTAATGTTTTAATGTTGCATTTTAATCTTGTTTTTTAAATTGTATTTTAATCAACTTGTTTTATTATTGGTTGTTAGCCACCCTGAGCCCGGTCTTGGCTGGGGAGGGCGGGGTATAAATAAATTTTATTATTTATTATTATTATTATTATTATTATTATCATTCCAATGGGTTAACTCAGCAAGGAGCCAGTTCCCCGACAACTGGAATCCGGTCTAGAGGTTTGCCACGTGGTAACTTAGCCGCCTCTGAACACGTGATACCAAGTCATCGTCCTCCAGAAGCACGTGGCGCGCCAGAGGGGGCGTGGCGCCCGAGCGCAAAGAGCGGGAAATGGGCGCTTCGATTGACAGGCCGGCCGCGGCGCATGCGCACTGGCGCCACTCCACAGCCCGGCTAAGATGGCGCTGGCTGAGGGAAACGCCGTGGCGGCTTCGGCGCCGGCAGACGAGGAGTCCGAGCCGCCGCCTCCGCCGGCAGCACCGGGGGCGGCGGTAGCCGCTGCTGCCGCCACCTCCTCCACCGCGGCCCGGCCGGCCCGACTGCCCCTGGCGCGTGTCAAGGCGCTGGTCAAAGCCGACCCGGACGTCAGCCTGGCCAGCCAGGAGGCCATCTTCATTTTGGCGCGCGCGGCGGTGAGCGACTGACTGAGGGAGGCGGTGGGCGGGGTCTCGTGTTTGCCTCGGCCAATCAGGAGGCCGACTGCGTTGGCGCGCGAGCGCGCGGCGGCGGTTGACTTAGGTCAAGGCGGTGGGCGGGGCGCCGCTTTTAAGCCTCCGCCAATCAGGAGGCCGGCTTTCTTGTTTGGCGTGCGCTCCGGCGGTTGACGTGAGTTCCCCTCGAGCTAAGGAGGTGGGCGGTCCTGCACGGTTACGCCCTTGCCCAATCAGAAGGCTGTTTTTCGGCTACGCGGGGACGGGTGGTTACGTAGGCCACCCCTGGCCAATCAGAAGCTTACTTTTGCCCTGGGTCGGGTGAAAGGCGGGAGAGAGTGGCAAGGAGGGCGGGTGGTGGGCGGGGCTGCGCCACTTTTGGCTACGGCGATTGGCTGCAAGTTCTAACCACGTGGCGAAGAGGGTGGGATTCTGCAAACATATTTCTGATGCTTGTTGTGTTATTTACCTGGCCAGGTAATTCATTATTACATGGTCCATATGAATTACAATTGTGGGTGTTCCGATTATAATTATTGCTATTCTTGAATGTTTATCATAATTGAGAATATTGGCGTGTCTAATACAGTAATCGTAATTATTTTTCTAATACTCATAATTAATATTTTAAGTTTTAGCTCCCCAAATTGTTTATAAATCATCTTATGTTTGTATATTTCCTTGGGATACATGTAAAAGGCAAAGCCTAACTTGGGAGACAGGCAGGATTCCTATTGTAAATAAATTCATATATTAATTTAATTTAATCATTTTTATTGTGCTAGCCAGAGGCCATGGCAACAGCCAAAGAAGGAAAAAAACAAACAAACCAGCAGTTGCTGGATGGGCTAGCGGTCAATTGCAAAGGGGACTCTGAGATCTAATTTGCACACTTTATTTGAGAATTACTTTTTATTCTGCGTAATAAGAAATTTTGGTGGATTTGACCATGGCTTTATATTAATAATATAACGAATACTCTGCAGTAAATTACTGGTGGTACCACTTAATTATTGATGATTCTACAGTTTTGAGAGAACACTGGTTGTAATATTAATAAAACAGGATGTTTTAGTATTACAGCAAATACCAGTGTTGCTGAGTGAGATTTTTATTGGTTAAGTAAAGCTATTGCCACCGCTGTGGCTTTTGGGTCTTCTAATAAACCAACATAGCTTTCCATATTAATGCACAGTATCATAATTCTGTTATACAAATCTATAGCGTAAATGTGCTTGGAATACCAGGTACTTCTTTGGACACAGGTGGCGCTGTGGTCTAAACCACTAAGCCTCTTGGGCTTGCCGATCAGAAGGTCAGTGGTTCGAATCCCTGCAACGGGGTGAGCTCCCGTTGCTCTGTCCTGGCTCCTGCCAACTTAGCAGTTCGAAAGCATGCCAGGGCGAGCAGATAAATACTGTATTTTTTGCTCTATAAGTCTCACTTTTTCCCTCCTAAAAAGTAAGGGGAAATGTGTGTGCATCTTATGGAGCGAATGCAGGCTGCACAGCTATCCCAGAAGCCAGAACAGCAAGAGGGATCGCTGCTTTCGCTGCGCAGCGATCCCTCTTGTTGTTCTGGCTTCTGAGATTCAGAATATTTTTTTTCTTGTTTTCCTCCTCCAAAAACTGGGTGCGTTTTATGGTCTGGTGCGTCTTATAGAGCGAAAAATACGGTAGGTAATTTTTTTGTAGGAAGCTAAACAGCGTTTGCATGCACTCTGGCTTCCGTCACGGTGTCCCGTTGCACCAGAAGCGGTTCAGTCCTGCTGGCCACATGACCCAGAAAGCTGTCTGCGAACAAACGCTGGCTCCCTCGGCCTGAAAGCGAGATGAGCGCCGCAATCCCATAGTCACCTTTGACTGAACTTAACTGTCCAACTCAATAAGGATATTGTGAACTTGGAAAAGGCTCAGAAAAGGCAACCAAAATGATTGTTGGGGTGAGACAACTCCCTGATGAGGAATGGTATAACATTTGGGGGCATTTTAGAGAAAAAGCAGGGCAGCAGACATATAAGAAAGGTGTATAAAATTGTGTAGAGGAAGTGAACAGAGAGAAAAGTTTCTCTTCCTCTCTCCATAATATCAAAAGTCCTGGGCATCCAAGCTGAGTTTTTGATGATTCAGGACAGACAAAAGTAGATACTTATTTACAGTCCATAAAAACTGTTTTCCCAACTTTGCTTTCATCCCCGCAGGAGTTGTTTGTGGAAACCATTGCAAAAGATGCCTACATCTACGCACAGCAAGGAAAACGGAAAACTCTCCAGAGGAAAGACCTGGGTAAGGAAGTAAAATAACAATAATTTTATCATTTATACCCCGCCCATCTTGTCTTCCTAATTCTTAAGAACCAAAATGATGCTGTGTGTATGCGTTGACAAGGTTGTAAACCAGAGGAATGCTTCATGGGTTATTAAAGAACTAAACAAAATGGGGTTGCCATATTTTGAAAAGTGAGCTTTTTCTGTTTTGGAAAAGTTGTTGGGCTTTTTTTCTTTTTTTGCAACATCTCCAAAAAATTGAAGTTTTTAAGCTATGTTTTAGGAAATTCGCCAAAAACAATCAACACTTCCGATATGGGCTGCCATATACCTGGACTTTCCTGGACATTTTAACTGATTTTCAAAAATTTCGCCCAGAAACTATCTTCGACGGGCGAATCCTGGATATGCCCAGGAAATTCCAGACGTATGGCAGCCCTTAAACAAAATTAAAATAGCCGTACATAAAAGAAGCATTAGTGGAAAATAAGGCATATCTGGGCTGTATTGAGTGCTTGTCTTGCTCAGACTACACCCATTGGAAGTTAGTGTAACATGAGTAAGTTAGGTTCATTAATTTAAATTGGTCTACTCTGAGTAGGGCCTGCATTGGATACATACAATCCTTATCCCGGCCCCCTTGAGCTGCTGTGCAGTTCACAAGAACGGTCGCTGCCGAAGCAGGAGGAGAGGATTGCAGTTTCAGTGAATGGTTGGTTCAAATAGGTGGAGGAGAGGAATTCGCCCAGGACACACTTAATTGTTTGCCGTGATGCTAAAGCCCGGATAGTTGTGGAATTATAGAATCATAGAATTGTAGGGTTGGAAAGGGACCTCAAGGATCATCTGTTCCAACCCCCTGCAATGCAGGAATATTCAGCTGTCCCATGCTGGAATCGAACCTGCAACCTCTTTGCATCATCAGCACCAAGCTCTAACCAACTGAGTGGAGAAAGAAAACAGCACAGGTTGTGGATTAGGAAGGGAGATGGTGGGGTGCTTGTAGTAGGCAAAACGGCTGCTCTGCCACTGAGCTATATTTTTTTATATTCTATTTTTATTAGTTTTCAAATACAAAAACAAATTTATACATTCCATACATCTTAATTACATCTTACTTCTCTTTTTTGACTTCCCTCAATTTGTCTGCCATTCCTTCCTATTATTACTTTTTACACATGTCTGCCCTTTTAACCCTTTCCTCTCACAGAGCTTCCTTAAAGCTTACAAACGTAATTTTATTATCACTCAGTTTTTGCATATATTGGATAAACTTTTCCCAATCTTCTGTAAATCTTTGATCTCGTCGATTCCGGATCCTTCCTGTCATTCTGTCCAGTTCTGCATAATCCATCATTTTAGTTCTCCATTCTTCTATCGTAGGTAATTCCTCCTGTTTCCATTTCTGGGCCATCAATATTCTTGCTGCTGCCACTGCATATAAAAATAACTTCTTTTCTTTCTTATTTATCTCATTACCTGTAATGCCTAGTAAAAATGCTTCTGGTTTCTTAAGAAATGTATATTTCAACATTTTCTTCAATTCATTATAAATCATTTCCCAAAAGCATTTTACCTTCTTACATTCCCACCATCTTCCCCTGAGCTAAAGGTCTTCCTCCTAAAGGGGAGAAAGAGGTACAGGGATTAGGCTGGAGGGCAACCCCTCCCCCCACAAGAAACCTCACAGGGACTAGGAACACAAGCTGTGTTATTTGGGCAGAAAGAGTAGCCATATCAGGGATCTGGGGAAGCCTTAAGGGCATGGAGAAGATCTGAAATTAGCTTCCATAACTTCTCTTGCGGCCAACAAATAGGAGCCCTTTTACAGTTCAGAATACAAATTTCTGTGGTCTGATCCATCCTTGCAGATATCAGTCCTAATTTCCCTTTTATTACTATTTCCTTTTCAAATTGGTGCTGCCGCCGCAGACAACGCCATAGAAGCAATAGACGAGTTTGCGTTTCTGGAAGGTAAGGTTTCGTTTCAAGTTTTCTTTGTAGTGTCGCTGCCTTGTCAGAATGGTGAGCTAGCCTTACCTTGTGTCACGGTCCGGTTCACGGGCGATCGAAGTCCCGGCAGGGGACGTCAGGACCGGGGGCAAGATGGCAGGGTGGGAGCAGGAACGGGGGTCCAGAAGCCAGGAGCCAAGAGTCTGAGGGTCAGAGAGCCGGGAGTTACGAAGCCAAGGGTCCAGGGGTCAGGAAGCAAGGAGTCACGAAGTCAGGGGTCCGAGGAGCAAGAAGTCAAGGAGCTAAACACAGCAAGGCAGGGAACATGTTGCTGTGGCAAAGAGCCGAAGGGAAATGCTGACCTTATAGCCCTTCCCAGCTCTTGCCACCAGGTGCTGTGAGTTACCAATCGGCCTCACCTGTGCGGCCGCACCTTGCCTCTTCAGAACAAACTGAGGAAGGCCCCGGTCCTGCAAAGTCCTATTGGTCACAGGGCCTGGCACCTGCACGCACTCCTGACACCTTGGCTCCGAATTCCAGGTGCGTGAAAGCCAGGCTCCAGTTCAGACGGAGAGTCACTTTGGTCACATCTACGGCATACATTTAAAGCACATGGCTTTCCCCCCCAAGAATCCTGGGAACTGTTAATTTGCCACTCGCAGAGCTATAATTCCCGGCGCCCTGAACTACAGTTCCTGCTATTCTTTGGGGGAAGCCATGAACCTCAGAGGTGTATAGTCCATGTGAAGCCCACAATTTGTGTGTAGGTCAGAATTAAAGTCAAGACCAGAGGGTAGCCAATGTGAATGCCATCCAGAAATGGTTGGAGTCCATTCTTCCATCAGTCCTAGAAGCTATCATAACCAGCAGCCAGGGATTATGGGAGTTGGAGTCCAGGAAATATCATACCCTCTCACATACCCTTTTCCCAGTGCCTTAATGGATGTGTGTGTGGGTTAGATCCTTCAGTTGCTCCAACAGTGTGTTGTTTGGGGGCTTGTGGGCATTTGAGATGGTGTCTGAAAACCTTTTGACGGCAATTTGAGATGTAAAGGAGCAATTTGTTTAGTTGGCTTTGGGTTTAAGAGCTAAGGTCTCCAAACAGCAATACATTATCTGGAAGATAGGCTAGGAATGATGGGAGTTGGAGTCCAACCCTTTGGGTCTTGAAGGTTCATAATAGTTGGAAAAAATAAATTAAACCTTTCACATTCCACGGTGTGTGTGTGTGTTTTGATGTTTTCTTAGTCTTCTTAAGTATATTTTATGCTTTAGCACATTGACTTGTAACAACCTGAATGCTGAGAAGCAGAACAGAAGCCAAGGCACAATTGATAAAAATGGATAAATTTAGATCCCTTTCTAAAGGGATGAATGTGAACTGGAATTAGTTCCTCTTTAAAATGAACTTTCCAAGCTATGTCCAGGCCAAATGTAAATCTGTTAAAATGGTAGCCGCTGCCTTGATTCGAAAACCACCTACAGTGGTGCCTCGCAAGACAAAATTAATCCGTTCCGCGAGTGTCTACGTCTAGCGGTTTTTTCGTCTTGCGAAGCAACCCTATTAGCGGCTTAGCGGATTAGCGCTATTAGCGGTTTAGCGGCTATTAAAGGCTTATCGGCTTAGCGGATTAGCTGCTAAAAGGCTATTAAAGGCTTAGCGGCTTAGAAAAAGGGGGGGGAGCGAAAAAAAATCTCAAGACTCGCAAGACATTTTTGTCTTGCGAAGCAAGCCCATAGGGAAATTTGTCCTGCGAAGCAACTCAAAAACGGAAAACCCTTTTGTCTAGCGGGTTTTCCGTCTTGCGAGGCATTCGTCTTGCGGGGCACCACTGTATTTTCATTTCACGGTCTGCCTGCTCCTCTGTTTAATTCTGTAGGTACTCTGGACTGACGCAAGGAAGGGGAATCCCTGGAAGGAGAGATTGGAACAGAACGTGCCGTGCAAAAGGCACAGAAGGAAACGTTCCCAGGGAGATGAAGGGACTGTTTCTGCCTGCCAGACTTGGTGGATTTGAAATGGCCCTGAATTTGAAACAGGCTCTGTTGTAAATTGCTTTGTATATACCCCAACCCTTGTGGTTTATCCGAAGTCTGTATGTCGTTTTGTACTCTAAATATATACATCTTTTTTCCATACCTCTGTTGTGCAGTACAGTGTTGTGTATGTTACCGCTTGGCCACCTGGCCTCTACCTTGCAATTCCTAATACAACACACACATTGGTAAAAAGGTAAAGGGACCCCTGACCATTAGGTCCAGTCATGGCCAACTCTGGGGTTGCGGCGCTCATCTCGCTTTATTGGTCGAGGGAGCCGGCGTACAGCTTCCGGGTCATGTAGCCAGCAGGACTAAGCCGCTTCTGGCGAACCAGAGCAGCGCATGGAAACGCTGTTTACCTTCCCGCCGGAGGGATACCTATTTATCTACTTGCACTTTGAGGTGCTTTTGAACTGCTAGGTTAGCAGGAACAGGGACTGAGCAACGGGAGCTCACCCTGTCATTGCGGGGATTCGAACCGCCGACCTTCTGATTGGCAAGTCCTAAGCTCTGTGGTTTAACCCACAGCGCCACCCGCGTCCCTCACACATTGGTACATTCTCATTAAAACATTGACATCAGAAGTGGCCGTGATTAAAACACACAGTTTCAATAGCCCCGTTAAAAACAGTGCCGCAATTAAAACAGGTGACTTGGGGGTCAAAGAAATCGAGGGAATGTGTGTGTGTAAAAAAATTAAGGCTGGCAGGATGCCAATGCAGATGGGAGCCTCTCATATTTCAGCAGGGCATTCATTTTACAGCAATGATGCTACTGGTGAAAAAGCCTGTCTGTGTGCCGCTGATAATCACTGAGCCATTGTAAAACAAACCAGGTTGCATTGGGAATGTTGATTCTCAAGAGCCATGCCCTCCTTGTTGTTGTTTAAATCTCTGGGACTTCCGGGGTGGCGCCTCCGGAAAATGGCGGAATTCCCTTCGGACTGAAGGGAACCCGCTGCACGGAGGCTTGGGTCCTGCCGCTACGGCGCAGCGGGGACCCTCAAAAACCACAGGCGGAAGACGCCTGGGGACGTGGGACTCGGCGGGCCCCGAGAGCGCTCTCTCCCTTGTACAGGAGCCCGGTAACGGGCTCCGGAGTGGGAGGTGCGTGGTGCTGTGAGTCGACTGCTTCCTCCGTGCAGCAAAGCCGCACTGCCGTTATCGGAGAGCGCTGCCTTTTTCCTGGACAATTTGGCATCTAAAATATCTATCCGTGAGTACCTGATCTTGGAAGAGTTGAACCACTTTTAAGACTGGTGAATAAACAAATAATATTGGACTTGAAATTGAACTTAATTGGGACTCGGAATGGGAAGGTCTAAACAGGAAGTCGCCTTCCGTTCTTTTGTTATGTGAAGAAAGCAAAGACAAAATATACTAAAGCTTGAAAATTAAATTCTAAGAGAACTAGAATTCAACATCTAAGATTTCTGAACCCCCTTTGACTGCAGGAGAAGAAGGGGTTGTATTTGACTTTTCAATCCTGCGGAAGTGAGTTTAAAATAAAGCAATTTTCCACCGCCCTGAACCAGGAGCGGGCTGTCAGAATTGACGTTCTGAAGTTTATCCAGCTCGACAGTTAGTTAAAAGAAGGGTAACATTTTGATTCTACTGTTGCCTCTTGAATTTGGAAGGGGAATTTTGGATAAAGTGTTTCTGGAAAAAGAAAGATTGTTGCTGTTGCTTTTATTCCTTTAAAAAAAAAAAAATTTCCATCTAGTGGAATTTAGTGAAATTGCAACGCAGAGAGATTAAAAGAGAAGGACTATTGGACTATTGTCGTGGGAAAGAATTTTCTTTGACCTTGAAGGACAATGCTAGTACAAAGGCTTGAACAATTGTTCCTGGAAGGTTTTTCAAAACTAAGTGCCCAGCTGGACCAGATGCGTCAGGAGACGACCTTGATGATGGAAGTTACCAGAGCACAGCAGCAAACAAATGAAATTCAGTTAAAGGCTATACAAGCATATGAACCTGCTGTAGTGACGGAGGCTTCAGAGATGGAGGGACCTTTGGACGGGCAAGATCAGCCTTTGAACTTGATAAATGAACTTGGGACAAACCAGATTCGGAAAGATGAAATGTGGTCAGATTTGGAAATGGGGGATGGATCGACCCCCTCCATATGGTTATTTGGACCTTCCGAGTCTGGTGATGGGCTATCAGAGGATTGGAGTAGCCGAAGTCTCCAAGCTTTGTGGAAATTTGAAGTGGTATTATTTGCTGTCTGGCTTGGGCAATGGGTTTGGGATGGACTTGCTGCAAAGGGTCAAAAGCATTTTCTTGCTGGAGCATCCACGACTGGAAAGGAATCATCAACAAGAGTGGCGAAAGGGGCAAGAAAGAGACTTGAGGGCCTCGGATACGAGACAACCAGGTTAAGGAGCCGGATTATCGAGGTTAAAAGGACTGACAATCCCGGGTCCAGGGGAGGGGAGGTTGGAAGCTGACTGGACTGAATTTGACTTATTATTTTTTCTTTTTTAATTTTTAATATTGGGAATGCTTACAAATGTTTGAAGGATGTTGAATGAAATTACATGGCTTAAGTAAGGATTGGTAAATGATTCGTAAAAAGGTAATGATGCAAGAATTTGGTAAATATTGAATATAAGCTATGAGTTTTAAAGTTTTTATATGACAAGAGGGAAAATAGAATAAGGAAACGTAATGACAGATTGTTATGAAAAACAGAAAGGATTTGCTGTAAAAATTAAAAATTAAGAAACAAAAGAGGGGAGGAGGAGGAAGTCTAGAAAGGAAGTCAATAGAGATTGTAAAGGACTTTATATTTTTGTTTTTCTGTTTCTCTTTTTTTTTTCTTTGCGGCTGGGTTTTCTTTTTTTTTTTGTTTATGTACTATTTTTGTTTTTTGTATCCTCAAATTTTTTTTTGGAAATTTTTGTTGTTATTCTTTGAAAATTTAATAAATATCAATTATAAAAAAATAAATAAATAAATAAATCTCTGCTCTCGTTAAGCATTTGTGGAGGCTGGTAATGATCTTTTTCTATCTCTGGACTCCTGGTCTCATTGCTTGGTTCCCTCTCCCTATCGCTGGGTAACTGCAAACATACTTCCTTTCCCCCGATTTCTTTTATTTCAAGATTCAAAGTTACATTTTATCACTCATCAGCTGTAACCCTTATTCTACAATTCTAATGACTTCCTGCTCACCCGCCCTTTATAATCACGATTACATACAATTTTGTCTTAAAATACCCAGTTTCATCCTCTTTAACAGGTTTCTCAATGTAGTCTGCTATTTTTTCCCCTTAAAACTCCCAAGCCCTGCTGTAGACTTCACCTAAGGAGAATTATTTTTTTAATAGACAGGAAAACATTTCCCATCCTCCTTGAAAGAGTCTAGATTTGTGTCTCTTATCAGTTTGGCAGTCTCTGCATATTCCATGATTTTCATCAGCCATTCTTCTTTAGAGGGTAGTCTTTATTCCTTCCACTTCTGCGCATAAAGATCTTTGCCGCTGTGGTTACATACATAAATACAGTTGAAGCTCCCTTTGGAATTTTGCTGTCCAGTATCTCCAGCAGGAAGGTCTTGGGAAAAGTCATGTTTATCTTTTTTTATTTTTTAACTTCATTATATATCATGTCCCCAAAGCGAAATATGTTTTCTGAGTGTTTTTACCTTTACTTTGCCTTCACAAAAACTTTGGGCTCTTTAGCACTTGCAAAGATAGAAGAAGAGAAGAGTTTTGGATTTGATATCCCACCTTTCACTCCCTTTAAGGAGTCTCAAAGCGGCTAAAATTCTCCTTTCCCTTCCTCCTCCACAACAAACACTCTGTGAGGTGAGTGGGGCTGAGAGACTTCAGAGAAGTGTGACTGGCCCAAGGTCCCCCAGCAGCTGCAGGTGGAGGAGCGGGGAATCGAACCCGGTTCCCCAGATTACCAGACTACCGCTCTTAACCACTACACCACGCTGGCTCTCTGCCAGATAGTGGAGATTATGATGACAATGTTTATATTATGTATTGAAATATATGAGCAGCTTTCTTACCAAAGCGCCTTGCGATATATAAACGCATACAGTGGTACCTCGGGTTAAGTACTTAATTCGTTCCGGAAGTCTGTTCTTAACCTGAAACTGTTCTTAACCTGAAGCACCACTTTAGCTAAGAAGATTCCACCTAAACATTAGGAAGAACTTCCTGACAGTAAGAGCTGTTCGACAGTGGAATTTGCTGCCAAGGAGTGTGGTGGAGTCTCCTTCTTTGGAGGTCTTTAAGCAGAGGCTTGACAACCATATGTCAGGAGTGCTCTGATGGTGTTTCCTGCTTGGCAGGGGGTTGGACTCGATGGCCCTTGTGGTCTCTTCCAACTCTATGATTCTATGATACAAACTCTTCTTCTTCTTCTTCTTCTTCTTCTTCTTCTTCTTCTTCTTCTCTCCTCCTCATAGATCCCAGAACCCCTAACAAACTACAATTCCCAGGATCGTTTTTATAAATAATAAATTATTATTATTATTATTACTAGGTGTGATGGCCTGGGAATCCGATTCAGAGGCTGAACCGGAGGAATCCCAGCCTGCACAGGAGTCCCCGCCTCCAGGGCTGGCTGAACTGGGGCAGGGCCTTGATTCTGAAGCGCCTGCACCTGTGCCGGATCCTCAGGAGCAGGCACCAGGTGAATCCACTCTGGCTCCGGAGGTGGTTGAGGACTGAGTGCCTACAGGTGAGTCTCCCCCTGGGTCCAGTAACCCTCCAGCCTCTCCTGAACTGCAGAGGCTCAGGGCAGAGAGGCGGAGGGAACTGGGTTCTCCCAGGAGGAGTGCTCGCCTTAAGGCCAGGAGAGGCGGGTCTCCTGGGGGCCGGGACCGCCCCTGGCCTCAGAGAAGATAAAGGCCAGTCAGCCCGGTCCCAGGTTGCAGGAGCAATGTCGTTGATGAGCTGTTTCGGCCAACATCCAGTCCTCTTTCCCCAGAGTTCCTGTCCTTGCCCGGCTCCTCGCTGTGGACCCCGCTTCGCCCAAGGAGGACTGTCTGCAGACCCTCAACTCAGGTCCTGGACCTCGCCCCACAGTAACCTCCCCCCTGGACCAGCACACTACGGTTGACGGAGTTGGATATTTTCAGCCTGGAAAAGAGGAGACTTCTCCTTGTTTTATCTATGGGGAAATGCAGGGGCATATATGCTGAGGTGACATCCTGGGCCCAGCCATCACACCCAAAGCGCAGCTTGCGAGTTGTTTTGATCGTCGAAAACAGCGAAGCATAGCTCGTAGTGGGAAATGGGCATCAAGAAGGAAGTGAGAAGGGTTTTATGGTTTCAGAGAAAAGGAGAAGTGGGCAGCTCGCCTTGTTTCAGGTTGAGCCATGACTTTATATCTGATGAGAGTAAAATGGAGGAGGGGGGCATTTTTCGATTCCTTTGAAAAGACGCCCCCAACCCTCTTCTTGCGATCGGTGGTGGTCAGACTGAGGGCGTTTCTCTTAGGCAGAGAATGAGGTCCTTTTGTCACTTGAGTTCTGGTCTTACGATACGATAATCTTTATTGTCATTGCCCCATACAGAACAGCAAAATTGAAAAATCTACATCAGACATTCAAAAGCCAACAAGCCAGCTATCCTAGTCTGGTTAGCCCCCTAAAAACTCTGATACCCCATAATTAAATACAATATATTCCCATAGAGACTACCTTATACTGCATTTAAAACCCAAATCGCATTTGGATAGAAACTGTTTCTCAGGCGGCTAGTCCTAGTCTTTATAACCCTGTACCTTCTTCCAGAAGGCAGAAGCTGAAAGAGATAATTTCCGGGGTGCACACTGTCCTGCGCTATCTCTGCAGCTTTCTTATGGCACCTGGAAGCGTAGATTTGATCCAAGGTGGGAAGAGTGCACCCAGTTATTCTCTCCGCAGTCTTTACAACCCTGGACAGCATTGTTTTTTCCCTGACTGTGCAGCTCCCAAACCACACACACAGACCATAAGTTAATACACTCTCAACAGTACAATGGTAAAATGCCATCAACAGGTCCTTTGAGAGATTATTTTTCCAGAGGATTCTCAGAAAATATAACCTCTGCTGTGCTCTCTTCATCAGGTCTTTGCTGTTTTCTCACCAGGTTAGGTCGTCTCTCAACTCCATTCCCAGAAATTGAAACATTGCTTTTCTGCACAGATTTCGGAGATGTGGGAGGTTCTTCTGAGAGACCAAAGTGCAAGCTCGGCTGTATGGCTGGGGTAGTGGTCCATTTGAACCAGGGTGTTTGGCATTCTAAACCAAGGTTAGCCAACCTGGTGTCTTGTAGATGTAGCCAGTGTGGTGTAGTGGTTGAGAGTGGTGGACTCGTTTCTTTATGTACGCAACAACAGCAGCAAGAATACTCATCGCAAAGTATTGGAAGACACAAGAACTACCCACACTGGAGGAATGGCAGATGAAACTGATGGACTACAGTGGTGCCTCGCAAGACGAAATTAATCCGTTCCGCGAGAGTCTTCGTCTAGCGGTTTTTTCGTCTTGCGAAGCAACCCTATTAGCGGATTAGCGGATTAGCGCTATTAGCGGTTTAGCGGCTATTAAAGGCTTAAAGGCTTAGCGGATTAGCTGCTAAAAGGCTATTAAAGGCTATTAAAGGCTTAGCGGATTAGATAAAGGGGGGGAAAAGCGAAAAAAAAATCTCAAGACTCGCAAGACATTTTCGTCTTGCGAAGCAAGCCCATAGGGAAATTCGTCCTGCGAAGCAACTCAAAAACAGAAAACCCTTTCATCTAGCGGGTTTTCCGTCTTGCGAGGCATTCGTCTTGCGGGGCACCACTGTATATGGAACTGGCGGAAATGACTGGTAGAATCCGTGACCAGGGAGAAGAGTTGGTGGAGGAAGATTGGAAGAAATTCAAAGACTATTTGCAGAAACATTGCAAAATTAAAGAATGTTAGAGTGATGTTGGATTGAAAATAAGTGGCTTCTAGCTATACAGGCTTTAAAGTTATATATAGATCAAGATTAAGGATTAGGATTAAAAAGATAAAGGAAATGGAAATTTGGCTTTTAAGAGGTAAAAATTTAATGTTATATTATATTAAGATTAAAGATTGGGATTAAAAAAGAGGAAAAGAAATTGCTGGACAAACAAATTGAGCTGGAATACAAAAGAGGGAGGTATGAGGAGGTCCAGAAAATAAGTAAATTTAAAAAATGGTGATGAAAATGTGGGATTGTTTTTAAATTTTTTCTTCTTTGCCCTTTGCTTATTGTTTCTTTTTTTTTTTTGGATTATGTATTGTGTATTTTTGAACTGTGTATTTTTCTTTTCTACTTTTAATTTTTTTTAGTTTGGAAATTCTAATAAATATCATTTAAAAAAAAAAGAAAAAAAGAGAGTGGTGGACTCGTAATCTGGGGAACCGGTTCGCATCTCCTCTCCTCCACATGCAGCTGCTGGGTGACCTTGGGCCAGTCACACTTCTCTGAAGTCTCTCAGCCCCACTCACCTCACAGAGTGTTTGTTGTGGGGGAGGAAGGGAAAGGAGAATGTTAGCCTCTTTGAGACTCCTTAAAGGGAGTGAAAGGCGGGATATCAAATCCAAACTCTTCTTCTTCTTCTTCTTCTTCTTCTTCTTCTATGGCCTCCAGTTCCCATAAGCGCTGACCACTGTTCATACTTGTTGCTCGGGGCTGGAGCCCAAAACTGCTGGAGGGCACAACCCTGGTTACCTCTCACCTCCCTGGCAATGACTATGTCTGGCACTGAGGTTGGTTTTTTTATTTACAGTGGTACCTCTGACACTCCTATGCAGATCCTGTTGTTGCTTATAAGAAGCTAACTCTTGCCCGGTGTACTGCTGGCTCGCTCCTGTCACCTGGTAAGGGCTGGGAGAGAAGCTTTCCTGAAACCCTGGAGAGCCATCGCTGCCGATCAATGTTGTGGACATTGTGTGGACAATGTTCTTGAACTCTTCTTGTTGTTGTTTAGTCGTTTAGTCGTGTCCGACTCTTTGTGACCCCCTGGACCAGAGCACGCCAGGCATTTCTGTCTTCCACTGCATCCCGCAGTTTGGTCAAACTCATGCTGGTAGCTTCGAGAACACTGTCTCACCATCTCATCCTCTGTTGTCCCCTTCTCCTTGTGCCCTCCATCTTTCCCAACATCAGGGTCCACGGGACTCTCAAGAGACTCCTCCAGCACAATGCTAAACTAGATGGACCAAATGCACCCCATCATCTCTTGAGACAGACAGGTGCCAACGACAAGAGGAAGGCAGCTCTCTAGCTGATCTGCTGGGACTGGGAAGGGGAAGCAGGTATACTGGGCCATGAAAACCCCTGTGACCGTCAGAGAGATTTCACCAGCTGCATTGCCCACGCGGCAAAGATATTTTCTTTAAACTGCTAGGGCAACGCAAAACTTCCCCCTTTCGTTTTTCTTAGAAACGAAAATGTGCAAGCTGTAGAGTTTTAAGTTTGCTGAGCCCAGCGACCCAACCTTTCCGCTGGCGACTTTTCTTCTTGTGACAAAGTCTCGCCGTTTCATCCCCGAGATGTTGTGGTTTCTTTGGGGGGGTGGGATGAGGACTCCAATAGATATGTCATTTGCAAGGACTTTATAAAGCCTCTTTATAAAAGGCGGCCCCTGCATTTTCGTCTTCCTCTTTCATGGAGAAGCACGAGGAGGTTCAAACAAGAAGCTTTCTTTAAATCCTTCAGTGGAGAGAGAGGTAAGATTTGTGTGAGGGGGACCAAAGTAATTTTGGGGGAGGGTGGGGGTAGGATCAGACTGCCATGCATACCTTTGGACTCTGTCCGAAGACTAACATCTACTGTCTGCTTCGACCTTAACACAGCCAATTATCATCTTTCCCTGCAAAACAGTGCTGTGAAGTTAGAGAGGATGTTGTTGTTTAGTCGTGTCCGACTCTTCGTGACCCCCTGGACCAGAGCACGCCAGGCACTCCTGTCTTCCACTGCCTCCCACAGTTTGGTCAAACTCATGCTGGTAGCTTCGAGAACACTGTCCAACCATCTTGTCCTCTGCCATCCCCTTCTCCTTGTGCCCTCCATCTTTCCCAACATCAGGGTCTTTTCCAGGGAGTCCTCTTCTCATGAGGTGGTCAAAGTATTGGCCTTCCAGTGAGCACTCAGGGCTGATTTCCTTAAGAATGGATAGGTTTGTTCTTCTTGCAGTCCATGGGACTCTCAAGAGTCTCCTCCAGCACCATAAGTCAAAAGCATCCATTCTTCAGTGATCAGCCTTCTTTATGGTCCAGCTCTCACTTCCATACATCACTACTGGGAAAACCATAGCTTTTACTATATGGACCTTTGTTGGCAAGGTGATGTCTCTACTTTTTAAGATGCTGTCTAGAGAGGATAGATTTGCAATTAATGCAGCCCTGAATCTCCTGCTTTGATTGTTGTTGCTTTTTTAATAAAAATTATCATCCACACAGTCACAAAAACAAATTAACCGAAAAAGCCTTGAAAACAAAAACGCAAAATAAACAGCAGAAACAAAAGCGCCAAACTTAATCCGTTCCGGAAGTCCATTTGACTTCTGAAATGTTCAAAAACCAAGGCACAGCTTCTGATTGGTGTAGGCGCCCCGGAAACAATAGCCAACAGCCGCATCGGACGTTCGGCTTCTGAAAAACGTCCAAAAATTGGAACACTTATTTCTGGGTTTTCGGCGTTTGGGAACCGAGGCATTCGAGAACCCAAAATACCACTGTACTGAACATGGCAAGGATGGTCCTAGAGAGGTTCTGCTACTGAGGTTGCCAGAAGTTTGCCTTTATTTTACCGGAGCAGATCCCTAGTCCAGTGGGAACCAGCACTGGGAATTTGGGGAAAGCTGCCACAGAAGCACAATAGCTAAAAGTTCACCATGGGGATACGGACAGGCCATAGCTCAGCGACAGAGCATCCGCTGGTTCAATCCTCGCTGCCATCTCCTGGAGAGGGGCTGCCTGCCAGTGCAGACAAGGCTGAGCTCAATGGACCAATGGCAGGGACAGACTCTGGTAATAGGATGCCCTGAAGGGAGTACAAAATTTCCTCCAAAAATATTTCTTATTTTCACAATGATTCATTTCGGTACATTTGCTTTTTAAATGGATCTTCTCAGTAGGTACCCGTATAAATATAGTGGGTTTTTTTAAAATTAAAAAAAAAGCATTGTTATTCCTAGACAATGCACAAAAGGGACATTTAAGCTTAAAAGCAAACAGCAAAGCAGTGCTGTTTCTGTGACTGAGAAAGTCTGGACTCGTGTACATGGAATCTTACAGAGGTGGATTTAGGGGAGTATGATACATACATATACATATACAATATAATATATATATATATATATATATATATATTAAATTTTCTGTTCTGCAATTTGAAGTACTCATTTTTACATCCTTAAGTTTTCCATGACTTCCCTTCCTCTCTTTCCATGGTTCATTTTGCACAACATAAACCCCTGCGTATTTTACATAAACGAAACCATTCAGTATTCCATTATTACATCCATCCAAACTTATTTACACTGTTGAATTTATCTTAATGATGCCCACGTTTTCAAATAAACACAGTCCCCCCCCCAATATATTTAATAAACGTTTTCCAATTTTCTCTAAATGTATGTTTTTCTTGTTCTCTTATTCTATATATGTTAGGTCCGCAAGCTGCGCATATTCCATCAGTTTCAGTTGCCATTCTTCTTTAGTTGGGACCTCGCTCATTTTCCATTTTTGGGCTAACAAAACATGGGCCGCAGTAGTGGCATACGTAAATAACCTTTTTTGACATCTGGGAATTTCCGTCTGAGTTATTTCCCCCAAAAAAGAACTCTGCTTTTTGGGGGGGAAGTACATTTTAACATTTTTTTTCAGTTCATTATGAATTGTTTCCCAATATTCTTTTACCCTTTCACAGGTCCACCACATATGGCTATATTATTATTCCTATTTTGCACCCCCTTGGCTCAGTGACCAGTGTAGGAGAACGGCCCGCACTGCCCTAAATCTGGCACTGCCAATCTTCTAACTTGGCACAAGGCAACTGCTTATGACTCTGGGCATTGCTTTCCTAGGTAAAAAACATGCTTCCGATCTCGGCGATGGCACTGACCGGACTGGTCCTGCTGAGGACTGTCAGTGCAGTGCAGGATCCGACCCTGGACAAAGCCTGGGGAGACTGGAAGAGAGCCCATTCTAAAGAATACAGCGAGGTGAGTTTTCTCTGGCATGGCTAAGACTGGCAGTGTCTTCGCGCCTCTGAAATTCTGGCACCTTGAAAATTCATGTGCCCCCAAGCATGTGCAGAGTGCCATTCCAGAGAAGAAGAAGAAGAAAAAGAAAAAGAAGAAGAAGGGGAAGGGGAAGAGAAAGAATTTGTTATTTATACCCTGCCCATCTGGCTGGGTTTCCCCAGCCACTCTGGGCGGCTTCAAGCAGAATATTAAAATACAGTGATTCAACAAATATTTAAAGCTTCCCTAAATAGGGCTGCCTTCAGATGCCTTCTAAATGTCAAATAGTTGTTTGTTTCCTTGACATCTGGTGTTCCACAGGGCGGGTGCCACCACCGAGAAGGCCGTCTGCCTGGTTCCCTGTAACTTCACTTCTCGCAGGGAGGGAACCGCCAGAAGGCCGTCGGAGCTGGACCTCATTGTTGGGGTGGATGGGGGTGGAGACACTCCTTCAGATATACTGGGCTGAGGCCAATTTAAAGGTCAGCACCAACACTTTGAATTGTGCCCGGAAACGTACTGGGAGCCAATGTAGGTCTTTCAGGACCGGTGTTATATGGTCTCGGCGGCTGCTCCCCGTCACCAGTCTAGCTGCCGCATTCTGGATTAGTTGCAGTTTCCAGGTCACCTTCAAAGGTAGCCCCACGTAGAGCGCATTGCAGTAGTCCAAGAGGGAGATAACCAGAGTATGCACCACTCTGACAAGACAGTCTGCGGGCAGGGAGGGTCTCATCCTGCATACCAGATGGAGCTGGCAGACAGCTGCCCTGGACACAGAATTGACCTGCGCCTCCATGGACAGCTGTGAGTCCAAAATGACTCCCAGGATGTGTACCTGGTCCTTCAGGGGCACAGTGACCCCATTCAAGACCAGGGAGTCCCCCACCCCCGCCCACCCCCTGTCCCCCAAAAACAGTACTCCTTTCTTGACAGGATTCAACCTCAATCTGTTAGCCGCCATACATCCTCCAACCGCCTCCAGACACTCACACAGTACCTTCACCGCCTTCACTGGTTCCGATTTAAAAAAGAGGTAGAACAAGACACAAGGGGAAACCAGCTCTCTGTATCGGCATAGGAAATGCCTTTCCGGTTCTGTGGAAGTCACAGTCCGATACAGGTCTACTCAAAAGTAACTCGGTAATCCCAGGGAAGATAGTATTTCTTCAGACTGCACATATCAGGAAGTAGAGCCAGCCACCAACTTGCATACATTCCAACATTTATCCAATGAATTTAGGGATGATAATAATAATAATAATAATAATACAGTGGTACCTCGGGTTAAGTACTTCATTTGTCCCGGAGGTCTGTACTTAACCTGAAACTGTTCTTAACCTGAAGCACCACTTTAGCTAACGGGGCCTCCTGCTGCTGCTGCGCCGCCGGAGCACGATTTCTGTTCCCATCCTGAAGCAAAGTTCTTAACCTGAAGCACTATTTCTGGGTTAGCGGAGTGTGTAACCTGAAGCGTATGTAACCCGAAGTGTATCAAAAATCAAATATCTTTAATACGGTCAATGACCAGCAAGCAATTTATAAAATAAAATATGGCAATATAAGTACTATTGTACTACAGATAACAGTGGAGATATGGCCAAATCACAAAATTGGTACTTATGTTTATGACCAAGCTTCGACTTTTAAGGTTTTAAGGATTCAATTCAAATGTCACTACTGTTTATTATCGTTCCTTCGATGTTTGCAATTTGAACTCCATTGCTGTCATCATTGCTCGTCTTATTCTTGTTGCAATGTAACAGTACTTCGCCACAGGCCTGTTGATTTCGGGGTCTTTGTCAGCTAAGAGGTGTCTGATATAGGTGTCGTCTGTACTACGATTCCTCAGAATCGGCTCGATCAGCTCTTTTCTTGAGTCTCGATATAATGGGCAATATAAGATGACATGCCCGATGGTTTCAGTTTCGTTGCTGTTACAGGGACATAATCTTTGTTCGATCGGTATTTTGTTGTATCTTCCCTCTAGAAGAGCTGAAGTGAGAGTGTTAAAGCGGGCCCTGGTAAATGCCCATCGGTGTTTAGCATTATGTAGAACTTTGAGATAGTTTGCTAAATGGGGGCTTTGGGAATCGAATAGGAGTTTATGAGCTATCGGAAGTTGACTAAAGTGTATGTAACCCGAGGTACCACTGTAACAACAACAACAACAACAACAGTTATTTTATTTATACTCTGCCCATCTGACTGGGTTGCTCCAGCCACTCTGGGTGGCTTCCAACATATATTAAAACATTAAACGTTAAAAAACCTGTCCCTATCCAGAGCTGCCTTCAGATGTCTTCCAAAGGTTGTATCGTGCCCGTTTACGCCCGCTTTCCTCGAATGAGTCCATTTCTGTACACGCCGGTTGTTTGCAGAGCTGCATTGCCGAAATTCAGGGAAGTGGAAATTTTGCAGGACAGCATAGTTTCGGTTCACATCTCAATTCGAGAAGTGCAAATGAGCCAGTTTCCTCATTAAAGTGCATCAAATTCCCCCTCCATATCTGCTACTAACACTACTTCTTGAGAGGAGGGGAGAATTCAAGGGCCATATCAATTCCAAACTCTTTCTTGTTTGGCGATCCCTCGTAGCTGAGTAAGATTGTCTTCCATGAACACGGTCTTAACAGTGAGCCCGTAATTTTGGGTCCACACGTCCCTCCACAGTGGGGATGTAGGTTTCTGGGCGGGAGTTAACCACAGGGAGGGTTTGCCAAGTGTGCCTTCCTCTTAGCACGTTTCTCCCTTGCGTCCTGAGTTCGAGTGTCTTCAAAGCCCACGACACCTTTGGTAAAGGCTGTTCTCCAACTGGAGCGATTGCAGGCCAGTGTTTCCCAGTTGTTACTGTTTATGCTACATTTTTTAGATTTGCCTTGAGACAGACTTTAAACCTCTTTTGTTGACCACCAGCATTACACTTTCCATTTTTAAGTTCGGAATAGAGTACAGTGGTACCTCAGGTTACATACGCTTCAGGTTACACATGCTTCAGGTTACAGACTCCGCTAACCCAGAAATAGTGCTTCAGGTTAAAAACTTTGCTTCAGGATGAGAACAGAAATCGTGCTCCAGCAGCGTGGTGGCAGCGGGAGGCCCCATTAGCTAAAGTGGTGCTTCAGGTTAAGAACAGTTTCAGGTTAAGTACGGACCTCCGGAACAAATTAAGTACTTAACCTAACTGTAGTTGCTTTGGAAGACGATCATCAGGCATCCGCACAACATGACCAGTCCAACGAAGTTGATGTTGAAGAATCATTGCTTCAACACGGGTGATCTTTGCTTCTTCCAGTACACTGACATTTGTTCGCCTGTCTTCCCAAGTGACGTGTAAAAATTTTCAGAGACACCGTTGATGGAACTTTTCGAGGAGTTGGAGATGGCGTTTGTAAGTGGCCCATGTTTCACAAGCATACAGTAAGGTTGGTAGTGCAACAGCTTTGCAAAGAAGCGTTTTGGTTTCCCTGCAAATGTCCTGGGTCCTCAAACACTCTGCACTTCAATCGGGAGAAAGCTGCACTCGCAGAGCTCAGGCAATGCTGGATTTTGGCAAGCCCACTCGCCACGACGAGGTGATGATCCAGCGAGTGAGTCCAAACTCTTTATCGGGTTCCTTGCAGGAGGAAGAACTTTTCCGGAGGGCTGTGTGGGAGAAGAATCTACAGATGATTGTAGAGCACAACTTAGAGGCTTCCCGGGGGATGCACACCTATGAGCTGGGCATGAATCACCTTGGTGACTTGGTAAGTGGTCCATCGTGGGGGTCAGGTGGGATTACTATGAGGAATTATGAAAATATGGAGCAAGCCATTGTGTCTACAATGAAAGCATTGCGTTGACTGGGCTTGAGTCATTTGACATGATTTCTAATCGAATCGCACAAACCTCTGCCATGCAATTCTGGGCTGCATCAATAGGAGTATAGCATCTAGATCAAGGGAAGTAATAGTGCCACTGTATTCTGCTCTGGTCAGACCTCACCTGGAGTACTGTGTCCAGTTCTGGGCACCACAGTTCAAGAAGGACACTGACAAACTGGAACGTGTCCAGAGGAGGGCAACCAAAATGGTCAAAGGCCTGGAAACGATGCCTTATGAGGAACGGCTAAGGGAGCTGGGCATGTTTAGCCTGGAGAAGAGGAGGTTAAGGGGTGATATGATAGCCATGTTCAAATATATAAAAGGATGTCACATAGAGGAGGGAGAAAGGTTGTTTTCTGCTGCTCCAGAGAAGCGGACACGGAGCAATGGATCCAAACTACAAGAAAGAAGATTCCACCTAAACATTAGGAAGAACTTCCTGACAGTAAGAGCTGTTCGACAGTGGAATTTGCTGCCAAGGAGTGTGGTGGAGTCTCCTTCTTTGGAGGTCTTTAAGCAGAGGCTTGACAACCATATGTCAGTGTCAGGGAACTGACATCGAAGCCAGAGGCGGAGGCTAGGCTCTCAAGCGATGCTGGAGAAGGGCCCAGCAGGGGGAGAGGCGGCTCACCAGCTGGGGAAGGAAATCAGCGTAACACCAGGGATAAAGGGGGGCAGATGGGGGAATCGGCGAGGGGGCTCCAGGACTCCTCGCCGGAGATCAGCGAGGAGAGCACGGGTCCTCCGCTACCCACACCCTCCCTGCGCAGAAGACTTCCGCGCAGGGAGAGTAGGTGGAGACTTGGAGTCAAACAACTTTTATGCTGGAAAAGGTTTAAGAAACGCCCACTGACGGATTCTGCTAGCGACTGAACAGCCACGAAGTGCAGGGCTGTCCAGACAGAAAAGGTTTAACAAGGCAACCTAGCCAGGAGTGGCACCAACTTGCGCACGAGCAACCCCTACACTTATTACAGTCAGGAGTGCTCTGATGGTGTTTCCTGCTTGGCAGGGGGTTGGACTCGATGGCCCTTGTGGTCTCTTCCAACTCTATGATTCTATGATTCTTTCTCTGCCTGACAGGCACATATAAGCATTCTAAAACACAGACAGGTTGCTTCATCAGGCATCCTGAGCCATAAAGATAGTAGGTAAGTTTGATGCAGATTTTGTTAATCTTTAGGTAGATCTTAAGGGCCAGGAAGAGAGTTCACAAGGAGATGGTAAATACTATCTTTCATTGCCATCCTTCCTTTCCTGTTTATGACCTCCGGGATTTGCTAAATGCATTCCGCATTCCTCCTTGATTCCTGTTTTATTTACCTGGACATGTAAAGTAAAGGTAAAGGGACCCCTGACCATTAGGTCCAGTCATGGCCAACTCTGGGGTTGCGGCGCTCATCTCGCTTTATTGGCTGAGGGAGCAGGCGTGCAGCTTCCGGGTCATGTGGCCAGCATGACTAAGCCGCTTCTGGCGAACCAGAGCAGCGCATGGAAACGCCGTTTACCTTCCCGCCAGAGCGGTACCTATTTATCTCCTTGCACTTTTGACGTGCTTTTGAACTGCTAGCTTGGCAGGAGCAGGGACCGAGCAACAGGAGCTCACCCCGTCATTGCGGGGATTCGAACCGCCGACCTTCTGATCGGCAAGTCCTAGGCTCTGTGGTTTAACCCACAGTGCCACCCGCACCTGGACATGTTTGCATGCTCAAAGTAGTCTTTGTAGTTAAAGGGATTTCAAAACGATTTCTCTGATCTAACTTTGTACCCACGTGGTAGGTTTTTTTTTAAATGCTCAGAGGAAATCTGATTGGTTCCTACAAGCGCTGTGCTATAAGTTCTTTTGTTAATAAAAGGGACCTGGGTCAGGGTGTGACAGATTATTATTGGCACTCCTCCCAGAGTCTTGCTGGTCAAGCTTCATGTATATTTTATTAATCAGGGTCCAAATCCTTCCTTCGCCTTCGGAACACAACAGTCCATACATTGGGCAGACTTTTCTGCATTCATTCCAGACGGGTTGTTTATTGCTGTGGTCAAGCTCCTCCTTGGGGAAGGATGATAGCATCCGCCTTCCATGCATAGAATCATAGAGTTGTAGAGGTGCAAGGGACCCCCTGGGTCATCCATTCCAACCTCCAGCAATGCGGGAATCTCAACCAATGCATCCATGGCAGATGGCCACCCAACCTCTGCTTAAAATCCTCCAAGGAAGGACAGTCCACCACCTTCCAAGGGAGACCGTTCCACTGTCAAAAAGCTCTTCCTATCTTCTTGACGTTCTTCCTGATGCTTAGCCAGAATCTCGTAATTTGAAGCCGTTGCCTCGATTTCTACCCTCCGGAGCAGGAGAAAACAAGCTTGCTCCATCTTCCATGTGACAGCCCTTAAGATATTGGAAGTTGGCACTCATATCTCCTCTCAGTCTCCTCTTTTCCAGGCTAAACATACCCAACTCCTTCGACCGTTCCTCATAAGGCTTGGTTTCCATACCCTGGATCATCTTGATCACCCTTCGCTGTACACCTTCCAGCTTATCAACATCCTTCTTTAATTGTGGCACTCAGAACTGGATGCAGTTTTCCAGGTGTGGTCTGACCAAGGCAGAACAGAGTGGGACTGTTACTTCCCTTGATCTGGACACTAGACTTCTGCTGATGCAGCCTAGAATAGCATTACGTATTTACAGGACCGCCTCTCCTGGTCTGCCCCGCAGAGGACCTTAAGGTCCATGAATAATCATAGTTTAGAGGTCCCGGGCCCTAAGGAAGTTAGATTATCCTCCACCAGGGCCAGGGCCTTCTCAGTGATGGCTCCGACCTGGTGGAATGCTCTGTTCCATGAGACCAGGGCCCTGCAGGATTTAACTTCCTTCCGCAGGGCATGTAAAACAGAGCTATTCCGACTGGCTTTCAATTTGAACTTAGCTGGATCTTTTATTTCCCTTCCTTCCCTCCTCCTCCCCTTTTTATGAAGATTACTCACTCTGGGATCCCACAGCTAATTTTCCCCTGGTCTCTTCGCTGGCCCAAATAGGACTACAGTGGTACCTCGGGTTACATACGCTTCAGGTTACATACACTTCAAGTTATAGGTTCCACTAACCCAGAAATATTACCTCGGGTTAAGAACTTTGCTTCAGGATGAGATCAGAAATCATGCTCCAGTGGCGCAGCAGCAGCAGGAGGCCCCATTAGCTAAAGTGGTGCCTCAGGTTAAGAACAGTTTCAGGTTAAGTACGGACCTCCAGAACGAATAAGTACTTAACCTGAGGTACCACTGTAATTCAGCCAGCTAGCCCTGGTGATCATCTAATGTTTATTGGATGGATTTTCTCCCTAAATTGATTTTTGAATTCTGAATTTATTGTTATTCACATTTTATACTGTATATACTGTATATACTGTATAAGTGTTTTAAATTTGTTGTTAGCCGCCCTGAGCCCGGTTTTCTGAACTGGGAAGGGCGGGGTATAAATAAAAATTTATTATTATTTATTATTATTAGCTTTTTTTTGCTGCTGCATCACACTGTGGGCTCATGTTAAGCTTTTGGTCCAGTAAGACGCTCATATCCTTTTCTTAGGGAGAAAGAAAGCGACTCCTGGCCACCCACCGCTCAGGCCACAAGCCAAGAGCATCTCTAAGGAGAGGAAATAAGCTTTGATGTGGACTCTGCTTTTCTTCCCCAGACGCGAGAAGAGTTTAACCAAAAGCTGAATGGCTTCCGTTCAGACATAGCTGAAGAAGATGCTGACGACGAGGCCCTTTTCAAAGATACTGACACCCACGAGACACCCAAGCATGTAGACTGGCGCACCAAAGGTTATGTCACCCCCATAAAAGACCAGGTGAGTTGGCAGCAAATTGGGAGTGTTCAACTTGGACCTGGGACCCTGGGGTTCAAATGCTCTTACCACGTGTCGGTCACTTGTTACCTCCCAGCTTGCCTTACCCTCACAGGGCTTTTGTGCGGAGAGAGAGGAGGCCGGGCCTCATCCTGCAATGGTGGTGGTGCCTGCCCCCCAACACTGTTGTTGTTGTTTAGTCGTTTAGTCGTGTCCGCCTCTTCGTGACACCCTGGACCAGAGCACGCCAGGCACTCCTGTCTTCCACTGCCTCCCGCAGTTTGGTCAAACTCATGCTGGTAGCTTCGAGAACACTGTCCAACCATCTCGTCGTCTGTCGTCCCCTTCTCTTTGCACCCTCCATCTTTCCCAACATCGGGGTCTTTTCCAGGGAGTCTTCTCTTCTCATGAGGTGGCCAAAGCATTGGAGCCTCAGCTTCAGGATCTGTCCTTCCAGTGAGCACTCAGGGCTGATTTCCTTCAGAATGGAGAGGTTTGATCTTCTTGCAGTCCATGGGACTCTCAAGAGTCTCCTCCAGCACCAGAATTCAAAAGCATCCATTCTTTGGCGATCAGCCTTCTTTGTGGTCCAGCTCTCACTTCCGTACATCACTACTGGGAAAACCATGGCTTTAACTATACGGACCTTTGTCGGCAATACAAAGGTCCGTATAGTTATACAAAGGTCCGTATAGTCCCCAATACTAGATCTTCCTAATTCTCAGCTGGCCTTCCCAGCTGGTGGTCTCAGTCTTGCAAGGGCTTCATTTGTGCCCAGCATTGAGTGTCCACAAATGTTTAGTTTCCACTGTTTAGAACAAGCACTTTAAATGGATTTATAACTTCCAAGGTGATTGTGTTTTCTGCTGAACAGACTGCTGTTGGAGAGAGTGCGAGCACAAAAAGGTTAATACACAAAAAATAATGATAGTGTGCTCTTGGGAATCAAAGCACCTTCTATAATTCTATCGACCAAAACTTTTAATATACCAATTCTCGTATACTGTTATTTTCCTACAAAAGACTTGTAGTATGTTCCCTATAAGCTCATTTGAATGTTTAACTAACTTCACCTAAAACCTGCGTGGCGCACTGAGAGGATGCACTGACGCCGTATATTTAAAGTCTGAATTGAGATCGATCTTAACCTGTCATGGCCACCTGATTAGTGAAAAAAAATGTTATTCCTCCATCCATCAGGAGTTGTGAACAGTTCTGCAAAGCCAATATCAACAGGGACAGCTAATTGTGGATCTGGGAAATTCACAAATGTCCTTTAGTAATCTGAAATAGTAATTTGCGGTATAATTGAGCCGCCCTGGGAGACCAGAAAATTACAGCTGTTATGTATTCAGTGGTCTGTGTTTGCCTGAGACTGAGTCTGGACTAAGGATTCTGAGCTCCTGTGTTCTGATTCGATACCTGATGTCCAATCACAAAAAAATTCAGGATTTGGGCCTCTGCCATTGGCCCTTTAACTCTGCGTCGTGATTCGCAGCTTGGAAGTTTAGACAGCCAATCACGTTGGGAGTGGCCCAGGAATGTATATAAGTGGTTGCTTTGCCCCTGTTTCCCAGTTATGTAGTTCAATAAAGGTTCTTGCTGTTATCGCTGTGTCTTGCCTTGTGGGAACCCACCTATAATAATAATAATTTATTATTTATACCGCGCCCATCTGGCTGTGTTTCCCCAGCCACTCTGGGTAGCTCCCAATCACGTTAAAAACAATACAGCATTAAATATTAAAAACTTCCCTAAACAGGGCTGCCTTCAGATGTCTTTTAAAGATAGGATAACTGCTTATTTCCTTGACATCTGAAGGGAGGGTGTTTCACAGGGCGGGCACCACTACCGAGAAGGCCCTCTGGTTCCCTGTAACCTCACTTCTCGCAATGAGGGAACTACCAGAAGGCCCTCGGCGCTGGATCCGGGCTGAACGATGGGGGTGGAGACACTCCTTCAAGTATATAGTACCAAAGCCGTTTAGGGCTTTCAAGGTCAGCACCAACACTTTGAATTGTGCTCAGAAACGTACTGGGAGCCAATGCAGATCTTTTAGGACTGGTGTTATGCGGTCTCGGCGGCCACTCCCAGTCCCCAGTCTAGCTGCCACATCCCGGATTAGTTGTAGTTTCTGGGTCACCTTCAAAGGTAGCCCCACATAGAGCGCATTGCAGTAGTCCAAGCAAGAGATATCCAGAGCATGCACCACTCTGGAGAGACAGTCTGTGAGCAGGGAGGGTCTCAGCCTGCGTACCAGGTGGAGCTGGTAGACAGCCGCCCTAGACACAGAATTGACCTGTGCCTCCATGGACAGCTGTGAGTCCAGAATGACTCCCAGGCTGTGCACCTGGTCAGGACCTACACTTCAACAATACCCCTAGGAGGGATGGCGCCAAACCAGATCCCGACTGCTGGATCAAGGAGCTTCCCATTCCCCCTGCAGGGCGATTGTGGGTCTTGCTGGGCGTTCAGCGCCACCGGTGCCCTGGAAGGCTTGCATTATAAGAAGACCCGCAAGCTGGTCTCGCTGAGTGAACAGAACCTCGTCGACTGCTCCTGGAAGCAGGGAAACCAAGGGTGCAACGGAGGGTACATGAACTGGGCCTTCAAGTACGTCTGGCTTAACAAGGGGATCAACTCTGAGAGGACCTATCCCTACGAGGCTGAGGTAATGTGGGAGAAGGGACCTGCCGTTCTGCGACCGCGGGGCGCGGGCCGACACTCAGCCAAAGCTCACGTCCCCAATGGCTCTGTCTTGGCAGGATGGGCCCTGTCGGTTCAACGCCTCCGACCGAGCGGCAACGTGCACTTCTAGGGTCAAGATCCCGAAGAGGAACGAGACAGCCCTGGCGCGAGCTGTGGCGAAGGTGGGCCCCGTTTCCGTCGCGGTGGACGCAAGTACCTTTATGTTCTACAAGTCGGGTAAGTTAACATTTTTTGATAGGAAGACAGGCTGTGCTCCCATCCTTATGTTGTAGCCTGTCAGACCTTTCCCATTGATTGGGTCTGCGTTGCTCCCGGGAAGGAGGAAGGGAGTCAAGAGACACCAAGGATGATTCAGAGAAAGAGTTTATTTCTGCTTTCCAAAGCAGCAGAAAGGCACTGTGTGATTGGTTCAGAGCAAGCACACTTAAAGAACAGTTACATACAGCCTATATTCTCTTTAGGTCCCCTTTCCCCCTCCCCAGGAATCCAGCCTCATGAGTCTGTACACGTAAGTTTGCATCCTTGAGCATGAATAGAAATTGTTCCTGTACTCTTATCTGGCACTCCTGGCGCCATTCCCGGGGTCTGTGCGTCTGCGTGGTCAGGATAGTTACAACCGGTAAGATAAGTTGGATGCGCCATCCCATCTCTACTTGGGACTGACAAGGCCATCTATTACGCCTTCATGGACTGATAAAGGAGAAGGCTTTGTTTATTCAGCTGGTTTGTGTTATACAGCTCAAGCTAATGCATTTTAGCTAATTAATCCTCAAAGAAAGAATTTGGGAAGTTTTGGGGCCTAATTGGGGTGACTACACAGTCAGGTTTGGGTAACCTGTCCCTTCAATGTCCTGGTGGATCAGATCAGCAATAACTCACAAGGTGCCAGTGAAGTTGACTCTTTATTCAAAAAAACAAAACAGTTCAGGACTACTGAGCACAACAACTCTTCCCAGCAGATGAGGAACTTGCGAGGACTTAAGGCACCCTAAGTCTCCTCCCCAAGTAATCTGAGATTTCTTTGCGGTCTCTCTTCGCTCCTCTCTCTTCATACCTCTTCTGGTCCTGTGAGACCAGCGTGGAGGGGAGCTGGTTGCAGCAGCTTGACTCAATGAGGGAGAGAGGGGCTTTTTCCAGGGACTTGAGCATGAGCCAGGGAGGGGACTTGCGTCATTCTCTGTTTAGCACCCCTGTCCCCCCACCATGACCGGCAACTCTTCCACCATCAGGAATCTTTCACCACAAGGACTGTGAACAGATGTTGAATCACGGCATGTTGGCAGTTGGCTATGGCACCGTCAAAGGAGATAAGAAGATTAAGGATTATTGGATCCTGAAGAACAGGTGAGAAAGGGTGGCTAAGAGGATAGAGGAGGGAAAACCACATAGGTCACACTTAGGTCTTTGGGGCAAAGAGGCAAGATGGAAACGAGGGACATAGAAAGATTCCCGAAACCGAGCCAGACCATTGGTTCATCTAGCATACTCAGTACTGCGTACACTGACCGGCAGCATCTCTGCAGGGCTAACAACAACAGCAACAACAATTTATTGTTTATACCCCGCCCATCTGTCTGGGTTTCCCCAGTCACTCTGGGCAGCTTCCAACAGAATATTAAAATACAATAATCTATTAAACACCAAAAGCTTCCCTAAACAGGGCTGCCTTCAGATGTCTTCTAAAAGTCTGGTAGTTATTTTTCTCTTTGACATCTGGTGGGAGGGCGTTCCACAGGGCGGGTGCCACCACCGAGAAGACCCTCTGCCTGGTTCCCTGGAACTTGGCTTCTCGCAGGGAGGGAACCGCCAGAAGGCCCTCAGAGCTGGACCTCAGCATCCGGGCTGGATGATGGGGGTGGAGATGCTCCTTCAGGTATAGTGGACCGAGGCCATTTAGGGCTTTAAAGGTCAGCACCAACACTTTGAATGGTGCTCAGAAACGTACTGGGAGCCAGTGTAGGTCTTTGAGGACCGATGTTATGTGGTCCTGGGGGCTGCTCCCAGTCATGAGTCTAGCTGCCGCATTCTGGATTAGTTGTAGTTTCTGGGTCACCTTCAAAGGTAGCCTCACGTAGAGCGCATTGCAGTAGTCCAGGCGAGAGATAACCAGAGCATGCACCACTCTGGCCAGACAGTCTGCAGGCAGCCGGGCTTCAGGCAGGGGACATTCCCAGTCCTAGTTTGGAGATGCCAGCACACTTCGAATCTGGGGTTTTCTGCATGCAAATCAGGTGATAATGATAATAATACTAAATTTTATTTATACCCCACCCTCCCCAGCCAAGACCGGGCACAGGGCGGCTAACACCCGATAAAAAAACAAGTTGATTGACATACAACTTAAAAACAAGATTAAAATACAACATTAAAATAATAATAATAATAATAATAATAATAATAATAATTTATTATTTATACCCCGCCCATCTGGCTTTCCCCAGCCACTCTGGGCGGCTCCCAATCAAGTGTTAAAACCAATACAGTGTTAAATATTAAAAACTTCCCTAAACAGGGCTGCCTTCAGATGTCTTTTAAAGATAAGATAGCTGCTTATCGGTGCCACCACCGAGAAGGCCCTCTGCCTGGTTCCCTGTAGCTTTGCTTCTCGCAATGAGGGAACCGCCAGAAGGCCCTCGGTGCTGGACCTCAGCGTCCGGGCTGAACGATGGGGGTGGAGACGCTCCTTCAGGTATACAGGACCGAGGCCGTTTAGGGCTTTAAAGGTCAACACCAACACTTTGAATTGTGCTCGGAAATGTACTGGGAACCAATGCAGATCTCTCAGAACCGGTGTAATGTGGTCCCGGTGGCCACTCCCGGTCACCAGTCTAGCTGCCGCATTCTGGATTAATTGCAGTTTCCGGGTCACCTTCAAAGGTAGCCCCAAGTAGAGCGTGCTGCAGTAGTCCAAGTGGGAGATAACTAGAGCACAGCCTCATTTCAATGGAAACTCAAATCAAAAACTTTTTTGAAAACGTCAAGTCTTCACCAAGAAAATGTCAAGTCTTCACCTAGGCTAACTTTCCAGACTGGTCCTACATGGGCCAGAAAAAAGCCAGGGAAGTCCCCAGATCGGAGTTCCATCACAGGAGGATCATCTGCCCCTTCATCTCTGGGCAAGCGAGTTCTTGCGTCTCTGAACGCAGGCTGCATATAGCTGCCTCATGACGCCGCCGGGGTTCCCCTCTGTGTGCAACCCGGCCGTTGTGACAGCTGGCATTTTCGCAGTTCAACCCCCTGCAATTCAGGAAAGCACAACTAAGTAATCTCAGGCTGATGGCCCACCACCAAACCTGTTTGGAAATCTGCAGCGAAGGAGAGTCCCCGGCTCACAAACACTGTGAGAGACAGAATCTCTGACTTTTGTCTTCTGCGTTCCCGGCGGTTTTCCTGTTGTCATTCTGTCTCTCACAGCTACAATAAACCTACCATTAAAATTATGGACTGGCCATTTCTTCGTCAAGAGGGCAAACGGGCAAATTTAGCAGGGGATCGAATACTCCCCCCCCCCTCACTGTACGTGGTTTTTGTTCCTATCTGCCGGTTTCAAATAAAAATCCGAAAGACCGCCCTGTATTTTAAAAAGGCGGGATGAATGGAAACTGCATATATACAGTGAGGAAAGATAGTATTTGATCCCCTGCTAAATTTTGCCCCTTTGCCCTCTGACGAAGAAATGACCAGTCGATAATTTTAATGTGTGCAAACCTGGTGGGAACATCTACAGGGAACATCTGACCTCTGTAATTGCCAACAAGGGTTTTGCCACCAAGTACTAAGTCATCTTTTGCAAAGGGATCAAATACCGTATTTTTCACTCTATAAGACGCACCAGACCACAAGACGCACCTACTTTTTGGAGGAGGAAAACAAGAAAAAAAATATTCTGAATCTCAGAAGCCAGAACAGCAAGAGGGATAGCTGCGCAGTGAAAGCAGCAATCCCTCTTGCTGTTCTGGCTTCTGGGATAGCTGCGCAGCTTGCATTCGCTCCATAAGACACACACACATTTCCCCTTTTTAGGAGGGGAAAAGTGAGTCTTACAGAGCAAAAAATACGGTATTTCGCTCATTATAATGCACATCGCACATCAATCTCTTGACTTTTGTCTTCTGGGTTTCTGGGGGGGAGGTTCCTGTTGTCTCTCACAGCTACAATAAACCTACCATTAAAATTATGGACTGGCCATTTCTTTGTCAGAGGGCAAACGGGAAATTTAGCAGGGGATCAAATACTTCCCCGCCCCCTCGCTGTAGCTAAGAGCCCGAAGGCCTAACGAACAAGAAATGCTTTGGCCTGGTACCAAAGGTTATGCAATGATGGTGGAGAGAATTCTGGGAACTGCAGTTTTTTCAAAGGGTGCCAGGAACCGTCACTCTGCGAGGGGTCTCCTTAACAACTCTTCAGCACCCTTAAAAAAATCACAGCTCCCATAATTCTTTGGGGGAAGCCTTGATGGCCTGAAGTGGTGCTTTAAATGTGTGGTGAACTTCTTGGGAGTTGCAGCGCCACTTGTTTGCGTAGCCCTGCCCCCTTCATTTGCATACCCCTGCCCCTTCATTTGCATAGCAGCACCCAGACTCCCGTTAGACTTATCGCCCCGCTGGAACAATTGGTTGCAGAGGCTCTCACCTGTTCTTCTTACCTTCCCACAGCTGGTCTGAAACTTGGGGCGAAAAGGGCTACATGCGACTCGCCAAAGGCTGCCACAATCAATGCGGCGTAGCGAGTGACGCCAGCTACCCCACTCTGTGACCTGCTGCACGGGGCCACGATCCCTTCTTCCAGATTATTTCCCTGGTTTCAGGAACGACGACGAGCCGCCGGGCTGCTTTGAGGCGTCCCAACAGGGCAGGCGTGAAGCTCTGGACATTCTGCTTGCGAATTTACCCCGAGAGCAAATTATACAGGAAGGCATAACATAAAATAAAAACAAATTCTGCACATATTAAGACAGTCTCAAGTGAATGTGTGTTCTAGAGAAGCTTGCATTTGGCAAGAACCAGTGTTAAAGTTCTACTTACAAAAGAAATCCAGGCAAATCTTTTACAGCTGCTTTAATGGTTTTTAGCATCCTTGTTTGGGACGCGGGTGGCGCTGTGGGTTAAACCACAGAGCCTAGTACTTGCTCATCAGAAGGTCGGCGGTTCAAATCCCCATGACGGGGTGAGCTCCTGTTGCTCGGTCCCTGCTCCTGCCAACCTAGCAGTTAGAAAGCACGTCAAAGTGCAAGTAGATAAATAGGTACCACTCTGGCGGGAAAGTAAACGGTGTTTCCGTGCGCTGCTCTGGTTCGCCAGAAGCGGCTTAGTCATGCTGGCCACATGACCCGGAAGCTGTACGCCGGCTCCCTCGGCCAATAAAGCGAGATGAGCGCCACAACCCCAGAGTTGGTCACGACTGGACCTAATGGTCAGGGGTCCCCTTTACCAGCATCCTTGTTGTGCAGCCGTTAAACTCCCAGTCTTCACAAACTAGGTCAAACTAGGACGAGGCAGTCTTGGGTTCAAATCCTCCATGGGCCATCAAGCTCAATGGGTGACTGTGGGCTAATCCCTCTCTCCTAACCCACCTCACAGGGTTGTTGTGGAGAGAGCTGATGCATGTACTCCCATCTCCTTGGAGGGAAAGATTGGATATACATAATGATAATCATAATAAATTATTTACACCCCGCCCATCTGGCTGGGTTTCCCCAGCCACTCTGGGCGGCTCCCAACAGAATATTAAAAATATGATAAAACATCAAACATTAAAAACTTCCCTAAACAGGGCTGCCGTCAGATGTCTTCTAATAGTCGGGTAGTTGTTTATCTCTTTGACATCTAGTGGGAGGGCGTTCCACAGGGCGGGTGCCACCACCGAGAAGGCCCTCTGCCTGGTTCCCTGTAACCTCACTTCTCACTGTGATGGAACCGCCAGAAGGCCCTCAGAGCTAGACCTCAGTGTCCGGGTTCAATGGTGGGGGTGGAGACGCTCCTTCAGGTATACTGGGCCGTTTAGGCCTTTCAAGGTCAGCACCAACACTTTGAATTGTGCTCAGAAACGTACTGGGAGCCAATGTAGGTCTTTCAGGACCGGTGTTATATGGTCTCGGCGGCTGCTCCCATTCGCACAGAGATAAACCAACATAAATTGTCCAAGATAGAAGCAATCATGTCTGAATTGGCTCTCGCTATCTCCAGCCTATACAGGGAGAGGAAGAAAACCAGCTGTCTTTCTGATTGCTTTCCCTGGGTAGCCAAGCTATTCCTTGAGAACACTTTACACCTCCTTATTTCAGCAGCCTTTTGTGAAAGAACATACTGTATATATCCTTTGGTAACAAAACAGTCCATGCAACTTCATTCATTTCTCTGCCAAACATTCCATCATTTGGAACCCTGCGAACCATTCTGGTTGCCTTATGTTTAATTTTTATTTTTAAAAATCTTTTTGTGTTTTAAAATGAAAATCTTCAAATATGGGGCAGGCAGGCATTGGACCTAAATGTACTGTTTTCTACCACCCATCTTCAGCCTCTAGAACAGGACAGGTAGACGAATCCAAATAAACAATCATCACTAATAAAAGCTGATCTATTGCTATTTTTTTGGGGGGGGCAGAAGAAAATCTTACACACACGCCCAGCCCCCATACATTCAAAGTACATGGATTCCCCAGGAAACTATCTTTTGTTTTGTTTAGTCGTGTCCAACTCTTCGTGACCCCTGGACCAGAGCACGCCAGGCACTCCTGTCTTCCACTGCCTCCCGCAGTTTGGTCAAACTCATGTTCGTAGCTTCGAGAACACTGTCCAGCCATCTCGTCCTCTGTCATCCCCTTCTCCTTGCGCCCTCCATCTTTCCCAACATCAGGGTCTTTTCCAGGGAGTCTTCTCTTCTCCTGAGGTGGCCAAAGTCTTGGAGCCTCAGCTTCAGGATCTGTCCTTCCAGTGAGCACTCAGGGCTGATTTCCTTCAGAATGGAGAGGTTTGATCTTCTTGCAGTCCATGGGATTCTCAAGAGTCTCCTCCAGCACCAGAATTCAAACACATCCATTCTTTGGCGATCAGCCTTCTTGATGGTCCAGCTCTCACTTCCATCCATCACTACTGGGAAAACCATAGCTTTAACTATACGGACCTTTGTCGGCAAGGTGATGTCTCTGCTTTTTAAGATGCTGTCTAGGTTTGTCATTGCTTCTCTCCCAAGAAGCAGGCGTCTTTTAATTTCGTGACTGCTATCACCATCTGCAGTGATCATGGAGCCCAAGAAAGTAGAATCTCTCACTGCCTCCATTTCTTCCCCTTCTATTTGCCAGGAGGCGATGGGACCAGTGGCCATGATCTTCGTTTTTTTGATGCTGAGCTTCAGACCATATTTTGCACTCTTCTCTTTCACCCTCATTAAAAGGTTCTTTAATTCCTCCTCACTTTTTGCCATCCAAGTTGTGTCATCTGCATATCTGAGGTTGTTGATATTTCTTCCAGCAATCTTAATTCCGGCTAGGGATTCAGACCTACAATTCCGATTGCAGGAGGGAGAAGAAACGTGCTTTCTATTTGCACTCTTGGACGTGGGGAAAAAAGACTCGGCAGCAAAGGGTTAACCATCCTTCGCCCGCTTCAAAGATGGCCGCCGGGGCGTCAAGGAAAACACCAGGCGCCTGCGCAAACAACGCGAAGGACGCGGTTTGGCCCCCGCGGCTCGCCGTAGCCCCCGCCCATCCGGGTTTTTTCCCCCTCCAAAGATGGCGGCGCCCAGGTCGGTCAGAGCTCGGCGGCTTTGGAACGGTCTGGCGACGGCCGCCGCCTTCTTCCTCCTCCTCCCTCTTCTTCCCGCGGCGGAGGCCGGGGCCGAGGGGGACCAAAGCACGGCCGAGTTCGACGTGAGGCCCGGCGGAGCCGCCCACTCGCTCTCGAAGAGCCTGGTGAGAGCCGGGCGGAGGTGGCGGCCGCTGGTTGGCTGAGGCGCGCCTGACCCGGCGGACGGGGCAGCGCTCTGATTGGCTGGAGCGAAGCCCCGGGCGGGGCCTCGCGGCGGGGATTGCGGGGAGGGCGGGGCATGTCCCTTCGCGGCACCCGTAGTTAGGGGGAAACTTTAGTTCTGTTAATAAATAAATTTCTGTTAATAATAAATTTATTATTTTCAGTAGATAAACATAGTAAAGAAAGAAAAGATTAACAATAATAAAGACAAACAAAAAAGAAAAGAAAAAGAGAAAAAAGAAAAAAAGATACATACAACATATTACCACTTAATTAATTAAAATTAAGTACCACCCATCTTCATAAACATAGTATTTGACTTCCTCGAATCTCTTCCATCCGAATTTCTTAGTAATTGTATGTAGCAGTTTCCAATATCAGTGGTATTTGAAACGCTAATTAATTAATTTTAAGCACAGTCTTACCAATTGTTTCGTTTTGGTGCTTGTTTATTGTTTTTATTGCATTTATTGATTGCAGTGATTTCATCTATTTTATTTTATTTATTTATTTTTATTCTTTTTTTAATACCGGCAGCAACCACAAAAACACATACAACGAAAACCACAAGAACACAAATAATGCAATTTAACGATTCAGATTTGAGTACTGATATACCTATAACTACACCCTTTCAACAATATTTCCCCACCTCTCCTCCACCTACTTCCCAACGCTTTCCGCCTTATCGCTTAAGTACTCCTTCCAGATTTCTTCATATTTATCCATTCTTAATTTGCGTCGATATGCAATTCGTTCGTATGTAACTAGTCTGTCCATATTGTCAACTTATTTATTTATTGCAGCAATTGCATTTTTTGCATTTACTTATTGCAGTAATTGCATTCATTTATTGCGCATATTTATTCATTTATTGCATTCATTCATTTATTACGTTTATTTATTGCAGTGAATGCATTTATTTATTGCACGTATTTGTTTACTTATTGCAGTACAGTGGTACCTCAGGTTACATACGCTTCAGGTTACAGACTCCGCTAACCCAGAAATATTACCTCGGGTAACTTTGCTTCAGGATGAGAACAGAAATCGTGCTCTGGTGGCAGCGGGAGGCCCCATTAGCTAAAGTGGTGCTTCAGGTTAAGAACAGTTTCAGGTTAAGAACGGACCTCTGGAACGAATTAAGTACTTAAGCTGAGGTACTACTGTAATTGCATTTGTCTCCCACCTTTCCCTCCATGGAGCTTCAAGGCGGTTCACGTGGTTCTCCTAACCCTCCTCATTTCATCCCCACAACAGCCTTGTGAGGTAGGGCTGGGCCGACAGAAGGCAGCGACTGCCCCCCCCCCAGGTCACATCCAGAGAGCTCCATGGTTGAGTAGGGCATTTGAACCCTGGCTTCTGCCAGGCCCTAGTCCGACACTCTATAACCATTACCCCACACTGGCTCTGGGAGAGTTTTCATATTACAGTGGTACCTCGGGTTACATACACTTCAGATGACATACGCTTCAGGTTTCAGACTCCGCTAACCCAGAAATAGTGCTTCAGGTTGAGAACTTTGCTTCAGGATGAGAACAGAAATCGTGCTCCGGCGGCGCAGTGGCAGCAGCGGGAGGCCCCATTAGCTAAAGAAGTGGTGCTTCAGGTTAAGAACAGATTCAGGTTAAGTACGGACCTCCGGAACGAATTAAGTACTTAACCCGAGGTACCACTGTATAGATTCATTATATTTTATATTCACACTTCAGTGTTTATTTTCCTCGGCTCCTCTCTCCATAACCTGTTAACCAGCGCTGTAACATGGAAGAAAGTGCTGAATGTTTTAAAGCCCTCGTTTCTGTTTCTTTCTTTCCTTCAGGGAGACTACACCTGTACCTTCACCTATGCTGCTCAAGGTGGGACCAACGAAGTGAGTTGTGTTAATCCTAAGGCCAATTTGACATAGGTTCCCCCCCCCCCAGCTACTGCCCTTAATTCTGAAGCTGGAGCGACACTCTTCAATTCTATAAGGTGGAACAACATTCTCCTAAACTCTTATATTTGGTGTGAGGCGTTACTGCCATAGGCATTGGGAGAGGGGGAGAAATAATTTTTCCTCCCCACCCGCAGTGTATGTGTGGGGTTTTATGTCAGCGTCACATCAATAGGTTCTTCATCTGTTCATTTAATAGTCTCCAATGGTGGTGAAAGTGATTGGGGAACCCACAGCATGGTTGATTGGGGGCGGGCTGGTGTGGAGGACTCCCTGGTCCTGAATGGGGAACTGTGCCCCTGAAGGACCAGGTGCGCAGCCTGGGAGTCATTTTGGACTCATAGCTGTCCATGGAGGCGCAGGTCAATTCTGTATCCAGGGCAGCTGTCTGCCAGCTCCACCTGGTACGCAGGATGAGACCCTACCTGCCCGCGGACTGTCTCGCCAGAGTGGTGCATGCTCTGGTTATCTCCCGCTTGGACTACTGCAATGCGCTCTACGTGGGGCTACCTTTGAAGGTGACCCGGAAACTACAACTACTACCTTTAAAGCCCTAAATGGCCTTGGCCCAGTATACCTGAAGGAGCGTTTCCACCCCCATCGTTCTGCCCAGACGCTGAGGTCCAGCGCCGAGGGCCTTCTGGCAGTTCCCTCATTGCGAGAAGGAAAGCTACAGGGAACCAGGCAGAGGGCCTTCTCTGTGGTGGCACCCACCCTGTGCAACGCCCTCCCACCAGATGTCAAAGAGAAAAATAACTATCTGACATTCAGAAGACATCTTAAGGCAGTCCTGTTTAGGGAAGCTTTAAATATTTATTTTATTTAGGGAAGTTTTTAATGTGTGACATCTTAGTGTATTTTTGGTCTTTGTGGAAGCTGCCCAGAGTGGCTGGGGAAACCCAGCCGGATGGGCGGGGTACAAATAATAAATTATTATTATTATTATTGGTTGAATTTGGTAGATTGCTGTGAGATTTATTTGTGTGTGAGAGGGGGTGGGAGGTTGTTGGGTCAAATTAGCCATATTGATCTGTATCAATAAACCCCAGCTGTGGGGTTTATGTTGTTGTCTTGTTGGGCTGTGTATGTAATAAAAAGGAGCCACAATGGGGTGGAGACATTCTCTTTTGTTTGTCTCCTGCTGATTTCAATTTGTTGGTTAGCTTTCCTAGTAGCGGCTGCAGTTTGCTCATGGCTAAGTTTTATCTGATAGGCAGATCTTGCTTATCTGATAGGTAAGTGCGGGCCTAAATGCTGAGATTGACTGTTATTCCTTTTCCCTTCCAAGAAATGGCAGATGAGCGTTGGGATCAGTGAAGATAACCTGCTGTTTTCCTGTTCCATCTGGAGGTGAGTAATAATAATAATACCTTTCCCGCCCCGACCTGGCCGCAGTGATCCATGCGACAGTCACCTCCAGGCTTGACTACTGTAATTCTCTCTATGCAGGGCTGCCCTTGAAGCTGTCCCAGAAACTCCAGTGGGTGCAGAATTCTGCAGCGAGGCTCCTCACGGGGTCTCTGCCATGGGAGCATATTCACCCAGTGCTTTTCCAGCTGCACTGGCTCCCGGTGGAGTACAGGGTCAGATTTAAGGTGCTCATTTTGACCTTTAAAGCCCTATATAGCCTAGGACCCTCGTACCTACGGGACCGCCTCTCCCGGTATGCCCCACGGAGGACCTTAAGGTCCATAGATAGCAACACCCTAGAGGTCCCGGGCCCTAAGAAGGTCAGATTAGCCTCAACCAGAGCCAGGGCCTTTTCAACACTGGCTCCCACCTGGTGGAACGCTCTGTCTCATGAGACCAGGGCCCTGCAGGATCTGATTTCTTTCCGCAGGGCCTGTAAGACAGAGTTGTTCCGCCTGGCCTTTGGCTTGGAGCCAATTTGATTCCCTCCCCCTCTTTCTTTTTTTCTTTTCCTCCTCCTCCTGCGATGAGGCTACATTTTAATATTTTAATGTTTCATTATTTTAATGTTGTATTTTAATTTTGTTTTTAAGTTGTAATCATTCAACTTGTTTTTATTATTGCTTGTACGCCGCTCTGAGCCTGGCCTTGGCTGGGGAGGGCGGGGTATAAATAAAAATTATTATTATTATTATTATTATTATTATTTATACCCCGCCCTCCCCGGCCAGAGCCGGGCTCAGGGCGGCTAACACCAGTAAAATTACAATTAAAACATAATAAGAAAAAAACCAATTTAAAATACAGGTTAAAATACAATGTAAAATGCAGCCTCATTTTAAAAGTAGCTGATAAATCAAGACCATAAGGGGAGAGGAACATAAGGGTCAGACCGAGTCCAAACCAAAGGCCAGGCGGAACAGCTCTGTCTTGCAGGCCCTGCAGAAAGATGTCAAGTCCTGCAGGGCCCTAGTCTGTTGTGACAGAGCGTTCCACCAAGTTGGGGCCAGTACTGAAAAGGCCATGGCCCTAGTTGAGACCAATCTAACCTCCTTGAGGCTCAGGACCTCCAAAGTGGTGTTATTTGTGGATCTTAAGGTCCTCCACGGGGCATACCAGGAGAGGTGGTTCCGTAGGTATGTGGGTCTTAGGCCGCAGGCTGGTGACTGGGAGCGGCCACCAGGAGCATATAACACTGGTCCTGAAGAATTTATGTTGACTCCCAGTACGTTTCCGAGCGCAATTCAAAGTTTTGGTGATGATCTTTAAGGCCGGAAACAGCCTTGGCTCCGAATACCTGAAGGAGCGTTACTGAGGTCCAGCTCCAAGGGCTTTCTGGCAGTTCCTTCACTGAGAGAAGTGAGGTTGCAGGGAACCAGGCAGAGGGCCTTCTCAGTAGTGGCACCCTCCCATCAGATGTCAAGTAACCATACAGTCGTACCTCGGGTTACATACGCTTCAGGTTACATACGCTTCAGGTTACAGACTCTGTTAACCCAGAAATAGTACCTCAGGTTAAGAACTTTGCTTCAGGATGAGAACAGAAATTGCGTGGTGGCGGCAGGTAGACTGAGGTAAAGTTCTCAAACCAAGACGCTATTTCCGGTTTTGCGGAGTTCATAAAGTGAATCGTTTGTAAACAGAAATGTTCTTAAACCGAGGTACCACTGTACTGTATAAGTACCCAGGGTGCACAGGACAACTCTATACCTTCTTGCTGCTTTCAGATACCAACCTTGCAACAACATGCAGTGTTGCCAGATTCTGCACAGCAGCGCTCAAAATTCGTCAGACGATGATGACCTGTGCCTCAAACTAGATTTAATGAGCACTCGCATCAGAGTGCTCTGTAGACTGATAGCTGTAGTCTTGTATATACTAACCTCTTACGCTCTGCCACATCCGTCTAATGTTCCTAACCCTTCTTTTAGACTTCCCTAGCTTCTTTTAGATTTTTACAAACTAATAATTTTTCAGATTTTAAATGACTGTACCCCCCCTTTTGGGACGCGGGTGGCGCTGTGGGTTAAACCACAGAGCCTAGGACTTGCCGATCAGAAGGTCAGCGGTTTGAATCCCCGCAACAGGGTTGCTCGGTCCCTGCTCCTGCCAACCTAGCAGTTCGAAAGCACGTCAAAATGCAAGTAGATAAATAGGTACCACTCCGGCAGGAAGGTAAACAGTGTTTCCGTGCGCTGCTCTGGTTCTCCAGAAGCGGCTTAGTCATGCTGGCCACATACCCGGAAGCTGTACGCCTGCTCCCTGGGCCAATAAAACGAGATGAGCGCCGCAACCCCAGAGTCGGCCACGACTGGACCTAATGGTCAGGGGTCCCTTTACCTTTACCTTTTTAGCCCCCCTTTATGCTGGTCTATGACCATAATAAAGATTTGGTTTGGTTTGGTTTGGTTTGGTTTGTATAGGGCAGGCACATCCAACTTCCAAGAGACTTCGATCTACTCTCACTATAAAAAAAACTGGCAGTGATCTACCCATTGGATTGACCAAAGTTGTTGAGCTTCTTGGGGGAGGATCAGCCACAGTTGTTGAGCTTTTTTTGGACATTGACCTGTTGGACATCCTTGGGATAGGAGAAGTGTTGGGATGGGCTTACAAACCCCAGTGGAGCTGGCTACGTAGAGACTGTGTCACACGTTCTCCTGTCTTGTTCCCTATACAGTGGTGCTCCGCAAGACGAATGCCTCGCAAGACGGAAAACCCGCTAGACGAAAGGGTTTTCCGTTTTGGAGGTGCTTCGCAAAACGAATTTCCTATGGGCTTGCTTCGCAAGACGAAAATGTCTTGCGAGTTCCTGCGGGTTTTTTTTCCTTTCCCCCCCTTTTCCCCAAGCCGCTTATCAGCTGATCCCTTAAGCCACTAAGCCGCTTATCAGCTGATCCGCTAAGCCCGCTAAGCCGCTAATAGCGCTAATCCGCTAAACCGCTAATGGGCTGGCTTCGCAAGACGAAAAAACCGCAAGACGAAGAGACTCGCGGAACGGATTCTTTTCGTCTTGCGAGGCACCACTGTATAAAGATCTCAGGGACAAGACCATCATGCCACTCCTATCTGCCATCCCGGGCCGCTCCTGTGAAGCCAAATTGTTCTCACTCCTAGCTGACCAGAACAGCTCGACAACAGAGAAGGTTGCTAAATTTATCGAGAGAGCAGTGAGACTGAGAGCTGCCATCTGAATGACATCAGTGTCGTCACTCGAATTTCTCGCTTAGGATCTTATCATTATTATCATTATGTTTTATTATTAGTATTTTATTATATCTGCCAAGTTTTAAGTACTGAGAGTATTAACTTATCTGCATCTGGTTATTATTATCTTTCTCCCTGTCCTGACCATTTATATTTATAATCTTTCAATTTGGCTGGTCTATTTACTTAACCGACCTGGAACAATTTACGAGAAAAGGCTATGGGACAGAGGGTCATTGATGAATGATAATCCAGCTTTTACCTAGGGTTTTAATAGGCCACAAGATTATACAGTAACTATATTTGTAATGTATTTTTGTTGGTGTTTGTCCTTTGATGCTATGGCCTGTTGGCTACGCAAATAAAGTCATTGTTGCTGTTGCCCCGCCCTGTAGATTGCATCACTTTTTCTCTGCTTCACAACTGTCCGTGGATCGCAGGGCAAAAGTCTGCAGAGGCTGGGACTGTGGCGGGTTCTAAATCACACGAATAGCCTCTTCGACTACGGTGGGCTCCCTGCCGTGCATGTTCAGTGTGGGGAGGGCTGTGAGGCCAGAGCCTGTTGGCTGCGCAGCAAAGATGACAAGGCCAACAAGCACTGCTCTTCCCCTCCCCTAGTTTAAGCACCTGAACATCTCCTCTTAATCACCCAGCCTGACATCTTTGCATAAGTAAAGGACCCCTGAATGGTTAAGTCTAGTCAAAGGCAACTGTGGGGTTGCAACGCTCATCTAGCTTTCAGGCTGAGGGAGCCGGCATTTGTCGACAGACAGCTTTCCGGGTCATGTGGCCAGCAGGACTAAACCGCTTCTGGTGCAACGGGACACTGTGACGGAAACCATAGTGCACGGAAATGCTGTTTACCTTCCTGCCGCAGTGGTACCTATTTATCTACTTGCACTGGTGTGCTTTCAAACTGCTAAGGTTGGCAGGAGCTGGGACAGAGCAACGGGAGCTCACCCCGTCGCGGGGATTCGAACCACCGACCTTCTGACTGGCAAGCCCAAGAGACTCTGTTGTTTAGACCACAGCGCCACCCGCGTCCCTGCATATAACCCGCATACAACCTCTTCCTCTCTTAATGCTGTGGCTTTACATTTTGTCCTTTCCTTTCACGTCCAAGGCCTCAAGGGAAGTCTTACCTCTTCTTCACCCAGTTTAAAGGCGAGGTCAAAGGAGCGAAGATCGAGTATGGCATGGCCTACGTAAGTCTTTTCTGTTTCTAGGGTGAGGTGGGGGGCTGGCCAAAGGTCTCCTGTTTGATCCCTGGCATCTCCACGTAGAAACAGCCCTGTCTAAATTTCATTGTGTTTATTTATTGTGTTTATTTATTTATAGCAGTGTTTGTATGCTGCTGCATCATAGAAAAATACAAATAAAAACATATCAAAAGTGTTTACAGCAATAAAACCACACAATAGAAACCATAACAATATTAAAAACAGACACCAATTGTTCTTAGTTATTGAATACAGTTATTCAATTGTATTCTTTTTTAATTAATTAATTAAACATAATTATTACAAAATATAAGCAAAATATTGCAAATACATACATAAAGGTAAAGGTAGAGGGACCCCTGACTATTAGGTCCAGTCGAGAGTTTACAAGGAGATGGTAAATACTATCCTTCATTGCCATCCTTCCTTTCCTGTTTATGACCTCCGGGATTTGCTAAATGCATTCCGCATTCCTCCTTGATTCCTGTTTTATTTACCTGGACATGTAAAGGTAAAGGGACCCCTGACCATTAGGTCCAGTCGTTACTGACTCTGGGGTTGCGGCGCTCATCTCGCTTTACTGGTCGAGGGAGCCGGCATACAGCTTCCGGGTCATGTGGCCAGCAGGACTGAGCCGCTTCTGGTGAACCAGAGCAGCGCACGGAAACGCCGTTTACCTTCCCGCCGGAGCGGTACCTATTTATCTACTTGCACTTTGACGTGCTTTCGAACTGCTAGTTGGCAGGAGCAGGGACAGAGCAATGGGAGCTCACCCCGTCGCGGGGATTCGAACCGCCAACCTCCTGATCGGCAAGTCCTAGGCTCTGTGGTTTAACCCACAGCGCCACCTGCATCCCTAAATACATACATACATATATATATATTTCAGATGAGCACACACATATATCTAAAAAGAACAAAAGAGAAAAAAGAAGAAAAGAAAAGAAAAAAAGAAGAAAAGTTGGAAGAATTTCTTCCAAATTCTACAAATATCTCAATATGAAAATAATTGTATTCTTAATGGCCTTCATAGGTCTGGTAGGCTAGTAAAGGTATCATCAGGCATTTGAAAGTTGGCACAGGAGGCGCCTGCTGAATCTCTTTTGGCAGGGAGTTCCACAGGATTGGGGTGACTCTTGCTATTATCAAATGAGCCTCCCCCACCCCAGTAGTGAGTTGGGTTATCGGGGTTTGGGCAGTCCCTGGACCTAAGTTGTGCAGGGATTAGTAGATTAGCCCTGAATGGGGTAATTGTGCCCCTGAAAGACCAGGTGCGCAGCCTGGGAGTCATTTTGGACTCACAGCTGTCCAAAATTGCAGGTCAATTCTGCATCCAGGGCAGCTGTCTACCATCTGGTACGCAGGATGAGACCCTCGCTGCCCTCAGACTGTCTTGCCAGAGTGGTGCATGCTCTTGTTATCTCCCGCTTGGACTACTGCCATGCGCTCTGAATGCGGCAGCTAAACTGGTGACCGGAAGCGGCCACCGAGACAATATAACACTGGTCCTAAAAGACCTACGTTGGCTCTCAGTACATTTCTGGGCACAATTCAAAGTGTTGGTGCTGACCTTTCAAGCCCTAAACAGCTTTGGCCCAGTATACCTGAAGGAGCGTCTCCACCCCCATTGTTCTACCTGGACACTGAGGTCCAGCTCCGAGGGCCTTCTGGCGGTTCCCTCATTGCGAGAAGCAAAGTTACAGGGAACCAGGCAGAGGGCCTTCTCGGTGGTGGCGCCCGCCCTGTGGAACACCCTCCCATCAGATATCAAGGAAATAAACAACTACCTGACTTTTAGAAGACATCTGAAGGCAACCCTGTTTAGGGAAGCTTTTAATGTTGCATGTTTTATTGTGCTTTTAATATTCTGTTGGGAGTTGCCCAGGGTGGCTGGGGAAACTGAGCCAGATGGGTGGGCTATAAATAATAAATTATTACTATTATTACAACAGACTTGAACCTGGCTTGGTAGTAAGGGGGAAGCCACTTTAGGCTACTGAGAAAAGCAACTAACAAATAAGTAAGCAAAGACCTTCAGGTCCTTCTGCCAGTCAGGTCCTTCTGCCAAACATTGCTTGACTACAACTCCACTGGCCAAGGCTTGCTTGGGATGATAAGAATTGGAGTCTCAAAGAACCTGGCGGTCCAAAGGGTTCCTTCCCCAAACTTGGTGTTGATGGCATTGGGCTTGGATAGACCCAGCGCCCTGAATCAGTGGAAAGCAGATTTCTGCATTCCTGTGACAACTAGTTTGAGCAGCAGGCGGGAGAGAAATTTTTGGACATGGCCGTCTGAGTACCTTCTGTCTTGTTGCAGTCCACAGCTGCAGTTGGAGGGCAGAGTGACGTTCCCTTAAAGGAGGAGGAATTCCAGGTGACCGAAACGGCAGGTGAGTAGCAGTGGGAGGAGCTGATGACACTACTTTGGGGGTACAGAGGGCTGCTTGGGGCGGACAAAGCCTCCAGAGCGTTCGTGGCAGGAGCTCAGCACCACATGTGGTAGAAGATACCTTCCCTTCCCTTACATTTCCAACACTCATTGGTTCTTGTCTTGCACATTTTAGCTAGTTTAAAGGTAAAGGTAAAGGGACCCCTGACCATTAGGTCCAGTTGTGGCCGACGTTGCGGTGCTCATCTCGCTTTACTGGCTGAGGGATCCGGCGTACAGCTTCCGGGTCATGTGGCCACCATGACTAAGCCGCTTCTGGCGAACCAGAGCAGCGCACGGAAACACCGTTTACCTTCCCACCAGAGCGGTACCTATTGATCTACTTGCGCTTTGGCGTGCTTTCAAACTGCTAGGTGGGCAGGAGCTGGGACCGAGCAACGGGAGCTCACCCTGTCGCGGGGATTCAAACCGCTGACCTTCTGATCGGCAAGCCCTAGGCTCTGTGGTTTAACCCACAGCGCCCCCCGCGTCCCTCTCAAGAGACTGCTTGTGGGCAAATTGGTTACCTGTGCCCCTTTGGTCTGAGAACAAATCATGTCTCCACAGCGCCACCTGCGTGATCCTACACGACAGATGGCCATCCAACCTCTGTTTAAAAAGGAGAGACTGTTCCGCTGTTGAACAGCTGTGATCCTGCCTTTCCTTGTGTTTTCTGCCCTTCTGTTCACCCTGCTGTCGTCTTCTCCCCTTTGCAGTGTCTCACAAGGAAGGTAAATTCCGCTCAGAACTCTCGAAGCTGCTGATCGTCGCCAAAACGGCCCACGACGAGCTGTGAATCGCCGAGATCCCATGCCTGTTAGAAGGTGCTGTGCTTTGCCGGGGACATTGCAAGCGGATCTTCTGGCCGACTCTTGCAGGGGTGGGGACCTCCTGTGCGACGCTGGAGTAGGAATTGGGGGAAGCATTTGCAAAACTGCACAGTGCTTCGGCACCACAAACCCTGAAAGCTCCTCTTGAGATGTTTCTGGTCTTCTGCTTTGGAATACGAATTGTCACCGGCGGTGCGGGGAATAAATGTGGGGCGCCGTTTATCATCCTAGCAATCTTCGTTTCCAGTCTGATGGTGCATCACCAGATCTGGGAGAGACCAGCGGCAGCTGTCACAGAGAGACTGCGTCCGAAAACCATCACAGAAGTTTCGATTCCTCTGATCGTTTTTCATCCAGAAAGGACCAAATAAATACACCGGCGCATTCCCCCCCCTTCTCTCCCCCCTCCGTAATCCAGCTTAATAACCACAACAGAAGCCCACCTTCTCTCTTCCTTGGTGAAAAAGGGCAATAGTTCGAATAAATCAGAATATATATATCTTACAGTTTGTCTCTGTTATTGTCTTTGCAGCTGCTGCGTCCATTTCCTGGGCGCTAATAAAAATCGGTGTGCAAGTCTCGTCTATGTTGCTCTCAAGAGCAGGGGTCAGCAGACTTTTTCAGCTGGGGGCCGGTCCACTGTACCTCAGACCTTGTGGGGGGCCGGACTAAATTTTGAAAAATGTATATGAATGAATTCCTATGCCCCACAAATAACCCAGGGATGCATTTTAAATAAAAGGACACATTCTACTCATGTAAAAACACGCTGATTCCCAGACAGTCCACGGGCCGGATTTAGAAGGTGATTGGACTGGATCCAGCCCCTGGGCCTTAGTTTGCCTACCCATGCTCAAGAGCATTGAAAAGAGAAATGTTTTGTTATTAGTATTGTTATTTTTAGTTTTCTTGAAGGAACAATGCAACTCAAAACACCATAAAAAACCACCAAACCCCTGGTGCAAGGTCAAAATAAACTTGTACGGTTATGTTGTAGAATGACATGGAACGATAAATGGTGACTCTACCACATAAATACATTCCCACCCACAGCTTCAGAAAAATTTAAAAGCAAAAGCCAGAGTTGCCCCCTCATTTCTATAACCACTATGTATTTTAAAGAAAAGAAATCTCAAGGTGATTTGCAACACGTTGAAACATCCCCCAAAACCCAGAACAAAACGTTACTGAAGAAAATCACATGTAAAGTATACATTCAAAGCAACATACAGTGATGGGGGGGGGAAGTATTTGATCCCCTGCTAAGTTTGCCCCTGACAAAAAAATGACCAGTCCATAATTTTAATGGTAGGTTTATTGTAGCTGTGAGAGGCAGAATAACAGGAAAACCCCCAGAATCCCAGAAGACATGCGCCACCAATTCACGACTGCCATCTCCACAGGGACATAAGCGTTTCTTGTGTGGATTCTGTTGGAATCGTCCCTCAAGTCCAGCCGAGGGCAATACATTCAATCTTGCGAGAGTAAAAGCGCATCTATCTTTTAGAATTGCTAGGTTATGCAGATGGGGTGCCAGAGAGTCAAAATGGAAAGGTGGAAAATAGTCATACCACAGGCAAAATCCTTATTGTGGCCAAGTTGTTTTGACGCTCGATATCATTTAGGTAAAGGTAAAGGTACCCCTGACCATTAGGTCCAGTCGTGGACGACTCGGGGGTTGTGGCGCTCATCTTGCTTTATTGGCCGAGGGAGCCGGCGTACAGCTTCCGGGTCATGTGGCCAGCAGGACTAAGCCGCTCCTGGCGAATGAGAGCAGCGCACAGAAACGCCGTTTACCTTCCCGCCGGAGCGGTACCTATTTAACTACTTGCACTTTGACGTGCTTTCGAACTGCTAGGTTGGCAGGAGCAGGGACCGAGCAACGGGAGCTCACCCCGTCATTGCGGGGATTCGAACCGCCGACCTTCTGATCGGCAAGTCCTAGGCTCTGTGGTTTAACCCACAGCGCCACCCGCGATATCATTTAGGCGCTGACAAATTAGACTGTTTGCTTTACTAAAACCCAAAGTGAGTCGCTGTTGCGGTGATAAACCACAGGAGTGAAGTTTTTGATGGACAATTTTAGTCCAGGCGCTGGTGTGACAATATGGCAGCACTAGGGATATTAAACTGGGGAATATTGAGTTTAGGCGAAGCCAATAGTTAAGTTTCCTAATCCAGATCCGTAATTCTACCGGGGGAAGATTAGCCTCTTGGACAGATAGAAAAATAGAATTGTAGAGTTGGCAGGAACCCTGACGGTCATCTAGTCCAACCCCTTGCAGTGCAGGAATATGCAACTCGAACCTGCAACCTTGGCATTACCAGCAACCACACTCTTTAACCAGCGGAGCGAGCTTTGGTCTGACTCGGTAGGGAATCTTACTGTGTTTTGCCGCGAGCAGCCGTCCTTCCTCTGAGGACAGCTTTCCTTGGCATGTAATTAACAAGGCTCTCAGCAGGTTGCTGACTAACGAGTGGAAAGGGATTGCTGCTGCATCTCTGGCCTCCTTCCTTGGCAGCATCAATCACCTGTCGTTCTGCGGCGCTTCCGTGCAGCTGCCGTCACTCCAGCTGCTCAGCGTTCGCCGGCAGCTGGTGGGGTGTGGAAGCAAGATGCTCCAAGATTCTGGGAGACAAGCAAGCTTTGACTTGCTTCATTTTTAGAAGGGAGACCTCCTGGGCTTAAAGGGTCGGCTTAAGTCCAGGAATATCTTCCCAATAGGGCCGGCTCACCCATGAGGCAAGGTGAGGCGACTGCCTCAGGTGGCAAGGTTCACAGAGGCAGCAGATCCCACTGTAAATCCTTATTCATTAGTATTATTACAGTGGTACCTCGGGTTACATACTTAATTGGTTCCGGAGGTCCGTTCTTAACCTGAAACTGTTCTTAACCTGAAGCACCACTTTAGCTCATGGGGCCTCCTGCTGCCGCCGTGCCGCCAGAGCACGATTTCTGATCTCATCCTGAAGCAAAGTTCTTAACCTGAAGCACTATTTCTGGGTTAACGGAGTTTGTAACCTGAAGCGTCTGTAACCCGAGGTACCACTGTATTATTATTATTATTATTATTATTATTATTAATAATAATAATAATAATAATAATAATTTGGTTTTTCAAATTACAGTTTTACAATCTCATATGGTGCTGGAGGAGACTCTTGAGAGTCCCATGGACTGCAAGAAGATCAAACGTATCCATTCTTAAGGAAATCAGCCCTGAGTGCTCAATGGAAGGACAGATCCCGAAGCTGAGGCTCCAATACTTTGGCCACCTCATGAGAAGAGAAGACTCCCTGGAAAAGCCCCTGGTGTTGGGAAAGATTGAGGGCTTTCCCAAAGCAGGGGGCCGGTCCACCTTGTGGGGGGCTGGACTATATTTTGAACAAAATAATAATGAGCGAATTCCTATGCCCCACAAATAACCCAGAGATGCATTTTAAATAAAAGGACACATTCTACTCATGTAAAAACACGCTGATTCCTGGACCATCCGTGGGCTGGATTGAGAAGGCAATTGGGCCGGATCCGGCCCCTGGGCCTTAGTTTGCTCACCCATGTGCTTCACTGAAGTATGAAATATATTCTAGAAGACGACGAAAACACCAAAAGACACACAGCGGAATGTGGATGGTTTAATTTATTTCCCCCGGCGATTATGATCTTTAAGCTTAAAGGCTCAAAGAGTCTAAAGAGTAGAAAACAAAACAAAACAAAACAAAACTCAACAACACATGTAAAAGAATAAACTTGAAGATGACCTCGAAATCGTTCCAGATTATACCCCAAAATGAACTTAATTCACATTCTGTTCACCTAGAAATTCTGGGAACTGCTTCCAGGTGTAGCTCAGAGATTTCTGAACTAAGTCACTGAACATTGCCAAACCAAACTAGCACAGTGCTAGGTATACTTTCTCTCTGAATGCAACGCTGTGACCTTCAGACGCCTTTAAAAAGGGTCAGCCAAATTCATGGAGAAGGAACGAGGACCAAGGAATTGGCCAAAGGTACAGTGATACCTTGCTTTGCAAGTGTTTTGGATTACAACCACGTCAGACCCGGAAGTGCGTGTCCCTTTTTTGGGATTACAACCCATTTTTTTGGACGCTCCATTGGCGAAAGAGAGCCTTGGGTTACAACCTGTTTTGGTTTACAACCGGACCTCCGGAACGGATTATGGTTGTAAACCAAGGTACCACTGTATCTAAGTGCTGCCAAACTGCAGGGCAGAATAAATCTTCCCTCCATAGCTGTCAACTTACAGATTTGAAAATAAGGGACCAGCAGCCTCGAAAATAAGGGACCAGCGGAAGACACAAGAGCTACCCACACTGGAGGAATGGCAGATGAAAATGATGGACTATATGGAATTGGCGGAAATGACTGGCAGAATCCGTGACCAGGGAGAAGAGTCGGTGGAAGAAGATTGGAAGAAATTTAAAGATTATTTACAGAAAGATTGCAAAATCAATGAATGTTAGAGTGATGTTGGATTGAATTTAAGTGGCTTCTAGCTGAATAGGTTTTAAGGCTACAAATGTATCAAGATTAGGGATTAGGACTAAAAAGATTAAGAGAAATGGAAAAATTGGTTTTAAACAGGTAAAAATCTAATTTCATAATATATCAAGATTTAGGACTGGAATTAAAAAGGAGGGTAAGAAATTGCTGGGTTTACAAACAGAAATGGAATACGAAAGAGGGAGGTATGAGGAAGTCCGGGAAATAAGTAAATTTAAAAGAGGTTATGAAAGGATGGGATTATTTTTAATTGTTTTTTCTTTCTTGTTTTTTTTCTTTTTTCTTTTTTTACTTTTTACTATTCTGTACTTTGTATTTTGTATGGTGTATTTTTCTTTGTTTTTGTTAAAATTTTTGTGTTTATCAATGTGATTTTATTTTTTATGAAACTTTAATAAATATTAATTAAAAAAAAGAAGAAAAAAAGAAAATAAGGGACCAGCAGCCAAAATAAGGGATTTTACTCAACCAGCTCCTTTCCTTTCCTCCATGTCGGACGTGTACAGTACTGTGATACGACAACGGAAATAGGTAAGGGAATGGTCATTAAAAGAAAAAATTGGCTTGGGCAGGTTGGCTTCAGGATCGTTACCAGGTCCCGGCGAGAGGTGACAAGGCCCCAGAGAAAAACAGCGCAGCAGGTAATCTAAAGGGATCCCCCTCCCCCTAGATCAGGCACGTCCAACTCCCAAGAGACCTGTTGCACATGCCTGCAGTGGCGGAGCTTCGTGCTGTGGCACAGGTGGTAGGCTGGCGCGTGTCCTGGGGGTGGGGCGTCCAGCATGGGGGGCGAGAGGGGCAGCCGCAATTGCACCCTGCCAGGATCGCGCTGCCGGGGGCTGGGTGCTTCCCCCACCCTCCTCTTCCTCCGCCAGTGCATGCCTGCCCTAGATCGTCCGCCGAGCAAGACCCTGCATAACTAGCTGTGCATGTGAAAGTCATAAGGCATGCCTCGGGCGGCTGAAGCAGCGATAGTTCTCTCCTCACTGGCCCTTTAAAGAAGGGGGTGAGCCCTGCCGCCCGACAGGACGGGCCGGACGCGGTTACCTCTGCCTGCTTAGAACTCCCAAAGTCTCGCTGGAGTCCAGGGAAGGGGGGAGCTAGCTGGCTGCTTTTCGTTCGGGGAAGGAAGCCCCCAGATGGCACCATAGTCGTGCCCCACCCCCAAGTGCACATCATTTTTGCAGCTCCTGGTGCGCCCCGGGAGTTACGGACTCTTGGGTGTGTTGGGTGGAGGGCGCTGTGACTCTCCAACAAGCTGACATTCTCCCCCGAAGGCGCGCTCCTCCCTTATCTCCCGAGACAGACGGATGCTCACCGAAGCCCTGGCGCGATGTAAGCAGACCCTTGTGGGGATGGGTCTTATCCCTGCGAGTGGGGGGTGGCTGGGAGGTGGGGGTAGTAGCCCTTTTCTCCCAGGCAGCATTGAAACCCGGGAAATTTAAGGGACATCATCAATCCGGGACAGCAGCGGGACACGGCGCTGGGATAAGGGAGTGTCCCGCAAAATAAGGGACAGTTGACAGCTATGCTTTCCTCCCACCCTGCAGTGTTTAGGAAGAGGAAGGGGTTGGTTGTTTTTGTGTGTGTGGCAACCTCTTAGCCCAAATTGCCACGAGGGCTTCCCCAAAGAACCTGCCTGTCTGCTTTTGGAATCAGGATGCTAAGCTAGAGAGTCTTGCAGCCTGATGACCCTGTAAAGCAAACCTTCTGCTTTGGAGAAGGCCGGATCCAGACCCACCTTCCATCTGGTGGTAAGGGAAGGTCTTTGCCAAACCATTTCATTTCGCGGCAATGAGGTGTGGGATGTAATCCATTGGAGCAGTCAAATACAACATTCCTTGTTTCCCTAGAGTGGACGCAGGCAGGGGATGGTACTCCAGTCAGTATAACTTCCTGTTCTGCTGGTCTTCCCCTGCATTTGACCTGGGAGATGGGTGCAGCCCAGGCTGACTCCATAAAAGAGCCAAGTCACGCAACCATTTTCTTCTCTTGATGCTGTTCTCTTAATGTTTTTTGCTGTCTGCTGGCTCTCAGCCAGCAGCACACGATCTTAATCTCCATATGAGATGAACTCACACTGTGTTCTGTAACTACAAGCTAAAGTCTGCCTTCAGGGATCAAACTGAACTGAATGTGAGTAAACTTCTTGTTACTTTTATGGAAAGACTCATGTGCCTTTATTCTTTTAAGTCTGCCTTCAGGGATCAAACTGAACTGAATGTGAGTAAACTTCTTGTTACTTTTATGGAAAGACTCATGTGCCTTTATTCTTTTAAGAGGGATAAAAGGGGACACCAGGAATAATCCATCTGGGCAAGCCAGATTGGATTACAGTGGTACCTCGGGTTAAGTACTTACGGTAATTGGTTCCGGAGGTCCGTTCTTAACCTGAAACTGTTCTTAACCTGAAGCACCACTTTAGCTAATGGGGCCTCCCGCTGCTGCTGCACCGCCGGAGCCCGATTTCTGTTCTCATCCTGAAGCAAAGTTCTTAACCTGAAGCACTATTTCTGGGTTAGCGGAGTCTGTAACCTGAAGCGTATGTAACCCGAGGTACCACTGTACTTAACTAAAGAGATTCAAAACTGAGGAGAATCTGCTCTGCTGCATGACTCGAATGTGAGCGAAGGAAGAATAATACTTAATCAATATATCCTCTCCTACTATCATTAACATTCCCACATGAAGTGGAGGAGGAGGACGGACCATTTTAACCAGGAACAACACCCTCCCCGCAAGCCCCTAAGCATGACCAAGCCGAACCCCAAAAGACCACAAGTTGCTTCGTGCCATACAGCATGGAGAAGTCCAAGTGGAGGCCACCAAAATCAACAACCATCTCCTGATGTTCCCTTGCCAACACAGAAAGCTTTCTGAAAGCTGGCAGGCCGGGCTCTCAGATGTTCCCTTCGTCGAGCATTTGGTTGAGCCCTTCGCAGATCCTCTGCAGGTGCGTGCGGTAAGGCTCGGACGACCCGTAGAGGGCCGAGAGGAACTCGTAGTCCGCAAAGTGGTTGAAGACGTGGTTGATGCGCGAGTGGGACTTGGCTGTCAGGTGGGTGTTGACCGCCTGGTGGAGCAGCTCGGAGCATTCCTTCAGCATGCTGGACAGGACCCGCCGGTCGAAGGTGAAGTCTATCTGGTAGAAGCTGACGGCGGTCATGGCCAAAGCGTGCAACTTCTTCCGGAAGCGATCCATGAGGGCCAGCTCATCCGCGTTGAACTGTCCGTTGCGGTAGAGGACGCCCAGCTTCATGACCATCTTGATCAGGTTCTTGATGATCTTCTGGGCTTCCTTGCGGTTCCTCGTGTACTCCTTGGTGACCCGGTACAGTTCGTCCAGGATGTCGCTGCTGGTGTCATCAATGAAGATGCTGGCCATGTTTTTGGACGCCATCTTGCTCAAAAGCTTCTTCTGAGCTTGCAGAGCCAGGTTCTTGGTACTGAAAGTGTCCATCTTTTCTGGAAAAGGCGAGAGCACACAGACATAATAGTAATAATATTATTATTATAATAAAATAATAATAATAATAATGGTAATTTATTATTTAGAGGGACGCGGGTGGCGCTGTGCAGGAGCAGGGACCGAGCAATGGGAGCTCACCCCGTCGCGGGGATTCGAACTGCCAACCTTCTGATCGGCAAGCCCTAGGCTGGACGAGACGGCTCTCAGGGCGCCTTCCAACTTGACAATTGTATGATTCTAGCTTCGTTTTAGAAGCCGGACTTGGCCAACATCTCTGTTTGGGGCTCAATTACCGGAGCGACTGCTGGCTCCTGTCGTTTGCAACCAGAGACCCTGCTCTACATAGCCATCTCTCTTGCCAAGGGGATAAATCTTTCATACAGCTGTACAAAGAGGACCTGAATAATTTACGGAGCAGCTTGTGGAAGAGAGATGCAGGGAAGGAGGGACAGGAGCAGACCAGAAAGATAAAAAAAGGAGGCCTCAATTGTTTTCAGCGGTGACCACCTCCATCCGTACTGTTGCCAAACCCGGATACGTGCGGTTTGTCCCGAGGAACGAGGGCTGACTCAGCTTCGAATGAACGAGTTTGCTGAATTCGTTCAAAGATCTCTGGACCTCCCCTTGAAATCAGCCCCAGTGGAACTGAACATGAATTATGTTCGTTTTGGGGGTAGGACTAGAGCTCTGTATGTATAATAATAATAATCATCATCATCATCATCATCTATTATTTATACCCCGCCCATCTGGCTGGGCTTCTCCAGCCACTCTGGGCAGCTTCCAACCAAATATTAAAATACAGTAATACATCAAACATTAAAAGCTTCCCTAAACAGGGCTGCCTTCAGATGTCTTCTAAAAGTTTGGTACTTGTTGTTCTCTTTGACATCTGGTGGGAGGGCGTTCCACAGGGCGGGTGCCACCACCGAGAAGGCCCTCTGCCTGGTTCCCTGTAACTTGGCTTCTTGCAGTGAGGGAACCGCCAGAAGGCCCTCGGCACTGGACCTGTTTCCGGGCAGAACGATGGGGGTGGAGACGCTCCTTCAGATATACTGGGCCAAGGCCATTTAGGACTTTAAAGGTCAGCACCAACACTTTTAATTGTGCTCGTAAACGTACGGGGAGCCAATGTAGGTCTTTCAAGACCGGTGTTATGTGGTCTCGGCAGCTGCTCCCAGTCCCCAGTCTAGCTGCCGCATTCTGGATTAGTTTCCGGGTCACCTTCAAAGGTAGCCCCATGTAGAGCACTGTATCCAGTACAGTGGACGCTCGGGTTGCGAATGTGATCCGTGCGGGAGGCACGTTCGCAACCTGCAGTGCCGCGATTTAGCGCTTCTGCGCATGCACGAGCTCCGAAACCCGGAAGTAACCCGTTCCGGTACTTCCAGGTTTGGCGTGGTGCACAACCCGAAATCACGCAACCTGAAGCGTCTGTAACCCGAGGTATGACTGTATTGAAGACCCGATTGGATGCGTCTCCTTTTCAGTTGAGGTGAGTTTGCTCTACAGACTGTGTTGCAAAGGAACAACTGGAAGTTGCCTCCAGTCAGCTAATCGGCACCGACTTCAAACTCTGCTCTCTGCTGGGATCAGCTGTGCTATGGAATCTTGTAATGCCGCTGATCCCAGCAGGCTTGAAGTCAGAGACGATCCCTGATGGGCGGGCACTGCCTTCAGATTCTGCTTTGGCTACTGGGATCGGCTGTGCTGTGGTGCTCCCTGCAGAAATTCTGCACGAAAACTGAGGGCTTTGAGTCAGCGCCGATCAGCTGATAGGTACTGAATTTGAGTGCTGTTGTTTGCTGGGATCGGCTGTGCTTATAGAATTCCCCATGGAGAACTCTATAAATCCAGCAGATTTTGGCTGAACATTAGGAAACGCTTTTCCAATGACAAGAGCAGTTGGCTCCTCACCTCTCTCTCCCTGACCTAGCCACTGTGATCCACGCGACGGTCACCTCCAGGCTTGATTATTGTAACTCACTCTACGTGGGGCTGCCCTTGAGACTGACCCAGAAACTCCAGCGGGTGCAGAATGCCACGGCGAGACTCCTTACGGGGTCTTTGCCGCAGGATCACATTCACCCAGTGCACTAGCTCCCGGTGGAGTACAGGATCAGGTTCAAGGTGCTGGTTTTAACCTTTAAAGCCCTATACGGCCTAGGACCCTCGGACCTACGAGACTGCCTCTCCTGGTATGTCCCACAGAGGACCTTACGGTCTTCAAATAAAAACATCTTGGAGGTCCCGGGCCACAGGGAGGTTAGGCTGGCCTCGACCAGAGCCAGGGCTTTATCGGCCATGGCCCCAACTTGGTGGAACGCTCTGTCGCAAAAGACTAGGGCCCTGCGGGACTTGACATCTTTCCGCAGAGCCTGCAAGACAGAGCTGTTCCACCAGGCCTTTGGTCAGGGCGCAGCCTGACCCCCTTTCTCCTTCTGTAATCTTCACAGAACTCTAACCCGATGGTTGCCATTAATTTGATTCTGATTTGATTCTAGAATGTATTTTAATTAACTGCGCGATTTTATGTACACTGTGCTATTTTTACCTGTTGTTAGCCGTTCTGAGCCCGGCTTTGGCCGGGGAGGGCGGGATACGAATAAAAATTTATTATTATTTTATTATTATTATTATTAAGAGCTGTTCAACAACGGAACAGGCTTCCTTGGGAGGTGATTGGCCCTTTGGGACAACTACCTGTCAGGGATGTTGTGGTTGCACTGGAAGCCGTGAAGCCAGCAGGGGGTTGGACTAGCAGATCTCTCAAGCACCATACGCCACTATGATTGCAATGGGAACAAGCCCTTCTGCAAGTGTGCTGCTGGCAAAGTTGAGCTTTCTGGAAAACCCGGCTAAGATTGCAAGCGCAGGCTGACAATTGACGGAGGAAGCCGTTCCATGGAAGGGCAACTTGGCATGCTCTGGAGCGGCATAAATATTCCCGCTAATGAGCCAATTAGTTACACCAAGCGAGGGAAATATTAGGCGCCATAGCAGATTGGGCCATAAATCACGTCGGCAAAGCAGCGCCCCGTGGGAGCTTTCCTGAGCCCTGACGTTTGTTTTCCAATCTGGTTTGGCGATCTGAGTTGGGATTTGACCTCTGAATCCTCAACCTGAAGACCCCTCTGCTCCCAAACCTGAGTGATAAATTAAACGCACACTTTCTTGCACCCGGGAGCCACGATTTGGAAGCTCTCTTTGCAACGGGAGGGCCAGGAAGGCGAGTCAAAGGTGAACGCCTCACAAGTTTGTGTGACCATTCGCTGAAGCTTAACCCCTGAACCTCTTTTCCTGCGCAGCGAGAAAACAGGTGACGCAATTAAAGGGGGGTTTCTTCTGAGCACAGGATATATCGGCAGGAAGCTTCAGGATATTCGCTGACTGGAAGTGAAGCAGCACGACTGCTCCAAATCTCTTGCAGGAGCAAGCAGCGCTGAAATTGGGAACATGGCTGGCTGCTCCCAAAGCACAAAACCATCACGAATTTGCAATAAAACAGACCTCTAGAGTAGGGTTACCAGACGTCCCTGTTTCCCGGGGACAGTCCCCGGATTTGCGAATAAGTTCCCGGACAAATTCCATCCCCGGAATGTCCCCGGATTTCATCTAATGGCCCCAGGAAACGCAGCAGCGGCAGTCTCAGCAGCCCGGAGCAATTGGCTCTGGCTGGATTCAGGAGCTGCTCAGAAGTCCCCATTTGATGGTGGTTCAAGGGCTCTCGGATGCAGTTTCTGGGCTGCCTCCACCTTCCCTGACCCCAGCAAGTAAGCTGTGAAGGGAGGCTTCATACTGCCTATCGGAGCAGCCTCACAACTCCTACTTGCGTGCAAGCAGGAGCGGGGCAGGGATCTCTCAGCTGTGAAGGGAGGCGTCATGCTGCCTATCAGAGCTTGCATGCAAGCAGGAGGGGGCAGGGATCTCAGTTAGGCAACGGGAAGCCTCCCTTCCCAGCTGAGAGATCCCTGCCCCTTCCTGCTTGCACGCAAGTAGGAATGGGATTGGGGCTGCTCCAATGGGAAGGGAGGTATCGCGCTGCCTGAGCCTTGCCACCACCACTGCTCTCTGCCCTCCTTCTCCGCCTTCCATGCCTGACCCACCACACACCACTGACCCGCCACTGAAGAACCCACAACTCAGGGGCTGCCCAGGCTCATGGAGAAAGGAGATAGAAGCCTCAGAGGAAAGGGAAACATGGCGGTTGAGGTCAAGGTGGCAGCCGCCCTCTGCCACTGCCATCGCTGCAGCATCAACGTCCCGAAAGTGTAAAGGACCCCTGACCATTAGGTCCAGTTGTGGCCGACTCTGGGGTTGCGGTGCTCATCTCGCTTTATTGGCCGAGGGAGCCGGCGTACAGCTTCCGGGTCATGTGGCCAGCAGGACTAAGCCGCTTCTGGCGAACCAGAGCAGCGCACGGAAATGGTGTATACCTTCCCGCCGGAGCGGAGCTCACCTCGTTGCGGGGATTCGAACCACCAACCTTCTGATCGGCAAGTCCTAGGCTCTGTGGTTTAACCCACAGCGCCACCCGCGTCCCTATCCCGAACGTGTAGTATTTATTTAATAGTTAAAGTGTCCCTGGTTTCATTGAAAAAATCGGGTAACGTTACGTATGGACGCTGAACCTGAAGACCTGAAACTGTGAAGCTTCTTGCAATTGGGTGTGCATGTTGTTTAAGTAGAATCCTAAAATCACAGAATTGTAGAGTTGGAAGGGACCTCAAAGAGTCATCTAGTTGAGCCCCTTTGGAAGGCAGGAATCCCAACTAAAGCATCCATGACAGATGGCCATCCAACCTCTGCTTGGAAACCTCCAACGGATGAGAGTCCCCCATCTCTCCTCTGTTGAACTGCTCTTACTGTCAGAAAGTTCTTCCTGATGTCGAATCGGAATCTCCTCTCTTGTAACTAGAAGCCATGGGTTCGAGTCCTACCCTCCAGAGCAAGAGGGAAAGTAATCTTGTTATATTCATAGTATTGAAATG